GAACGAACGAACGAACTTTATGTTCAAAGGGTCACAAATTGGGCACGCAGGCCCGTCTTACATTCGGCCCTTCCAGTCAACCATCTTCCGCACAGCAGTTGTATTTTACTAATAAAGCATGTTATGATTATATGATGATATGCATATTATGAATATTATAAAAGAACACAAAAGCAGGAGTTGTAAAGTGCATGCAAAAACCCGCGTGTGCATACACACACCCATATACATAAAAACATACACCCACATACACACACTCACTTACACACACATACATGCATGCATACATTACATACATACAACCATACATACACACATACATACACACATGCATACAGGCATACACACATACATACAGGCATACATGCATACACACAAACATACATGCATACACACATACAAACATACATACAGGCATACATGCATACACACAAACATACATGCATACACACATACATACATATATACATGCATACATACATACATAATACAGGCATACACACATATAAACATACATATATACATACATACAAACATACAGTCATAAATACAGTCATGCATGGAGACACACACATGCACACACGGACACTCCCACAGAGACACACACACTCACTTAGACAAAAATACAGACACACACACAGACACTTACATATAAATACACACAGTGAAACACACAGCACAAATATATACATTCGTGCTCGCACACTGACACACATACGCAAACATGCAGACACATACATACAGCCACATAGACACACATGCAGTCAAACACACACACAAATGCAGACAAACAGGCAGACTAACACATACTGACACCCACACAGACAAACACGCAGAAATACATACACAGACACATAGAAATACACACGCAAACACATATATTCAGCACGCACAGACATATACTCTGATGTGCAGACACATACACACAACAAAGGGGCACACACAATACACACAGAGAAACACACATAGACATGCATCTTCAAATATAATAGCTCACAAAAAACTCATGTGGGGTTGCTAGCTCCTTCTCAGACAATTCCAAGAATTTCTGAAAATTTTTAACTACCAATTTCATGAGGTCAGATAGACCCAGTCCCGTACAGGGTGAGATAAAGTTAATTCTGAAAACTTTAAATAATTTTGTTCAGTGCAATTTATTTGTCCCTTTTTAAACTAAGAAAATGGCCTCCACTGAAGAGATCAAAGAAAACTGAATGGACAACATGTAAATTTTCCATAAAAAAAACCTGAAACTACTTGACTGTTTATTAAATAATGCACTCAATAATGAAGTTAATTACCTCGACAGTGAGATCCAACCCGAATACACAATGGCAAAATAAAGTTAATGAGCAAATTGAGGGATTTCTCATTGGCAGAAAATGCAGTCACTCCACCACAGATCTGCTCTAGTGAATACTGATCCTGTCAAAGATACATAAAGTACCCATTTCTTTAACTAATACAACACAAAACATGTCAGTAGCTAATAAATACAGAAATGTCACATTTCTTTAACTAAAACAAACACACAACATTTCTATAAGTAATAAATGCGTGACACATTTATGTAACTAATACATGAAACATTTCAATAACTAATCAATAATGACATCTCGTTAGGGTTCTGGGGTCCAATTTCTGGGGAAAAGAAAGAAGAGACCAATTACCCCCTAACCAGCATTCATAAAAGTTGACTAACTAAGGATGTTTCCTTCGATGTCAGGGTGCATCTGCCTGAGAGGTGGGGAACCTACAGTCTGTATACAAATAACCAGATCTGTCAAACAGATGTGCATGCAAAGCTCAGGTTCTGGAACCAGAATAAGTCCAGAAATGGACAAATAACCAGAACTTTATGGCAGAGTTTACAGCCAGTGAATGCAAACAAGAAGAAGAAATACATGACATATTTCCATAACTAACTAACTAACAGACAACACATTTCTTTAACTAATAAATACACATCGTATTTCTTCAACTAATACAAACACAACACATTTCTATAATTAACAAATACATGAATACATTTATATAAATAATAAATATGTGACATTTTTCTATAACTAATAAATACATGACATAGTTTACTAATTGATGAAATTCAGTCAACATTTATTTGTATTTTAACATGATAAAATACAGGCATAACTGCCATATCTTATTCTATACCACCATTACAGAACACTCTTTTTCTTCTAATTATTTATTTTGATAGATACAGACTAACTTTCGTAATGATTATATAATATGTTCTAATTGTGAACTTTAGGAGATTTCACAGTTTACTTGGTGTATTAATGTTATGCTCAATGATGCTAGCTCACCTGCTTATTGTAATACACAAAATATCGAATTTATATGCCACCATCTTATGTTATGTTACACAATCGATGTCACTGCACATTGGGCATTCAGTCCTCCAATGCAGCAACCACTCCAAGATACTCCTACTAATGGACACAGACATGCTTCACCATGCTTTATTCTGATGCCATGCAAACGTGTTGGTATCAGATATTCGTCATCATCCACTAGTCCTTTCTGTACAGTGTTGATGATGCTTCTTTCCACATGCATTGGTGCTCTGCTTGCCTGTAGGTCCGCTCGCTCATCACCCTTCATGTCAGCATGACCAGATGTGTAGATCTAGGTGAGGGAGGTTAAATGCAACACCACCATCTAACAAGCGTGTCGCAAGAGGCAACTAATTAAGGGCATTTCTGTCAAAGTCAGAGTGCATCTGCCTGAGAAGCAAGGAACCAACAGTCTGCATACAAATCAGCCAGACCTGTAAAACCAAGTACAGGCAAAACTCAAGTTTGGATAAAGACCAAAGTCCAGGAGTAGAGGAACCAACAGAACTTTTTGCCACAGTTTACAGCTGGTGAACGCTAAGAAAAAGACAAAAATCTACTAGCTCTCAAAGATTTAGTCATCACTCATAAGGTCCACTAAATATAATCCACAACACAAGCACACTCACACCAAGAGCCTGCATCTGCATAGCCACAAGCTTGACAACTGAAGAGACAAACAGGGGGCTGGCATCAGTCTGCATGGCATACGACTCTGTCCGATGGGTACTTGTGGGCATGGTCAGTGACTCGGGCAGCAGAGAAGAGGAGCCAGAACTGGTAAGGAGGATTGTGATCAGTATGTTCATCAATGTCTGTAATAGAGAAAACATTAATTTATAAAAAAATGTGTGTCATTTTCAGGTTTCAAAACAGAGCATGCATAAAGGACAAAAAGTTACCACTGTGCCTTCAGCAAACCGATTTTAATATATTTTCTGGAACTATAAATCGTTCTTAAATCTGCTGTATACAATATTTTTAAAATTATTAGCTGTGGTTCCCTCACAACAAATGGTTACCCATAACTGCTATATTCCAGGACCACTAAAAATCACATAAAATGACATTCACTGTCCCATTTAAAAAAGTTAAATGGTCCAGAATCTTTGAACACATAGTGAATGTATAAGAAGCTGCCGGAGGTGCCAACACTAATGATTAACAACTTAAGCTAAAGTTCTATATTTGTGGCCTGACACAGGAATGACAGATTAAAGCAGTGATGGTAATCAGGTTTATATTAAAAAAAAAGTTATCAAAACAGATGCATATGCTAAATGAAATAAGAAAATAATAAATATATAACAGTAGGGTTAGCTTCTTCTCTTCAGCATTTTAAGCCCTTGAGGTTTACTGCCACAGATTTCACCCCTCACCCTTTCCTTCACACATCTGTGTGAATGGCCTTTGCTTACCAGTTGGTGACTCCAGGTGTTTTAGATCTGCCTGTACACTATCTCTTCCCAGACACCCGTGTCCAGTTCGTGGACTAGACCTCTTCAAGGCCTCTATGTATGTAGCTTCTGTCAATCTGTTATCTGCAGTTCTCTCTACATGCCCCCATCATTGAAATCTTTTAGCACTCATGATGCCAGTAATTAGTGGTAACTTAACAGATAATGAATTTTATTATTGCTTCTCCCTATCCCCTTGTTTGCACCTCTGATGGGTAGATAAAACTGTTCACACAATAAGGTTGGCTAAATATTATAAATACTGGGGCTAGTTAGAGACAAACCTACCTTCAAATGGGGAAGCAAAGCAATGAAAGAAAATTTCCGCAATGTCTGATACACTCCTGAAATATAAACAAGGCAACTGCATTTATTCTGCTAAGACAAAAATAGAAAATATGTAATAAATTATAAACTAATAATGATAGTCAGAACATGTGATTAACATTTTCACAAGAGAGACAGCAGTTATAGTTTCCATATAGTCACTGAACAAAATGATTAGTGTATGTTTAGCTACCAACACACTCATCTATACTTCAATCTCCATGGCAGTGATAAATTTTGTCCCCACCAATAGGCCTTAGTGCCTCAACCCTCATTAGCATAAGGTTCTAGTTCCTGTCAGTATTTCTCACTGTTGCAATCCCCTTTGGCTGATGTGTCCCTATCAGTACGTCTCTAACCTTCAATTACTATTAGCTGTACGGTCAGATATCTCTACTTTTCATGCTCCATTTATACAGTTAGTTGCATATCCTGTGAAAGACAAGCATCACACCACAGACTTCATACAGGCCTGTGGCCTTCTCATCTGAAAACCAGTGGCAGAGAAAACGAAAAAGAAACAGAAGCTGGAGAATGAAAAAATATCACTAACTAGGAAGGGGCATGTTCACTTATTAATTACAACTTCAATGAAGCAAGGACATTGTATATATTTCATACGATCAAATTTTAAAACAGAACATAATATTTTTCTCAGACTGTACCATATAAGTTGGAAGACACTTCTTCCTATCTCACAGTTGTTCAATATTTGTGTTATATACTTGATATCATTTCTTCTCCACCGTCATAAAATAAAAGTTATCTTTAAAAAAGAATCATATAGAGTGAAAATGTATGGATTAAGGACACACATAAAAAACTTTAACAGATACAAGCTAGATAGACAGAATTTTACCTTTCAGTATATTTGCCGCAGCCTCCCAATCCAACTGTCTCTAAATGAAAAATGAAAAATAAAAATAATAAAATGTCAAAATACATTAATCATGTTTTTATAATTTCTCAACACAATTAACCAATAAACAATGTTCAAATTAAAGACAGTTTGAAAGGAAGATCCCACAGATCACCCTTTGAGAACATTTTGAAATATAAAAGAAGACGATTATGGAATGCGATGAAAACGAAGGAAGACGACCAGAGTTGCCCTTGCTGACACCATAGTCGATTCAGAATTTTCTTTCGCACAGCAGTTGTATTTTACTAATAAAGCATGTTATGATCATATGATGTTATGCATATTATGAATATTATAAAAGAACACAAAAGCATGAGTTGTAAAGTGCATGCAAAAACCCGCGCGTGCATACATACATCCACATACACGCGCTCACCCACTCACTTACACACACAAACATGCATGCATACATTACATACATACACAGATACATACAAACAAACATGCAAACACACATACACACAGGCATATGCACACACAAACATACATACATAGATACAAACATACATTCATACGTAATACAGGCATACACGCATACAGTCATAAATACAGTCATGCATGGAGACACACACATGCACACACAGAAGAGAAACAAGATTATTATGACCTAGACAGAATGATGCACCTGGGTGTAACTAGAAGATCTGGCCAGAAGATCTGAGCAGTAAAACAAAAAACAAAAAAATTTTTAAAATCAGTTATAGATTACATGAAGATTCATTTTAAAGTGCTCTTACTCTTAAAGCTGTTTTCTTGGAGATTTTGGTAAAAAGTCTGTCCAATCTTCTGAGAATAAGATTGAGTCCAGGCCGAACCAGCTCATGAGACCAGTCTGTGTTTGGTAATATCTCCAGCATATACCTGTAAACAGATCATTTGGAGTAACTGATTAAAGTCAGTGGTTACTATCATCCGAGTTCTCATTAGAGTCACCATAACAAAATACCAAAAGCATGGATGTCTACGAGAAAACCACAATTAGCATAGCAGTATTCTGTACATTATTAGGATGCTAGGAGCTCGTTCACAACTACTCAAGCAGGTTATCCTACATCTAGTAATGGCTGACTGCTTCAGAGAATGGATAGCTAGCTTACTAGATAAGAAAAGTGAAACTACTTTTATTATTGTAAAATATCTAATGAATTAACCTGATGGGCTAGAAAACACTTAATTATTTAGAGAAGTCACTTACATCTGCAGTCCTGGACAACCCATGGTGAGTGGATCATATGGTGCTAGTTTCAATAAAGTATGAGCAACTTCAGCCAACCGCTGAAATAGAAGATCATATGAATTACTAATATTTGCAAATATTCTATTTTCTTACAATCGAAAGAGGAAATTAAGTCATGATTAATCAATCCTCATCACTCCCAGAGGCACACAAGGCAGAGACACACTGTCACCACTTAATTTGTTCTGGGGTCATTCTCTCTATCTCCAGTTTTGTCCTTCTAATAGCCTTAAGTTCATCCTGAAAGGTTCGCCTCTAAGTGCCTCTGGGCCTGCCTCTTCCTCACTGTCCTTGTGGTGTTATTGCATTGCCTGTCAAGAGGCAGGTCGTCGGGACTAGGTTTCCCTGCCGGTTTTTTCTCCAGTCCTTCATGACTGACAGTTTTTCTGTCACCTACATCTATGACACCCGGATCACCATGAGTATTATTTATATCTACGTTTGTCTAAGTTTCTGAAGCGGTTATCTGATTTTACAGTGTAGGGTTGCTGGCCACACGTCCAACAACTCTTAGTTGTCACGTATGACATGCTCAGAAGATGCTGCAGTTGTACTATTCTTTATGACACCGGGCACCAGACGGTGACAGATCATGATATAAACTCTTAAATAAAAATCATATTCTATAAATTGACCGATAAAACAGAGATTAGACAGCATTAAACTAGCAGTTTTAATCGCATTTGTGGGTTAGGCTTGGTAAACGAGCTTTGTGATTCGAGGTGCTGGGTCTGATCCCAGCAGCAAACGACTTGGTAACAGACCGCCTTGTGTTAGTGTTGACAGTGTAATCGAGAGCCGACCATTTGGTTGCAATGGCCAACTAGTGAACATAAAATTGCCTTGTGAAATAAAAAATAGTGAACAAATTCTGGGGTTGGTTCTGCAAAGACCTGTAAAGAATACAGCTAACTTTACATGAGCTGTTAGACATCCCCACACCCCCACAAAATAGCATTACAGTGGGATCCTATCTGCATCATACCTGACAATGAGGAGCTAGCAAACTGGCAAAACTAAAGTATCTATATATCAAACAGATATAATTGGTGATGAGACCAACAGGTTTAACAGAATAAACCACACAACAAAGTGGGCATCACATCACGAGAAAAATGATTCATATGAACATCAATACCAAAGCAAACAAGTATCAATCACCAAGACTCTGCAAAAGACACAACTAACAAACCAAAGACAGGAAAAAATTATGAATTTAACTGAGGAATAAAAACAGGTCACATAAACATTTGCTGCACGAGTATCTATTATGTCCAGAACAGATATTATGAGTCTGATCTATACCAGCTAGATTCTAGGGCACCTAAACTTATTCAAAGATTGCAAGAAAAATGATGAATCAATATCTACACAAGTGAGAAACATCTAGTGGCATTAGAAATATGGTTCTAGGTAAAATGAAAAGAATATATAGTGTGTACAAATGACTAGCTCCCAAAATGAGGAAGTTCTCCAGAAATGGTAAAGTAATCAGTGCAATCAGATGTGGACTAGTATTTCTGGACATTTTATGGAAAGAAATAAACTTGAAAACTTAGTGACAGTTGGCAAATGTGGTTGAAAAAGTGCAAGGGAAAGACAAAGACACAAATACCTGGATGGCCTGGTGAGGACAAGAACACAGATCTGATCTGTGATTCAAATGGTCAAGTAAGATGACAATCGTTACCTGCCTATATTTATTTGCGCTGCCCAATGATGATGATGAAAAGCCAACATCATCATAACTAAGGCACAACCTATGGATGTATAGTTTTCTCAGCAGATTCTGAGTTGCACAAAATGATTATTTTTAACTCCAGACTATAAGCTTGCACATCACTTCAGATACAAATCTGATATACTTTACCTAAAATTAAAATTGAGATTACTGACTTCACTACACTGAGTTTATTCCCTATTGACTTGGTCTCTCTCTGCAGAATGGCTTGCCACCTCCTGACAGCGTCACACATGGCACAAAATACATAGCTTTGGCTACAATGCCCAGTGATTTCAGTATCAACTGCACTCATGAATCGAACAATGTAGACGAGAAATAACTCACAGCCTTCAAAGGGCAAAGGGCCACAGTGAAATCCAACCCTCAAGGTACTTTGCTTAAGATGCACCAGCTTTTATCTTACAGTTTAATATTTTACAAAAAAAAAAAAGACAAGAAGTACATCTTGAAGCAAGTAATAATAACAAAAATGAAATGAAAAGGCTAGACTCATATAATATAAACAAAAAGGTAACCAACTGGAACACAACTGAAATAAGACAATAAGTAAGGCAGAACAATAAAAAAAGGCAATGAGAAATACATACATTATGAGTCTTGTTGTCAAAAAGTTCTGGAGGCCTGAAGGCTGGGTCAGCCATAATCTTGCGTAGTTCTTTAAGGCGACCAAAACACTTGGTGTAGAATTCAGAAGCCATGCACAGCAAAGAATCTCGAGGCTTACGGAATTCATCTCTTAATTCTAAGTCATCTGGCTCTGGGGCATATGTTTTCCTCCTGCCCTCCTCCATGTGACGGCTGTAAAAAAGTATATTAAGAAACAAAATAGAAACTGAAACCCAGCTTTTGAATTTAAAAATGTCTGAAAGAATGTTGATTGTTGACCCAGTCCAATTCTGTGCTTTTAATCACTTAACCCTTTTAGCACGGGAAGTTTCTCAGAGGTCTAGCCAAAAACACGGAGCATTTTTTCAGTGAATTTGGTTATTACTTTATTTAATTTTTTTGACAGATTTCTGTTATTCTGACCCCATGAAACAATATATCTATTTGAAGGATATAGATTGAAGTTCGTGATTTTCACAATATCGTTAAAATTAATTGATGTATATGCAAATTATCTCATTTGCATATCTAAAAATAAAAAATATGAATTTGAATTTTCAACTTCAATGCTTGAAACATAAAACTAAAAACAAAATTTTTTTTTATTTGAAATCTTTTTATTGATCTTTGGCCTTTTTACAAATGTTGTAAGCAATTCAATAGTCAAAAACAGGTATATATATGTGAAACAGCAATAATATCTTTAGGTGACATGTGTTTTTCACCATCAGTCAGCACTAGAAATGGATGTGCCAGAGTGTCAACACCTTCGGGTGGATATACCCTGAGCCATGGTTGGGCTGTGGTCTGAACACAACAGCGTTCCCATCTGATTCCAACTATTACTACTAACACTAAATCCTGCATCAGTATCAACAGAATTAGTGTCATCACTTGATTCAAATGTTTTATCAACATCAAGTTTAGGGGCAGAAACATACGAGTCAGACATACTTTTAGCGGTTCAGGTCACTATCTAAAAAATTCAACAACAATTTTCACTTCGATACCAAACACTCGAAAGTCGCCATGTGTAAAGCTGATACCGCAGTTAATATAAATGAATCACTTTCAGTGTTTCAAAGTAGGAGATTTCTTAGCGGTTCGAGGCGAAACATGATCGGGCTGATCATCGGCCGTTCCGTGTTTTTGGCTAGACATCCGCCGGCCGATAATCGGCCCGTCCGTGCTAAGAGGGTTAAGCACAATGTTGAAGTGGCATGAAGTATTACAAGGACTGTGTTTGTTCTGTGTCACACAATGATCTTGATCTGTGGCAGATAATAATGCAGCAATACAAAAGTGTGCTATTACATTTAGCTGGTCCTGTCTGATTCTCATCCTCAGGATCTGAACCCTATGTGCAGCTGCTTGCAGGGGAACAATCACCAACTGTTAGAGGAACAGCTAAGTTGTTACAATATAATTATACGTAGATTACAGCATCAGTCTGACCACATCACTCATCTTTTGCCGCTGGTCTATAAAATATAGGTCTAGCCATATATGACTTCCGGTCAAAATAGACGTTAGGCAGTGGCACTGTTCGAAACAGAGGCAAATTTTTTGCTTCTGCCGGACGGTGGCCGATGCATTTTTGCTCCATTTGTAGACTGGATATAGTTTAGTCAGCCAGCTTCTGAGTTGAATGCATGGCGTGACCCTGTGAGCTGCGGATTGCATTTGGAATGTTTTTTTTGACTGTGACCAACGTGTTGGTGTGAATTGTAGATTCAGAAAATGGTGCGATGCCTGTTGTGCAGTGTTGTGGTGCCCGTATGTGATTAAAATTGATCGCGTGGGCAACTGCTGATCTGTTGGCGACTTCTGCTACCATCAATGATGAACTACAATTCTAATTCTGTGATAAACATTCTGTGTGTTTTTCGTTGGCACAGGAGCGGAGCAAAGATGGGGTGACCCGTTTGCTATGAAGCTGAAACTAAGACTACCAGACTACCAAACTATATGCCTAAAGGTGTGGAAAAGGGTTCTTTACTTTTACAGCATCAGTCCCTGTACTTCAGAGCTTACGTATTTTACTAATATTCACTGACAATAATGCAAAGCAATCTGTCAAATATACTCATATAAAAGCCTTACTTTTAAGGAAAAGGGGGAGGGGGATATCTTCCTTGCTGAATAAATACACATTCATAATCTTTTTTGTTTCCAAGTCCGAGAAAGTTTTACAGCAAAAGCAAGAGGAGCCAATTAACCAATAGAAGGAAAAAAGTATGAGCATCGCTTTGAAGATGCAGTATACTGCACTGCAACTTATGATGACTACCCCAACTCCCCCTCCCTCAATAATAATATTGAAGAACCCACTATTTTTTGCTCTCATTCACAGACGTGGTGTTTTTTATTAGGAGTGAACAAAAAAGTTAAACAGGATCTGGTAACAACTGCAATGCTAATTTCTCAAATGTTTATTTAGCTCCTTTATGCAATTATTGTAAAACTCCAGGTGCACTTCTCCTTGGTGTGAAATGTGTATGTACTCTTTCTAGCATTGGCTTTGTTGATGTTCACAGAGACCTGTTTAGGAGAAGACACGTAACAGAATGATCACTTCTTATTTCAAACATATCTTGTTCAGACAGCACAATGTTGGTCACCTGTAGATGTTTGAGAAACAGATACACTGATTTCCCACATCTGCTGCATACATTTACATTTAGTTTCATTTCATTCTAAATTAGTCAGTCAGTCAGTCAGTCAGTCAGTCAGTCAGTCAGTCTCTCTCTCACACACACACACACATACTTATTATTCCTTGTCCTTGTCTGCATGTTTGTTTCTTTCCATAATATTATATGTCAGTTCTAGAGATGGATGCTTAGGCTAATATGCACCCAGAAACATTACTGTGAAAGTTGGAGTTACAACTTTGATCAGACTGAGAGAATTTGCTATTTGATTTTGTTAGGTAAATCACCACCATGCAGCTTCCTCAGCTCAATCATAGCTGAAATATTTTCATACCAGCTGCTGTTTTATGTATTGATGTATACGTTTGCATGTATAATATCATGAATGTCTGTCTAAATCTGAATAAGAAAAGATGACGCAAAAGTACCTAGTATGAGAATCTTCTTTTTCATCTGCTGTCAAAGAATGGATACTGTGGTTATGGACTGGTTTTGTTCCAGAGGTACTTGTTACCTCAAGAAATCTTTGTGGTATACTCAAGCTCCTGGCAAAAATAGACAGGTTTTGTACATTATTATGAATAAAATTTAATAACAACAGGATGACACATATGGTTCGAAGAATGAGTAAGAGTAAAACTGATGAAGCAGCATACATAAAACATAATAATTTAACAAAATAAGGGAGTAACTAAAGAAAGGCAAAGAAAAAGAGAAACATCTTGACAACTCTGGTATCAAGCGTTAATAAACAAATATGGTGATATTTTGGGTACATCCTGAGCAGAAGCGGACAGGAAATCACCAAACTGGCACTTGAAATAAATGGACAGAGGAAACGCCCCCCCCCCCCCCCCCCAAAGATGAATGATTATAAGAGAGGCTAAAGGTATTGGCCTGGATTTGATCCATACTGAAACATTTTCAAGGGATAGAATGGAAAGAAAGAATAAACATCCAGTTTAATGTGACAGGCAAAACATGATGATGATGAAAAATATTTAGGAGAGAAATTAATGGCCATACATGCAGAAGACTCGCCGATAGAGAAATAAACACAACTACCGGTAGATTAGTAAAGAATTTTCTGAGAATTATCAGAAAAGTAAACGTATGATGAGAACACCCTGGACAGATAAAAAAGAGAAATGTCTTGAAAGAAACTGATTTACAAACACTCACTGTCTGCATCAGAAAGATAATACTATCTGCATTCTTTGGTCATATGATGAGAAGGAGAAAACTGGAGTGCATCATGACAGTAGGAAAGTTGGAGGGGAGATTGAAAGAGAATATGCCAGACAGTTTGATATCATGGCATGAAGGATCATTCATGTCAAAGCTGACTAAAAGTACATGAGACAGAAGGTTGTAAGCAGACATGACTACCAACACCACACAGCTTGGACTTTAGGAAGAAGAAATATCCTGAAGTAGGACAGGTCACACCTATCTTAGTGGTACTAATGACCGAAATTATGTGAACGCCCAAAGACATCACATCCCTTTAGTATTATTTGCTTTGAGACAACTTGTACATTTTAAACATCCATCACAGTAAAAAAAAAAAAAAAAAAAAAAGAGAGAGAGAGAGAGAGAGAGAGAGAAAGAGAGAGAGAGAAAGAGAGAGAGAGAGAAAGAGAGAGAGAGAGAAAGAGAGAGAGAGAGAGAAAGAAAGAGAGAGAGAGAGAGAGAGAGAGAGAGAGAGAGAGAGAGAGAGAGAGAGAGAGAGAGAGAGAGAGAGAGAGAGAGAGAGAGAGAGAGAGAGAGAGAGAGAGAGAGAGAGAGAGAGAGAGAGAGAGAGAGAGAGAGAGAGAGAGAGAGAGAGCATAAAAAAAGCTCAAGTTTAATAATACATGTTAAATAATCATTAGAGAAATAATCATTTGCAACAGTTGAAAATACTGTAGGATTACAGAGTGATTAGGAAATGAACAGGAATAGAAGACTATTACTAATGTGTCAGCAAAATAGCTATCCCATAGTAAGAAGAAAATATAACTGTCAGATATAAACTATGTAAGATGCTGGAGAACACAGAATTGACATCACAGCACTCAGGACACTCGCCTAAGTGCTCAGTCCCCATCTTCAGCAGCAAGCGAAGAGTTCCAATTCTGATGATACCAGTAAGCGTCTGATTGTATATCTGTCTTATCCTTTCCCTGAGTGATGAGCGTCGGCCAGATCCCCTGGTAACTCCTTGCGGCACCGTTCTCCTTAGACTGTAATGATATATCTGTGCCTCTGCACTGTTCACTTGCTCCCAAAGGGCCCTCACAATATCTAACTTGTCATACATCAATTCACCACCAAGTGGTGCAGAGCCAGTCAGTCTATCTGCCTGCTCATTTCCCACCACACTGGCATGACCTGGAGAAAATATCCAAAGGATGCTAACTACCCAGGACCTCAGAAGTTATGCTTGCCACTTGGCACAAAGCAGGCTTACTGTGTTAAATAGCATCAAAACCTAAGATAAATTAATTAATTAAATGAAAAATGAATGAAAAGAAAGTATTTTGAAATTAAAAAAGGTTTAGAGGGAAAAGAACTGACTTTGTCTTAATGGATTTTGAATCCACAAGGCTTGGACTCTCTCAGCAGAGTGCCTGTTCACCCAGTAAAGATGCTACACAAGGATGAAACTTTTGCTCAAATGACAACTCTTAGGGATCTACAAAACATCTGCATTTGTGAACCAAAGAACAGAAAGAAAATGGCTTCACCACTTCATCACAGAAACGGTTTCTCCTCCTCCCTTTTCCCGCCACAATAACTGTTCAAAAGGAGACAAGAAGGAGATAACATGAAATCTGACCTGGCAAAGGTCTCACAGCATGTGATCAATGCCCTGAGAGCAACTGCCAGGCCTGTGATGGAAGCCACTTCAGCCCTGGCTGCAGCCGAATTGTCCCGTTTGTTGGTTTCCCTCTTCATATGGTCCAGGTATCTGGGGATAACCATCTGCAGGACCGTCTGTTGGGAAGATGAATGTTTTAAACCAGAATAAATGATCAGTGTAAAGTATTTTAGTTTGTACTGAAAAGCATATGCTAAGCTAATGAAAATAAAACCTCTTGAAATCAAACAGAGGAATAATTCATTACAGAACAATAAATTAGCATACAAAAAAAAAAAAAAAACACCACAATATAATATCAGTTATTTCTCTTGGGGAACTTCAGCCAAGAAACTTGTCATCTAAAATTTCTTTGTTGTCACCGGCTGTAAACTCCAGGGAAAAGCTCTGTTTGTTCATCCACCTATGGACTTTAGTCGCCTATCAGAAGCTGAGTGTTGTGCGCACCTCCGTTTTACAAATCTGACTAATTTGTATGCAGACTGTTGGTTCTTTGCTTCTCAGGCAGATGCACTCCAACTCTAAAGGAAGCCCCTAATTAGTCGACTCATACAAAATGATTTTAGAAAGGCACTGGGTCTATTCCTGTTTTCCCCACAATGGAAACCATTTGAGGAGTCATATAACACAATGCATACATGTTTAATTCTCTTAGGTCAATGCAGTCTTTAACGGATACCAGCTAAATATAATGGTAAATAAAGGCAACTGGCACATTGTTAACATCCCCTACTGTGATGACTGGTCTGTGAAAATATGTGTCTAGCTTTATATGGCATAACAGAAGTCCTTTACTTTAATTGTGTTATCTGACCTATACATATGTGCATCTATTCATATGTGCATGTACCATGTCTAGTGACTTTTAAGATGCCATGTTGAAAATACTAAGTAAGTAAGTATGTCAATGGTTCATACAATTTCTCTCTTTCTTCATTACTCTCTCAGCACCCTAGAAACTACATGGATCACAAGATACACTTACCAACATCTGACCAGAGCGAAAAGAGTCTGGAGCATAAGCAATGACAGTCACACACATGTTGACCACATCCATAAGATTGAAGGTGTCCGAGTCATGTTCATAGCAGAAATCCTGACATCACAAATAAAAAAATATTTACTCAAATTAATTCAAAAAAGAAGAACTGTCAACATTAAAACAGTGAGAAACAAAATACCCTTCACTTACTTCCTTACATTTACCTAATTTCTGTTCCTGCTGAACAAAGGAGGCAAAAACTGCTCTCTATAAATTTTTACTTTGAGGATATGCCTTCTTTTTTGTACTGTGAACTTTACATTCTAAAATCTTCTACTACAGTTGGTTCCCCTGGAGTTCTTCTTAAATTTTTTAAATTTTTAGTTAACTCTTTTTCTTGTCATATCTGACTGGCACCTTTCCGTCTTTCCAGACAATAGCGTTATACTGTGTGTGCTATGAGGGGGCATGGGACTCACAGCCTTTGGTGATGGCGAGTGTGACCAGCAAGACCCGCCCAGGTTTAAAAAAAAAAGTCCTCCACAATTAGAGCATGGAATTTCAGGACTGTTGTTTCTTCTCAGATGCTAAGCTTTCATCCTTTCTGAACTTATTTTTTCCCCCTTCGTTCTCATTCCCTTCTTGATATGCCCCCTTTCGGGCAACAAAGTCGATGGCATTTTGTTCCCATAAATCTACCTCAGTATCAGTACTATTCATGTCCGGCTTGAACACATCATTACATCATAGTAGCGATTGACCTCAACCTCTTCTACACATCTGTCATTAACCGTAGAGGATGTCCTTAGGGATTCTACCATCCTCCAAGTGTGACCCAGCCACCTGAGTCTTTGGAGACTGAGCACTGAGAAAACGTATCATACTCATTATAACAGATTTTGTCTTTAAAGCATATCCTTACATTTTCAACTGTTGGTGTCTTTATTTGCTTTTATTTTACAATCCTTAACTCTGTCAGGCCCGCTGTGTTGACTGAGAAGTTCCGATTTGACCAAACCACACAGTCTGTGTCAACTGTGTGTCCCATACATATTAATCAGTAAACTGCTTCCTTTTTGCTTTTATTGTTCGGAACTAACATTAAAATATTCAGGGAAGTTTACTCTAACGTTTCTTGGTGTACACATTTAGATGCACAGTTGCTGAATTTTTTTGTGAGCGTCATTTTCAGACAATAAAACTTCCAAATCTGTCTTTGACTGACCATGCTTACCAGTGTTCAAAACACAAGTACAAATTGTAAAATGCCTCTTTCTGTGGCTGAAACTCTGAAAATGTTTCAGTCGGATGTTTTTAATTCCGACTGTGGTAATGAAATAGATAAATTTCTTTCGGACTGTGAATTTGCACCAGCGGCAGAGAATCAGCTTTTAGAGAATCTAGTCTAGCCATTCTGATGTGCTAAAACCAAGAGGATCCATTTCATTTGTGAAAGATGTTATAGTCACCCACATCTGCATCCAAAGAACTGTTTCAAACAATACCATGCTACAGCTAAGCTGCATTGAATACACTGCAGCTAAAGTCTGCATATAACTACAAAGTAAATATTTTGTGCATAATGGTCAATTTTTTTTTCAATTCTGTCTTTGAAATTTTTTTTCAGCCTCTTTGAAAACCTAGAGCCTCTGCGTGATAAACTCCTAGAGTCTCTGCGTAATAAACTAACTCAGAAACTTATAACTTTTCAACTTGTTTAAAAGTGAACAAACCGTAAAGTGTTATTCTCCAATCTGGATATTTGCCGCTCTTGTGGCTGCAAAACCATGGTGAGTGAAGAATTTTTTTTTTTTAAATGTTGCCTTTGTAAATGCACAACACCTGCTGAATTCCTTTTTACCTAATAACAATAACAGCATTAAACAAAAACATATGATTGGATTCAAAATGTAAATTCATTTCTCTTTACAAATATATATATATATATTTTTGTAGGTATTATATTACATTCTCAATTGCCTTTTATTGTTTTTACACGACTATCTCTGCCAGTTTTGTGAAGGAAAACTAATATGAGCCGTCTGTCAAAATGTATGGGTCTGAAGGAGGTCATGCTTCAATACCTGCCTATCCGATATAGACAATCCACTACAGAAAATTAATATGAGCCGTCTGTCAAAATGTATGGGTCTGAAGGAGGTCATGCTTCAATACCTGCCTATCCGATATAGACAATCCACTACAGAAAATTAATATGAGCCGTCTGTCAAAATGTATGGGTCTGAAGGAGGTCATGCTTCAATACCTGCCTATCCGATATAGACAATCCACTACAGAAAACTAATATGAGCCGTCTGTCAAAATGTATGGGTCTGAAGGAGGTCATGCTTCAATACCTGCCTATCCGATATAGACAATCCACTACAGAAAATTAATATGAGCCGTCTGTCAAAATGTATGGGTCTGAAGGAGGTCATGCTTCAATACCTGCCTATCCGATATAGACAATCCACTACAGAAAATTAATATGAGCCGTCTGTCAAAATGTATGGGTCTGAAGGAGGTCATGCTTCAATACCTGCCTATCCGATATAGACAATCCACTACAGAAAATTAATATGAGCTGTCTGTCAAAATGTATGGGTCTGAAGGAGGTCATGCTTCAATACCTGCCTATCCGATATAGACAATCCACTACAGAAAACTTGCACAGAATGGCAGCCGATGTCACAGAAACAACCGGCAGACATACCAGTGGAGATTTATGAAAAGACATTACATCAAGTTATTTTTCATCTTTCTGTAATTTTTGTTGGCACCTTTCCGTCTTTCCAGATGATAGCCCACCTATATTTCCTGGGACATTTTTTTTTCTCCACCTGAGAGACCAAGCCACATAAAAACTGTGTCTTGCGGGAGTGGGTGTGTGTGTGTGAGGATTGTGGGTGGTAAGAGACATCAGATCTTGGTAGACAGACAGGCAAGCATATTGGCTACAACATTATTTTAGTTTCCATACTGGTACTACATACAATAATACAATGTCCAAAATTAAGTTCAAAATCAGACTAGAAAAAAAGAAATCAACATACAAGGGCCTTTAGTGGCTTGTCACCCACTACAAGATCCAGAACTGATAGCTGATCTGGGCAGTCCTTCTCCAGAGACAGCAGTAATTTGAAAAGACTGTTAGGCTGAACCTGGACAGTAAGAATGTCAAGTTAAGTACATCATTAGTCACATTCCATAGTATTATTTAAAGACATCTGTAAGAAAGCCACAGATATTTCCCCTATATGCTTTTGGGAAAAATACCATCCATGCCACAAGACAAAAAATGTTTTGTTGGTTTTATGGAATTATTATGTTAATGTTTAAGCCTATCTATGGTCCCTCTTTGTTCTGAAATTAGTACAATGTTAGTTGAAAAGTCTGTTCTACAACCGTTGTTGCTGTTTAAGTCTCTAGAACATGCATTTATATTCCTGTTCCTTAGGCCTGAGAATCGTTTTTCTAAGTTGTGCCTATTCAGTTAAAATTCTCATATTATTGTCTTTCTTTCAGTAAAGAAAGTTAAAGAAAACAGAAGCATCAGCTTCAGGGGATATTACTGAAACTATGACACCTGACATCTATTTTTATATAAGAAACTGATCAGTCCACTAATATTAAATCCATAGCTCCCCGTGTGGGTTCCGGTGCCCTACTGTGGGGAAAACAAGAATAGACCCACTGCCTCCCCAAAAGCATGTCGTAAGAGTCGACTAACTGGGGAGCTTCCTTTGAAGTCAGAGTGCATCTGCCTGAGAGGCAAGGAACCAGCAGTCTGCATTCAATAGAATCAGATCTGTAAAACTGATGCACATGCAACACTTAGGTTCTGGAGCAGGACTGCAGTCCAGAAGTGGACGAACAACCAGAACTTTACGCCAGAGTGTACAGCTGGTGTACGCGAAGAAGAAGAAGAAATCCATAGCTTTCTTTCTGGACAAAAAGGTGCCGGTACTCAACATAAAGTGCTTATTTCAGTAGTGCTGGGGGAAAATGCCTATAACATTTAAATGAAAAAGCACCCATTTCTTCTTTAGTGGTTTATTCCACCCCTTACCAGAATTTTCTAGACAATCCATGCTATGCTCCTGATCTGAGTCTTAGCAACTGAAAACTTTAGATGTACTTAGATTTACATGGAAAAACAAAATTATTAGTAACCTATACTGGGAACAGATAGCAACTGTTAGGCACAACAACATTCTCTCACCACAGAGATAAAGAGAGGATTATGACAGGGATGTGCGTTTTCCCCAAGCCTTTTCAACTTCAATTCACAAAACATTTTAAAACAAGTTGCCTGGACTGAATATAAAGGAAGAACAATAAACATTCTGAAATATGCTAACACAGTGCTACCAGCAGGAATTATAAGACCTAGCTGATCAAGTCAACAGTCGGAGTGCAGAGTATGGTTTAGACATTAACATTAGAAAAACTAAAGAGATATTAGAACAAGTATCCTCCTATCTTAGACATGTAGTAACAGATGATGGCAGATTTGAAACAGAAATCAAAAAGAGAAAAGGAATGGCTAAAACTATAATCAATAAGATGGGCAAATTATTGACAGTTAGAGAAATAAACAACACATTAAAAATGACAATCGTCAAATGTTACAACCCTGTTGTAAGGTGCAGAAACTTGCACAATGAACAGACAACTAGAAAGTCAAACTGAGTCTCTGAAAAAATGAATATACAGAATAATAGATCGTATTTCATGGAAACAAAAAAAAAAAAAAACAAAAAAAAAAACAGAACAATAAAAGTTCTGGAAAGACAAGGAATGAAAAGAGAATTGTTGATAACAAATGAAAAAATAGACAACTGAAAAACTTTGGCCACATTGAAAGATATAACATCACTTTTAAAAACCATACTAGAGAGAAAGGTCAAGGGCAAGAGAGCAAGAGGTAGTAAGAGCACAACATTAAGAGATGGACAAAGAGCAACAAGACAAGAGACAGGGCATGTTGGAGATCCACCGCAGCCAACATTCAATGTGGAGACAGCACCTGACTGACGACATGAAACCACTTGATTAAAAAATAATAGCTTTCTGAAATAAATCTTCATGCTACCTCAAATCAGGCCACTTTTCACACCCGCAGAAGTACAGCTCTTATGTACAAGAGATGCAAGAATAAGTGTCAACAGTTTTGAGATTTGTAAATGTAAACTGAACATATTCTGTTTTTTCTATCTGTGGTGCCCTGCCATTAGCTTTGTTAAAAAACTAGATATTGCATCAATCCTTAGAGTTTTACCTTGGTACAGTCCCTGACACCTTCAGAAGCACAGCTCATGTCTAGGATAGGAGCCACACTTCCAAACATCTGAAGAATGAAAGGCTTGCGGTGCAGGATGTAGAACTGCTTGCACACAAAGTGGATGGCATTCTTGAGGACAGGGTTGGGCTGGTTGTTACTGTAAACTCTTAACAGAGTGGGCATGATGTACAAGAAGCTGAAATGATATTACAACAGAATACAAAAAATAAGTGTTTTTGAAAGGTCAACTTATTTCATACAGTAACTACTCTGTAATGTAAACAAATACAGACACCTAATGCAACAATTATTCACAATAAATAATTCTGTAAACCAAAGACTAGAACAAAAATGTTTTGAAAATATTTCACTGAGAAAATTTTCCCAAAGGGTACATTTCAATCTTCTTCTTCTTCTTTACATCATTTTTTACTGCTTCAGCTGTCGAGGGAGATATAAGGTCCTGCTTTGTGCTCTTCTGGCTGCTTCGACCATAGACACATCATAGTGCTGTAGAGTTTCTCTGATATTATCTTCCCATCTTGTTTTTGGTCTATATCTTGCTCTACGGCCTTCTCCTCTTTTTGTATATGCATTGTATGGTATAGCATCAGAAGGCATTCTCTCCAAGTAGGCAAACCATATGATGTGCTGTTTTTGTATGTAATTTAGAATTGGTTCTGGGCTGACTTTATCTCGTATGACTTCATTCCTGATTTGATCTCTTCTGGTCACTCCTACAGTCTTTCTCAGACACCTTATTTCCATGGTTACTAATTTCCATTTATGTTTTGTTGCGAGTAACCACATCCGGCACTGATAGCATAGGGTGGGAATGAATATGCTTTGTATGAGATGTTTCTTTGTGCTGATTGGGATAGCCTTATGCTGTAAGAGGGGCTGGCCCAATACTTGGCCTGCTTTAGTGCATCAGATGTCAATTTCTTTATCCAATTTACCATCTTCACTGAATGTTGTTTCAAGATATTTAAACTCAGATGCCTGTTTCATATATGTATGCTCTAATGCTATATTTAAATTCTGCTTCTTTCTTTCAACTGACATTACTTCTGTCATTTTGATGTTTATTCTCATATTATTTGATTTACATTCATCATTCACGGATGTGAGATGTTGTCCTAAATTTATTGCTGTATCTGCAATCAAGGCCTGGTCCTTAGCATAGAGTAATTCATTGAGGTTACTATTATTTTCAATCCTCTGCTTGGCATCTTTGCATATACTGTCAATGTAGGTGATAAACAGGAGTGGTGATAAGACACATTCCTGTCTCACTCCAGATGTTACTTTGAATGGTTTGGATGTTACGTGATTTATTTTATTAATGCTTCTACAATCTACATAAAAGCTTTTGCAGACTTCAAAGAGGTGTTCACTTTCTCCAAATTGAGCCATTACTTTTCATAATTTTTGCCTATTGACCCTGTCTTAAGCTTTCTCCTGGTCTACGTTTCAATGATTGAAATAATCTATTTTTGCTAATCGAAATTTCTTAGGGTACCAGTTTAAGTGAGATGATAACGATGCACTCAAATTAATCCTTTACTCCCTACGCTAATTATTATGAAAACTATCATCAAAATTCAACATGCTCAGGTAGCCTGAAATGATGATACACTTAAATTAATTTACTAATTTTTTGGTAAACATGAAAACTATCAGTAACATTCATTTGTAAACTGAACTATCTTCCTTAAATGATACTAAAAAAATGACGATGCACTCAAACTATATCTACATTGTGTGGTAAATATTATAAAAACTATTAGCAACATTTAAAAAGTTTTACAAAGTAATGAGCACTAACTGTCAAGAAACAACAAATCATATAAACACTAAGAATAAAACAGCAATGTAAGAGGTATAGAAAAAAAAAAATAAAAATCAAAACCTAAGCCACGGAAGCCATGCAGACACAAAAATATGTCTATATAAAAATTTCATTTTACAGAATTCCCAAGCCAGCAAAAGCTAAAGAAAAGACAATATCCCCTTAAACAAAAAAATTTCAGTCTGATACTTTGGAAGATCAATAATAAATGGTTGGTGATAATTAATTTCATTAATTTTTTAGGTAATTAAAACTAAAAGAATTCGCTGACTACCTATAAATTTGTCAGCTCAATTCATTCTTAAAAGCACAAGAGTGTATATTCCTGATGAATGCCCCCCCCCCCTCCCCCACCCCTTGTGGAAACACATTTACATTTTGAAACATATTTTGCATGTGTGTCTCTCTCTCTCTCTCTCTCTCGAATACACAGCAATACACAACAGTCAAATACAGTGCAGAAGCAGTATTTGAAACAACTACTGGACACTGATCCTATACATCATAGCCACATACCTTTATGTATCAAAAGTTTGATCCATTCAGTAATCTACAGTATCTCACAATCTCAGAAAGTGAATAGTTAAGACCTATGGCAGCCATGAATGTTCAATATTTGCAGTGATACACATACAATTTATGAGCAGCGGTCGTGTAGCAGCTAGACACTTGTCTGCAGATCTGAAGGTCCTGCATGCATGCATGTATGTATGTATGTATGCATGTATGTATGCATGTATTATAAAAAAAAAGAAAATGTATTGATCGGCACTCATAGAAAGAAGTAGAAAGATTGTATGATAGACATGGCTAATAAAAGGACCTTTGGGGGGGGGGGGGGGTGCCTAGTTGGTTATGCTCTTAGTACACTTTTTTCCATAGCAAGGTGCACACTCCATACCGAGGTGACAGGTTCAATTTCCAGCACAGTAACTTTAGCTTTAGATCTTTTTGTTCTCTAGTGTGTCATTCTATCTTTCTTCTTCTTTCTATGAGTGCAGATCAGCACATTATCTGTTTGTTTATTATATATCCTATTCCAGGGATAATGTCTTCCATTAATTATTCCATTTTCTAAATCACCAAAGCAAAAAATAATATGTGAAAAATATTTCAGTATTCAACGCATCAGCTGATCATGAGCCAGATTTCTATGACTTTCAAATCCTATAAAATGTCAGTATTTTTTTTTCTTCTTGATCCACATTATTCTAAAATTTTATTTGATAAAAAACTGAAGTTAAAATACCCAGTCATCTTCTTTACTAGCTGTGAAATGGTCCATGGCTCACATTAATAAGCTGCCAGAGGAATTCCTAAAATGTGTTACTTTTGTTTGTTCACTGCTGTTGCACCACCAGTTTCTGAAGTTGCTTAACAAGTGTACTATTTCATCAGTCTCCTGACATCTACTCAACACTATCCACTGTTATTGCTTATGGAGCCAAGATATTAAGAGTGGCATTTTCCATTTCTTCTCCACTCTTATTGCTCATAAATCCAACATATACAAAAATATGTGGCATTTTCCATTGCTTCTCCTCTGTTATTGCTTATGGAGCCAACATATTAAAACTATGTGGCATTTTCCATTTCTTCAATGCAGTTGAACTCCAGTTGGAAGTTCTGGTCTTGACCCAGAACAGGAGTTTTGCGCGCACATCCATTTTACTTATCTGGCTTATCTGTATGCAGACTAATGGTTCTTTGCCTCTCAAGCAGATGCCCTGCAACTTTGAAGGAAACACCACTAATTAGTCACCTCCAATACCATGCTCTTTAGTGGGACAGTGGGTCTATTCTTTGTTCTCCAAAATGGAGCTATAGAACCCACACAATTGGGTTTCTTAAAATTATGAACTGACGTCTGTTCCCATGACTGTATTAGTAGATATATTAGTTACTAGTTTCAGCTTAATCAATAATTCTGCATGCTGGCATACTTTTATCTAAAAATTCCAGTACAAATAGTGAAAGTAAAGCAAAGTAAAGCAAAGGACCCTTTTCCACGCTTTTCAGGCATATTGGGTACATAGGGCTAGACCTATATTTTATACACCAACAGCACCTGGTAGGTGATGTAGTCAGCATCAAGCTGGCCACCTTTACTTCACAGGACTGTACCTGGTACCCACTCAAGGCTCGGTCGACCTGGGAGTCTAGGTCATTTTTAAAAAAAAAAGTCAGGAACCGAACCCACGACTTTCTGATCCAAGGCAAACGTCTAGCTGCTAGACCATGGAAGCTCCCCAATATAAATAGTAGACATGTTATTTGTTAGAAGTTACAGAAATTATGCAAATATGCCACCATTTAATTTTGTTAGTGTTAGCTATTAACAATGCAACTTTTACAGTCCAGTCGAGCATTACTGGGTAGGTGGGGGGGGGGGGGGGGGGGGGGGGGGGGATAAAACACAGTGGCCTGCAGTAGAGGCAACAAAGGAGTTGTTACCAGAGTGTGTTGCCACAGCATTAGGGGAAGCAAAGTAACATAGTGGTTGACCAAGCATGACATGAAAGATGACTAAAGAGGGTTGCATCTTGCGTTCCTATGGTCTAATGGAAAGTGACAAACAGTAACCAAGCAGGCTGCCAAGAAAGTTAAGTAAAGGACCTTTTTCGTACCACCGTGCATAGAATAGATGGTGCTAGACCTATATTTTTAAAGACCAATTAGCACTGAGCTGAGCTGATCAGTTAAAAAAAAAAACTGTTCCAATATGTATTTAAACCTAAGACCTTCAGTTCATGCAAGCATCTGGCAACTATGCTACCACAGCCTGCTAAGCATTTGGTAAATGTAACCAATAAGAGTTGCACCTGTGTGTTGCTGCAGCCCTGAGAAAAGTTAAAAAGACAGAACACCTTACAAAGATGACACTCAGCACCAAGTCATATTGTATGTAATAAGATGATTTTGTTTCGTAAACAATGGTAGCAAGAACATGAAGTTATCAACCCTAAACACTACTGTAGATCGAGGCAAAAGTAGTCCTGTAGCAGTTACAGTAGCTGGTGAGGTCAAGTGTTAGGCCTTCATATATTCTACATCACAAATACAGACTGGGGCAGCCAGTTCCCTTACATATCATCTTTTCTTTCTCAATTTCCCGAAAAATTCTGAAAATTGTATGGTACCTAATTTTACAAGGCTAGGTTGACCTCAGAGCTGTACAGGCAGGGACAAAAGTACTCTACACCTTAAGTTAAGTTAACTGCGTATCCTTTACAAGATGTTGCAAAGCCAATATTACTGTCAAAACCAACACAAAGTGGTTTGCTGCTTGATTACCTGCAGCTAGGTTCGAACCTAGCATTTTGTTTTTACGTAGTGCGTTCGCAACACCTAAGCCACAGAGGCTGACACTGAACACTTATTGCCCTCGATAATAGGCAAGCTAGAGAAATTTTATTTATCCTTTCAATATCCCTCTAACAACCTAGGATATTCAGGCCAAATCCATGCAATTACTTGTCACCAGGTTTACTAATCGCATAATAGATAATAAACAAATTCAGGCCAAATCCATTCATTTACTTGTCACCAGGTTTACTAATCACATAATAGATATTAAACAAATTCAGGCCAAATCCATACATTTACTTGTCACCAGGTTTACTAATCACATAATAGATATTAAACAAATTCAACCATTGAAGATAACAATATGCCAGCTGTTGAGTACAGAATAACAACACACAGTCAAAGATTGGTAAACTAAATGCTTTGCAATCACACAACTTATACTCACAAGTTATATCAAACAATGCCAGTGTGCACATGCCAATCAAATAAAAACAAAAACAATACAAAAATTATAAAAAGAAAGATGCTGAGTGGTCTAGTTCAAATCTATGGCAAGCAAACTTGACCAAACAGGGTACGATACATATATTTAATAATTATAACACCTGTTTCCTGTGGATGCCCATCAAGTAAAAAAAAAACACAAATGTACAAACAAAAAGGGGGAGACTACAAGCCTACATCACGATGCCAAGGTCAACCACCAAGTTACACGTGCTGACAAAACCACCCACCCATTGGTAGCAAATATGTGTTTAAAGTGACGAGAGGCATTGATGAGAGTGGCCAAACAGAAGCGGAGGATGGCGGTGTCCTCAAACTGGAGGACAATGGTGCCATTGATGACACTGATGAAGAGGTTTAGGTCATTCGAGGCAGTGAAAGTGCTGGACATGGAGGTGAACATTGTACTCATCAGCTGTAGGAAGGCAGAAAGCTTCATGAAATATAACATCCTTTTTTTTTTAATTTTACAGATTTGTAATAATCAGCAATAAAGCATATTGGCTATAGGTGCTTAGTCTCCCACAGTAAATGTCATAAATGCTCTAGACACCATCCACTAGTTGGTCCTTACCTGCACTGGACTGCAGTTTACACATGGCTGGTGTAGCTGTTACAGGTGTGCTGAGGGTGAAAGGGGGGTTTCTGGTATCTGCCTTGTTGGCCCGGCATCCAGATATTTGTAAAATCTCAGGATGGTATGGTAAACCTTTAGACAGCAGCCCAGAGGGGACAAAATGAATGATTATTGATCAACTCACTCTAGCTGCACAGTGGCCACAGGTGCTCTGTCAACCTTGTTTCCTAGTATCTGAATACTTACAAGTACTTTTCTAACAGTACACAACAGTGATATTCCCCTGTAGGTTTTGTACATAGTTATGACACTTGAGTCTTCAAAGTCTTGTGAGACCTGTCTTTTGCACCAGCATAGTGTTATTAGCTGATGAATCTGTGGGGTAAGTATGTCTTTTCCACTTCTAGTGACCTCTTTAGACATTCCTTCTTTGTCTAGACCCTTACCCTGACGCACATTCAGCAACAGCATTGCTAACTTCTACAACTGTTAGAAGTGTGTCCAGGCAGTCAAGAAGTTTGCTGATTCCTCAAGGCAATAGGAGTACCATCTGTTAGTTTGGTCTCAAAAGAGTAAAGCTCTCCATAGTGCAATCCTTTCAATATTACGGATGGAATCTAGTCCAGTAGTTTCCCCTGGACATTCTCATTTCTTTCATCCATTTGTTTTTGATTTCAGTGCCTGTTTGATGATTCTCTGATTGCGTCTCCTCCTGATGTGTCCAAAATATCGCACAGTTCATGCATTAAACACAATGTTCACAGTAACAGGTTGTAACCTGTTGCCAACTTTTAAAGATGCCTAACTGCTGAAAGATTTTAATATGAGCTACAAGTGCCTGAGACATCTAATTTTCAGCCTTTTCACCATGAGAAGGCTGGACACTTGAAAACAGATCATAGAATGATGACCATCATCTAGATTTCTTTGAGAAAAACAAACTGTTTTAACGCTTACTGTCCCAAGTAACACATCATGTGTTATAAACTTGTTCTCATGAATCCCAAACATTACGCAATATGTGCTGTTACTTTTTTGCATTTAGTTGTATAATACTAGAGAAATCTGGCATTCCCAATTGCCTCCTCAAAAGTTTTGTATTCATGATTTTTGATAGTGGTTATGTCTCTCAAACAACTGCTGTGAAAAGTTCTGGGACTGAAAGAGTTAACAATATGGTGCTCAAGTTGACAGGAACCTGGCACTTTGTGAATTAGAGGAAAATGAAGGTATGGGGACAAATCTGACTCCCACGGAAACTGAGGGTATGGGGACAAACCTGACTCCCACGGAAACTGAGGGTATGGGGACAAACCTGACTTCCATGGAAACTCCTCTTCCCCCTCTCAATTTTCCATCTTCCCAGTGATTTTTGTTTATGCCTAACTCATTTTAAACTATGCTATTATCTCTAATCAACCAATCCTCTTCTCAGCATCTGCCTATTCCTATCTGTATATCCCTGCTTCTGTGTGTGTGCACCCATTTTTATAACTGGTGCTTCTGGGTTAAATACCACACATTTCATTTCAAAGTGATTCTTTTTTTTTTTAAACTTCTGGTCACACTATATTATTATTATTATGCCTCAATGTAGTTACTTCAAAGTCATTTCAATCTTTGATTTGTGTTTGCTCTGTTTCTTATTATTGTTTGCAAGCAAAGGTTTGTTGTCACAACCTTCTTCATCTGTAATTGAAATATTATTTAACTGATTTATACTTTTTGTTTTAAACAGTTGATATTTCCATGGCTTTACTGTGTTTAGCTCATTTCATGTTGAGTCAGTTGAGTCAGAGGTGACACTTCTAAGTCACTCTGATCCTCATACAGTTAATGACCATATCTAAATGTAAACTCTCAGTAATCAGCTTGACTACAGAATGCAGTCCCCCCCCCCCCCCCCCCCCCCCCCAAAAAAAAAAAAAAAACATGGACATAAATCATACATTCTTGTACAAATCACTTCTAATCAATATATACAAAATATTCCAACTTTACCTTAGCCCAAGTGTATTTGTGAAGTGAATCCATTCCAAAGATTTCCTGATGAAGATAAAAGTAAGCAGATGTACACGTTTCAAAAATTAAATACTAGGCTACTGTATAAAAGATTTGCAAAAAAAAAAAATTAAAAAAAAGAATTAAAGTGTGTGACAGTGAGTAAATATATAAAAAGCTGTTTATGTTCTTTCTGTGTATAGACACTAGATACTTCCACTGGCTGTGGAAGCTATTGAATCCTTGTAGGAATCCCCCAGTTCTGCTACTGGCTTGGCTTGCATATTTGTAAGACATTTGAAAAAATTTTGTTAATGTAACACCTTTTTCCATAAATGTTTTCTTGACTTTTCGCTTTTTCTTCTTTTTAAAAAAAATTTTTTTTTTTAAATTCCACGTATATTTAAGGGGCAAGTTCTTTCCTGTCTACACGACTAATAATGCTTTCAGTTCATATTCTGTTCTGTAGACAAGTGACAATCCACCACTGGCTTGCCAGATCTGTCGCAGTTTGTCAACATTTCCTCTTTAGCCAGGACTTTCGTTGACAGCTCCCTAGTTTAAAAAAAAGGGGGTGTTCAAAGGTGGAGTATTAAGTTCGATAAAACAGGTATTATCCAAAATGACTTGATTTGCCTCTGCAGACTGCCTGCTGACAGCGTCGCAAGAATCTTTAATCAGTGATAATCCTCAGGGATCTCTGGAATAATTGCATGCATAAATCAAAATTTTCAATTTGAAAACAAGGCCACGATCTTCACAGTAACTGATGAACATTAAATAGGATTAATTCAAGACAGGCAAAGAAATAAGTGGACGACCGCATGTATGAACAGTTACAAGGAAAAGAAACAGCTGTCAATATATTGGGCACACTCTGAAGAGAAGTGAATATGGAATCACCAATCAGGCATTTTAATGGGAAACACATGAAATGAGGATATGAGAACATCCAAAAGAGACACTAAGATAAACATTGATGAGAGAGGCCACATGTGCTGGACTGGAGCCCTCAGTGATATTGAAACTGCACAAGACAGAATAGAATGGAACAATACAGTGTAAGTCTTATATGATGCAAAATGACATAACTTGATAATGATCTTGATTCAGAGAAGGAAGCAAAACACCTTGACCTCCATGGTGGGGTCACAAGGTTGTGCTATACACATCAGGTCTTAGACATAAAGAAAAAAAAACAGACAATAATGTTATAATACAAAGGAGACATACTTTTCCCCAAGCACCGGAGTACATGTCAAATTCTGTCTCCAATGCCTTCCGTGGAAAGGATGGCAACTTGGTTAGCTCCTCATGCAGAAATGAGACATGGTTCTGCACCTGAAATGGTAAAACAGGCACGCTGAGCCCCATACCCTGTGTGACTGACTTCCTGCCTGTAGCTGGTGGCGCCCAGCTGGACAGTCTACACGGAAGTAGTCACACAGGGCATGCAGAGTTAGAGGTTCAACCTACACCACAAACAAATATGCATTCAAAAAACAAAAAAGCAAGCTTTGTTAATGCAAGCAAGAAATTGTTATTATGGCTATACACTTATATGATAAAAATGAAATGTTGTTGATAGAGAAAAGTAAAAGAACAACTTTTTCACCATGAGGCAGATGGTGTTGGCCATATGTTTCATAACTAATGAGCATTTGAGGAGTAAATGGTCGAGAGCCTGCTGATTTCCTTTACTTTGTATATTTTCAGGTACCTAGTTTAGTCTGGGGTGATCAGAGTGTTGCCATCAATAAAAAAATTTTAGAATTAAAAAAAAAAAACTCTACCCTGACAAGGATTTATAAGTTTTACTACACTACTGCTAGGAATTGTTGTGCTACTACAGCTCTTGGCTGATGGACCATATAACAAAAAACCTTTTCTCACATACAGTCATCATTGGTACCTTTTCGTCTTTCCATATGATAGCGTTATACTGCCCTATGAAGAGGCATCGGACTTACAGCCCATGGTGATGGCGATTGCGATCAGCAAGACCTGCCTGCATTACGAAAAGTCTTCCACAATTTTAACAAGGGATTACAGGACCGTAGTTGTCAATATTTGTGTTTAGTTGTTCCTTTTAGGACACTCAGCTCTCATCCTTTCTGCAATCATTTCTTCCTAATTTCTCATTCCCTTCCTTTTGTGCCCCCTTCACACAACACGGTCCATGGCATTTTGTTCTGAGTCCCTCTCAAATCCTGTATCATTCATGTCCAGCTTGCACACATCTTCATTTCATAGTAGAGGTCGGCTCTATCTCTCACAGAGTAACCTATTGTTAACTAGCTGACCATGTGTAAACATCAATCAATCAATCAAATACCTATTTTAGATCAGTGGCCCAACAATTTAAAACAAAAATCCATTTTAATTAGGAGCTAAACTCTGCGCTGTGTTGATAATCCAGTGCCATATTCAAATCTTATCCCATTTCCTTGTTATCATGGTACCAGATAGTACAGAAATTCAACTGCACTCTGTACTAACAAATGCTCTTCTCTAATCATCTCACTAAGTGACCAAACCTGTATATTTAATAACCAAGACTACAAGCAATAGAAGGCAGTGACCATTATAAATAAGTACAGAAGTATAAATAAGTACAAAGACTTGCCATAGCATCAGAGTTAAAAGCAGCTGCTTACTTTAAAACTACAAGCAATAAGAGAAGCAAAGAAAACAAATATGAATAAATTAATGAAATTTCACGACATAAGACTAAATGATAAGAAGCCGGGTAAGGTTAATTTTGATAATAAAAACAATTAAATAATTATTCTAACACTTCAATAATACAATTTTGCTAACACATTAAAAATGTGTTATTGATATTCATGCATGATTATACTTTCAGTTCATGCAAGTTAATTATCTGTTCATTGCAATCCATGTCCGAAACAATAAACATAATAGAAACTTTTTTTAAAGTGTTATTTTATGTTATGCAGTATGCAAGACAAAAAAGTTTTTTTTTTTAAATGTTAAAAGCAGTAATCATAGTGGAACACAAAATGCAAACCAAACAGCAAGTTTAAAGTTAGTGATAACATGTAAAAATGTTATATACACATTAGTTATGTAGATATAAGTATGGAATAAAGGAACAACTGCAAGCCCGGTGTGACATAAAAACAGAATAACAGGATGGTGGTAATTTTTTGTTCTAGTCAGATTTACTTTGTTCACATCAATTATTCTAGTGAAAGAGTCCACAGGTATAAAGATTCCTGTTCATATCTGTCTCATTATTCCATGAGAGGTCACAGCCTAGCTCAGACACTTAACTCCTTGCCTGGTATTACTGGACTCTTTTATCCTGAGAAATTCCTATTTCAAACAGACCATTGTGAGTCAAATGATGGTATGATAATGTGGCAGAAGAAATCAAATTACCAATTCAAAAAATGTGTTAAGAGCACTACACTGCATTTTTTCCAATTTATGACAAAAATATCACTTTTTCAATGTGCTCGTTTTTGTAAAGTTCGGCATTCATAGAAAGATTACACACAAAATTTATGTCATTTGTAAACAATTTAGCTTTGAAAAGTTAATACTAAAGGCACCAATCCATGCACTTTTTTAAGATAAAAAAAGTTTAAAAGTCAGTTTTCTTACATCTCTGTATTTCTGTTTGTTGTGTGTGTGAAATCCTAAAATCTCAGCTAATATAAAGACTAGAAACATGAAATTTAGTATGGATACTCCTTAAACAATATTATAGTGACTGGTCTTTTCAAAAGTAGATTTTAGAAAGTTTTTTTTAAAATTTGATTATTGTCTTATGATGCAAGATTTTTTTTGACTTTTTCAATAAACCTACATTTTAAAATTCTACGAAAAATATTTAAAAACATGTTTAAAGTAAATAAACAACACCCGTACCTCTAAATAAAATAAAAGGTCATGAATCTATCATCCATTCTTAAATATGTATGTTTGTTTTCGAAATTTTAGGATTCTAAGTACGTTTTTTTCCCCACAAGATGGCGGCTATTGCCATGACAACCATGATTTTTTCACACTTAAAGTATGCATATGTAATAACATGTATCCCTTCAAATGACCATTATAAAATAATTGCTCTAACCCTGTAAATAAAAATAAAAAATTGGGGGGCGTAGTGACCCCTTAAATTAACAACCGTGAATGAAAGAAGAGAGCCAGAAAAGTGTACTGTCTCTGGACCAACCAATGAATGGTTTGTTAAGCTGCATAGTAGAGAACAGGTTATAAAACTGACTAGAATGATTTTTTACACCTATGCTATGTGTAGACAATAATGGAATTTGTGTTCTCTTAGAAATTAACTAAAACAATCTTCTTCACAGCACATGGTTCTTCTAAGTTTCCACAGGCAATCCTTTTACTGGCTGAGACATATATATTAACCAGAATCTTATATCTCCTTCAGCAGTAAAAGCGATACAAGAGGAAGGGAAGAAGGAGAACACATATATATATATATATATGTATAATAATATATATGTTAATCAGTATCCAGCAGCCCACCGGATGTTTGTTGCTTTCCACTGAGGTGATTTGCTTTTCTAGACCCTTTCTAGTCTTCTTCTTCTTCGCGTTCACCAGCTGTACACTCTGGCAGAAAGTTCTGGTTGCTTGTCCGAACTGCAGTCCTGCTCCAGAACCTGAGTGTTGCATGTGCATCAGTTTTACAGATCTCATTCTCTTGAATACAGACTGTTGGTTCCTTGCCTCTCCGGCAGATGCACTACGACTTCAAAGGAAGCTCCCCAATTAGTCAACTCTTACGACATGCTTTTGGGGAGGCAGTGGGTCTATTCTTGTTTTCCTCACAATGGGGCCCTGGAACCCACACGGGGGATCCTTTCTAGTAATACAACTGTTTCTTTGTTCACCGGCAGTAAGCTCCAGGGGAAAGTACTGGTTGTTCAACCATTTGGACCCTGGCTTTGTGTCAGGGCCTGAGTTTTATGTGTACATCTATTTTTCTTGCTTATTTGTGTACAGATGGCTGTTTGTTGCTGCTCAGGCAGATGCACTCTGACTTCAAAGGAAGTCCCCAATGAGTCAACTCTTACGACATGCTTGTTGGAGAGGCAGTGAGTTTTAACTTGTTTTTATTACAATGGCCCCGGAACTGGCCCCAGAACCCGCATGGGGATCTAGTAATATTATAAACAGCTGTTCCAATGTGTGCACTATATCCAGCATTAGCATCTTTTCTATATTTCTTGAGAATCAAGAAATAGGCAGAAGGACAACAGAAAGCGCACGTGTCTAAAAAGGTTAATTTTGCAATCAATGTCTGTGCAGATATAGGTTTACCGACTCTAGAACAGGCAACATATAACTGTGTCTTTATATTAGTGATCATTTCAATTGTATTATTAGGACTATAATTTTAACAATGGTAATTTGTTTATCACATGCTAATGCTTTTTGTATTTTTAAAACAGTTTCAAGTAAAGCTTACTACTCTACTTCTAAATAACCAACAAATTAAAAGTAAAGATCCCTTTCCACACCTTTAGGCGTATCGGGCATATGGGAAGAGCTCCCATATTTTTACAGACCATCAGCACTCGATGGGTAATGTGGTCAGCATTTCGCCGGCTGTCTTTACTTTCCCAGGATAGCCCATCCTGGTACCCATTTTAGGCTGGGACGACCTGCGACGTTCCATACCATGATAAAAATACACGCAGCCAGCAGTGGGTTTCGATCGCGGTACGCTGGCTTACGAGTTGGACTCGCAACACCTAAGCCACGGATGCCACATAAACAAATTAGCACACACACACACACACAAAAATAAGGATAGCCAACTGAACATAGTGTAATAAAAATATAAATAATTGAAAAAATGAAAACTTTAAAAATCATGTTTCAAGCTCTCTCAGTTAACAGTTTCTGTCATCACCCCCCCCCCCCCCCTTTCCCCCTTTTCCCCCACTCCCAAGGAAAACAATATGCTCACTTGCAGATCCAAAGGTTGCAGTTTCAACTCCAAATGGTGCTAGACTTGAAAAAAAAAAACCTTGGCCTTGAATGGGTACCAGGTAAAGTCCTGGTAAGTAATGGTGGCTGGTGTGCTGACCATATCTCAGGCCAAGTTTGAACAAAAAGTATAACATATAGGTCTAGCAATATATGTCCAATATGCCTGGAGGTGTGGAAAAGGGTCCCATACTGAGTTTTTACAAGGCAATACAGCCAGTGAAGTCCAAGCCATCAAATCAAAACTATCAAGGTCCTTAAATACCATTTTTCGTAGCAGCTGTCTTCATATTTCAGTCTACACTCACTTAGAATAATAAAAGAGACAAAAAGCATTCTGTCGCACTCATAGTCTTTTTTTAGATGTATTATTTAGTTCTTTGACCTTTTATATTAGGTCTTTAATTCGTTAGCATATGAAAGGCCTAATGTGGACCAGATATGAACATAATCAATTATTATGCATTCAAAAAACACTTCACAGAAAGTTGTCACACCTGGTGTGGTGGGGTGCTCTCCATGACAGAATTGGTCAGCAAGACTTTTCCGACCTCCACAAACTTCAACATGAACACCTGAAAATAGATACATTAAATGTTAAAACAGCCAAAGTCACTCACTTTAACAAACTTTCACCTAGCTATTCGGTCAGAGGCAGATATAATTCTAATGCATTATTTCGCTGTCATGGAAAGTATCTACAATGGTACCTCGGGCCATGAACGCTTCTAGTCGCGAACAAATCGGCTCCCGAACACAATTTACAAACATATTTTGACTGGGCAGGTGAACAATGCCTCATTGCACAAAGATGTAAACATGGCTTTGACACCATATTTTCAGTTCATGAGATGCATCAGTTAAACTCAGGTTTGTGTGAACATTGTCCTTGTGTTGTTCTGGATACAATTTATTTTCTATTTTTTTTTTCTCAATAAATTAACCCTTATAATGGCATCCAAGAATATAAAAGCGTTCGTGACAGTGATGTAAAGAAGCCTACGTCTTTAACAGTAGAAACAAATAATAACCAACCACCAGGCCAGCTATCAAACCATTTGCCAGGATATAAATGAGAGGAAAAACCCACCAGATTGTGTCATCCCCATGTGGGCTCCGGGGCCCCATTGTGAGGGAAAACAAGAATAGACCCAATGCCTGCCCAAAAGCATGTCGTAAGAGTGTCTAATTGGGAGCATCCTTCGAAGTCAGAGTACATCTGTAAGGGAGAGAGGCAAGGAACCAAGAGTCTGCATGTAAATGAGTCAGACCTGTACAGCGGATGGGCACACAACACTCAGTTTCTGGAACAGGACTAGAGTCCAGAAGTGGATGAACAACCAGAAATTTCTGCCGGAGTTTACAGCTGGTAAAGAAGAAAAACAAATTGTGTCAGAATGCTTCTTTACTTAACTCAAAAACTGAACATATACAAATGTTCACAGCAATGATGGTATGAACATGTAGACAGCAAGATAAAAATTATACTCAGAAAGTAGACAAAGACACAGCAAATTTGTAAACGTGACTATTATTTATCAATGATAAAGGTCAGATGGCTTTTAAAAAGTAATTCCTAAACAAGAATTTATAAAGATATTTCTTACAACAATTGAATCATATCCTAAATACAAAAGCTGGCTTACTCTTTTCTGGAGGGCCAGTTTTGCATCGTCAGGATTCATGTGCACCAAGCTGAGTTGTGGATAAAAGTTGCGCCGGAAAAAGTAGAAGTCTCTCACATAAGCATTGTTATTATGGATCTGATCTGTAACATTAATGTATGTTAACTTTATAGTTGGTGGCTGCAATCTTAATATAAATACAGGAGTACAATAACAGTTACTAAACAAGCACAACTGCAACATGATTGTGCTGATGCAAACACCTTGTATCAAGTACAGTGGTACCCAAGCATTTTTACAAACTGGGACAGACAGTCCCAGTATTCTAGGACCCCAGAACAACTTGGAGTGTTGATACATTCAATTAATGGCTTCAAAGGGAAAATCTAGAACAAACAACAACTCAAACCACTAAAAATTCAACAAATGTAGAAATACAACAGAAATGTGATGTATTCAACCATTACATTAGTATAAAGAATTATTTCAGCCAGGTTTTAAATCATATTCCGATAAATGTGTAAACAACTCAAGGGGAAAATGTTTCATCAGTGTTTCAAACAGTAATGCACATATCAACAACAACACTTACGTGTTTTGGTGTCGACCAGAAAATGGGATTCATGCTGATCTTCTGGAATATTGAAAAACTCCAGACTCTCCTGAAGGATTTGGTAAAACTGGGTATCCTGTTTACATGGGAAATAACTGGGAATTATTTTAGTAAGTGTGAGATTTATGGTGATATAAATTTAAAATGTCGATATTAAAAGTTTAGATTCTAGAGGCTTTTGGATGTCTACAATATTCTCACTCCCACTTTCAGGATCTCAGCTAGGATGTTGTCAATGCCTTCAGCTTTCTCACAATTCTGTTTTTAGTTGGTGGTCAATTCTACGTATTCTGGAGTACTGGAAAGCTGTTATCTTCCTGTTCTTGACCTGTTAATAACGATGTCAGTGTTGTTACTTGTTTGTTCATTATTTAGGCTAGAACAGTATTCTGAGTATCTATTTAGGATTTCATTTGTTTCTAAGAGTTGTTTCCATCTGTGTTTTGGATGGGGTTACTTCTTGAGGTTTTCTCTGGGTTGTGTTTGAAATAATGGCACTAGAAAATAACACTGAATATTATTTCTATGGAAACATACAACTAGCTGATGGACATCTATAATCTGTTCACAGTCCTGTCTTCTTCTTTGTTGGTTTTATATCTTTTCTTCTTTGTTGCAATACTTCTGAGATATTTAATCCAGATTCACATACAACATCATAAAAATGCTCATATATGGGATCTCAAATGTGTACACACAACACAACCATTTGTGCATCAGTATATTGCATTGACTATCATTCTCGTTTTCCTAACACCTGAAATATTCACTGAAAATATTGGTCATACTTTGTCATGAACCCCTTTGCCTAAGAGATTTGTCAAATTCCAGTTGTATTTATTTAAGGTATACTTATTTTTGATGGTCTCCACCCAAAGGAAACAGATCTCATACATCTCCTACTATTTGTCCACACATTAGATTCTAACAGTAACACTAGTAATACATGTTATCAAATTCAGAAAGATATATCAAACCTCATGAATTGGTAGCTGAGATGGGATACTAGAAAGATCAGGTCCATGTACCAGAATCTTCTTGGCACTTGCCACACTGACAGACACAAGCAGATATGGCTGTAGAAAAGAAACCAGTACCAGATAATCAAGATAATGAAACTTTAGGCAATTATTGTAAACAGTACAATTCAATTAAAACTAAGAGGTCTTGTGGCCTACTGGATAAGATATCTGCCTTTGTACCAGAAGGCTGACAGCTCAAATCTTGTGAGGGGTCAGGCATAATTGTTAGAGGTATCTTTGGCTGAGGGGTTAAGTGGTTTACCTTATGCTCTGAAAGTCATAGGTTTTTTTTCATGGAATACATCATTTAGTTAATGTATACAAGTTTTAAAGAGATCCCTGGGGATTATAACAGGAGCTACTGAGTTCATAATTTATGTGATGTTTACAGCAGCTAGCCATTTTGAGACCGACCCATGTGGGATACAATCCAGGAAACAGAAGTTGATTCTCTTAACTTTAATCATTTACGTTATAAATACTTTTTGAGCCCTATAAGTTGATTTGTAGAATGATCTGACTGCTGAAAATGGAAAAACAGGGAATTTCTCAAGCTCCATGTTGTCAGTTCTTATGTCAATATTAATTAGAGGTGATCGCTCAGAAAGCAAATGGCAAACTACTGAATGTAAAATTGCCTAGCTAATCCAAACAGCCAAACAAATGCTGTGGTTGGCACTGCAACGTTCTGTAAAAGGATATGCAAATAACTTTTTTAAGCAGCCAGGATCAATGTGTGGTGGTGGCGGCGCTAGTGGTGGTGGGCTCGTGCTCGTGAATCCTTCTAGTCTTTAATGTATGCTTTGTTTACAATTGGGCACGAATAGGAAAAGTAACATATGAAGGTCTTGTTTGGAATCTACACTGAAGCAGATTTTTAAAAATAATTCACCTGCAACTCCAGGTTGACCCAATCTAAAATGGGTACCAAGAAATGTCTTGGGAAGTTAAGGTGTCAGGTATGATACTGACAGCATCAGCCATCACATGCCACTAGGTCTATACAATCATTGGTGTGGCCTTGGGTGCAGTGTTCTTTCTTCTTCTTCTTCACATCCTCTTTTACCACTTCAGGTGTCAAGGGAGGTATATGATTCTGCTTATTGCTCTTCTAGCCGCCTTAACCACAGATAAATCATGCTGTTTTAGAGTTTCTCTGATGTTATCTCTCCATTTTGTTCTTGGTCTGTCTTGTGCTCTGCATCGTCCCTCTCATTCAGTGTATGCCCTGTATGGTATGGCATTACAAGACCTTTTTCTAAGTGGGCAAACCATTTGATTTGCTGTCTTTGCATGAAATTTATAATTGTTTCTGTGTTGACTTTGTTTCAGATGACCTCATTCCAGATTTTATCTCTTCTGGTCACTCCTGCAGCCCTTCTCAATCTCATTTGCAAGGGGTTCTTTACTTTTAGTTTTTGTGTGTGGAAATGTCTTGTGATTTTGTCTTTTAATTATCTAGTCGTCTCCTGCAAACATATTGAGGAATGCTGGAGATAATCTGTAGATTTTAGATAAAATAATTAAAAATGTATTATAGTAACCAATTTTTCGTACATAAATTTAGCAGGTTTTCTCAAGAGCCCAAGGAATAGTTTTACAGAAATGATTATTCGACATAAAACACACCACCATTTATGATACCCATTTGTGTAGACATCTGTACAAAATTCTTACAGATAACCTAAATATTTAAGTATCTCTTAAGCAAGACTGGATACATTAGCAATTCTAAAGCACCCTTATAGATACTATAAAAAGTAACTATTTCTCAAACACTACTACAGTACATTGGGTAGTCAATTTTTCTCAAGCACCATAACAGAAATTGTTGACAAGTTAATTTAATAAATCATTATATTTTGTTTAGACACTGTAGTTACTTTGTCAATACATATCACAATTTCATTCATTGTATCTCCTTGAGAGTCAAAATCGCTACCCATATAGGAGAAATGGTCCGTTATGTTTTACTGGTTTGTTCTCTAGCATGACATCTAAATCTTTGGTATCTTTAATATATTTTTTCTCATAACTTATTTGTAGTCCCATTTTTGATGGTGGAGATGACAAATCGTTTGTTTTTCTTTGCATGTCTTTGTTATTTTGACATAACAGAACAATATATCGTCTGTAAAATCCAGCTCTTCCAGTTGTCTATTCTCTACCCAATCAATGCCAGTACTGCCATTGCAACATTTTTTCATTACCCAAACAATGGTTACTCCAAACAACAATAGAAATATAATGCAGCTTTGTTTCACTCATTACCGCCAAAAACCAATCACTTAGACCAATGGAAAAATGTTCCATATTCCTACATTTCTCAAACATGATAGAGAGATTAATTTAATCACTGATTTTAAAACAAACTGAACAAGTTAATAATGTTTAAATAACAGACTACTCACATCACACTGTTCCTTTTTCAGAGTCTGCTTGAGGTCTTTAAAGTATATGCCTTCCACACTTGGAATACACTGTGAAATAGATTTAAAATCCTTAATGAAATATGACAAATTAAGTGCATCAGACTATACTAGCATTAATGGTCAGTAAAAGTAACATGAATATAGCTGTATCTGATAAAGTTTAACACTATGATCCTCATAGGCCACTAATCTGGCACTTCCAGCCACTGTATATGCCACTTAACCGGCAAAGCTGCATTCACTTGCTTAAAAAATGCCTAATAAACAGCACTGGTTCTGTTTGCGTCTGCATCTGTTTAGGAGGCCCCGAATTTGATTATATTTACTAAAAATAGCATTTGGGGTGGGATGGGAGTTATTTTGAAAAACAAAAATGGCTTTTAAAAAAAAGTCATTTTGACATCATAATTTACCTTGACCTAATAGTCACATAGCAAATGAGGTCACTGCGTCAAGTATGAGTCAACATATATATATTTAAAGGTTTAAAAAAAAAATGTAAATTGATACTTGTAAAGCAAAAATACAGATGGTTCAGCTAAGAGAGCAACAAGAAATGGAGGAGGAGAAATATACATAGAATGATCAAATCATTTCAAAACTTAACAAGCTATACCAACAGGTATTCCTCCAATTACATATTGGAGACAGATGTACTTCTAGTGACATGTTCTTTCCTGAATGGAAACAGCACAACAAATAGAGTGTTTGTTCTGACTGTGGATATGTCAGTTCTACAAGCAACTGTTAACCAAACATCTGATTTACTCAGGTTCTTCAATATAATTTTTTGTACTGTAGTAGATTCCAGGTCACTGTGGCTCGGAAGGCAAAGAAATAGTAAACAGACTGGCCAGAAGCGTCAGTGATATGGTGCATTCAAATACTGACTTAATGCACGATAGCTTTCATAAAAGCTAACAGCATCCTAACATGAGTTTTCTGGAAAAAAAAAAGGATTGAAGAAAAAGAATAATTTGTTGTATTTGAAAGAGTTTATAAGGAATTCTTGGGAACTCAGGTATTTTTCTCCTCAATGTTTTCTGAGCAAGGGGGTTAAACAAAGCAGAACCCAAAAAAATTAATAAATCAAAAACAAGGTAAAACTACACAGCTCTGGTGAATTACTCAAGACATGTGTGGTCAGAAAATCAACTGTTACAATTTGCAATTATATGTTCACTGACAATGAGATATAGAGCACAATATTCACTCCAATGATTGATTACATACCAGCCATAGGAGAGAAAGAGCACCAGCAATAGCATCCTGTCCACCTTCACATGGAGTCCTTACATAGAACATGATGTAACCGATCTGTAAAACATTTATATATATATATATATATAATAAACCAAACCCTTTGTGTTTTTCCTGTGTTCATTATAAGGTTAAAAAAAAAAGTAAAACTAGAATCGGGATATGTGAACCAGCATCATTGCACACAGTTATAAACTACAAGTGCTCTGCCACCAGTACAGACAGTTGTTAAGAACTGTCTGCCTGTGTCGCCGTCTGCACGCAGCCCTGTAGCTACGGCGACATTCCTCCACTTACCCCAGAGTGTTAACTCTAGTACCCATTACCTAGAGGCTGGGTTAACCCCAGGAAACACCTGGTGCTGCAGCGAGCCACAGCTGGATTTGAAAGTGAGTCTCCTATCGACTGCGCTAATGCGGCCCCTAGCTCATTCAATTTCCTACACGAATATATATAGTTTTGTATATGTTAATTACATGCTTTATTTTTGGATAATTTTTGTGTGCGTAAGCTAAGAGAATCCCCTGGTGAAGGCTCCGTCTTTTTGGCACTGAAACTACAAAAAGGCTCTGTCTCCAGAGGGTTAAAGAATGCTAACTGTCTACTTCTCCTGTGGGTAATCAGTTCCTTTTGTGAATTCATATAACTTCAAACTAATCTGCTACTGTCCATGATTCACTTTCATAAATCAGGATTCACTCTATGAATTCTCTTTTCCTATTAACTGACACAGATATTTTGCACAGAATACTCTTTGGCCTGTGAAATGATGCTTTTTCTTGTGCTATTCTATATTTGCCTTCTTCTTTAGTATTCTGAGCTTTTGAGGTTTATTGCTGCAGATATCCCACACCTCCATTCAGCTCTTTAAATGGCCTACTACTAGTTGGTGACTCCAGGTGTTTGCAGGATATCTGCCTAAATACCCGCCGCTTTCTTCTTGGTCTGCCACGTGGTCTACTCCTATTCAACTCCTCTGTGCATAGTTTTTGCCGCAGATGGTGAAAAATGAAATATAAAACTGACCATCTCTTATATATTTTTTGAAGCAAAATTTGAGTAAAACTAAAGCAAGATTCAAAAATTCAAAAAATTTTGCCAGTCATATAATATAACTTGATAGGTGCTGTTCACATTTCCAGGCTCAGGATTAGAGTAATTTTCCTTGCAATTCATGCCTCCTTAGGTCGCTGGACCTCTCCTATGTTGCGGGGGAGTCATGTTTTCCTTATTGTGAATGGTTTAACCACTGCCTCTTTTATCATCTTCTCATCGCTCACTTGCGTGATTATTTTCATGTTCTGCTATCTGTATGACAGTTTTTAGGCATGGAAATGCAATATTTTTTAGATTCTGCCCCCCCCCCCCCCCCCCCCCCCCCCCCCCCCTGTAACTGCTTTCTTTCTCTTGGGGGGAAGCCATCGCCAACAAATGTAGAAACGTCGTGCCTGCGGTACTCCCCCCCCCCGCAGGACTTTTTACTTCTACACAGGCACCTATGGCACCTGAAATAGACTCACAACAACACAACCTCTCACAAACATTACATACACCGATCAAACACCAAAAATAAGCAATATCATAACACATCCACAACATAGGAGAGGTCCAGTGACCTGAAAAGGCACGAATGGCAAGGGAAGTTACTCTAATCCTGGGCCTGGAAACGTGAACAGGACCTTTGGATACTTTTAAAATACTGGGGCTAGATTTGCTAATGATGTGAGAAAGCACCCTCTACATTTAAAATATTGGGGCTAGATCTGCCAGTGACATGAAAAGGGTGCTTTACTCTGACATCATTGAGCCTTGGTTTAGGTACCACATGACCAAGTCATTTCTTTGCATTTCCGTTGGTTATCAAAGTGAATAGCAATAATCCTATCTTTATAATGAAACCTACTGAGAACATAAACACTATTATACTGTGAGTTTGTGAGAACTGCAGCAATTCCACTTGATGAAGGCAGAACAGAAAATCTCACACTTTTCATACCTTGTGCAAGGAAATAAGCAAATACTAAGACTGAGTGTCGCTTTTGTCTTTCGGGATGACCAGCATTCAGATGATTATTCCCTAAAGGAGTGATCTCCCTGTGTGGGTTTTGTGGTTCCATTGTGAGGAAAATGAGAATAGACCCACTGCTTCCCCAACAAGCCTGTTGTAGGAGTCGACTAACTGAAGGCATCCTTAGAAGTCTGAGTAAATCTACCTGAGAGGCAAGGAACCAAGAGTCTGCATACAAATAAGCCATATGTGTGAAACGGATGTGCATGCAATACCACTCAGGCTCTGGAACAAAACTAAAGTCTGGGTTCTTTACAGCATTATAGATGCAATAATAACACAGAAAAACAACACATTGATGACAGTGAATTTTATCAGTCTAAACTTACCAGATAATTAAAGATAGAGTGAGCTGCCTGGGCTGGCATCCGAGGAAAATACAAAACAAGTTTGCGCAGCAGAAATATCAGTTCTTCCTGTTGGTAACACAAACAGAATATTGCTGAATTTTGACTTTTCACCTTTTGTTTTCCAATCACTCTCATACTTTACGAGCAATATTCTTTTAATGTGAATGACACCTCAGTTTGCAATGTTAATCTATGCAACTATCTATGCCAGTGTTAAAAATATCAAATGGCAAAGGCCATCATAACCTATACTATATGTTTCTTTTAATGAACTTATAAACTTTTGTAAGCAATAGTAGAAGGTGAAGCATTTGTATACCTTGGAAGTAAAGTTACAACAGATGAAAAAGATAAAACATTCAGAATAAACAAAGCCAACCGGGCATTTGCCATAATCAACAATATGTGGAGGTCACAGGCACTTAGTCTGAAGATTAAAACTCAGAATACACACAAACAAATGAAGAATTCAGGAGGGAAACAAACTATTTATCACTGCAAATGTTCTTAAGGGAAAAAAAACATTATGTGACTTGGACACATTTGCAGAATACCTCATGACAATTTGGTAGAGGTAGACGAAAAAAAAAGAACTGAACTGAACGACTAAAAGAAACTGGAGAAGGACAGCTGAAAAGGAAAAGAAATAAAACATGGGACACCAAGAAACAAAAAATGCAGATTTGCAGCAGTGGAAAAAACGACTTGAGAATGTCTTTTGTGTCAACAATTACAAGAAGAGTATATAGACAGGTTGTTATAGGAAAACAACAGGGTGTGTGGAAGCCTGGGGAAAACAAAACGGTCACTTCACTGCACAAAAACCATGATAAAATATGGATGAAATCCTCTAACATGGGATTAACTCTTTGGCTCCATAATGCCTACATTCTGGTATCAGTTCACTTACAAAGTGTTTATTGAGGAGGCCAGGATGCGATTAGTTACAACCGTGCCAGAAAGGGGGGTGGTGAAAACTTCCCTTTTTAAAGCCACTATGACATCATAATTTGCACTTAGTCAACAGTGAAACCATGAGTCATAATATGAGGCACACAATACATTGTTTAGGCCCAAGAGAATGTAATCTATTTAATTATTTAGTTTGTCAACTGATTAATCCCCTGATATATTATGCAATTTGTGTGTGTGTGTGTGTGTTAAATGTACATATATTTTTGACAATTTATTAGTGACCTGGGTAAAATGGTTGTTCTGTTGATGTTTTTTTTTTTGGGGTAGGAATTTGTGGGTTCTGGGCATTTTATCCAAAAGATTTCTGGTGCGGCAGGGTTAACTCATAGAACACAAATTCAGAGAAAAGGCCTTTTTATCTAAAGGATTTCTGGTGCGACAGAGTTAACTAACAGAACACAAATTCTGAGAAGAGGCCTTTTTATCTAAAGGATTTCTAGACGACAGGGTTAACTCATAGAACACAAATTCTGAGAAATGAAAATGGGTGATAAACCAGTAAGCTGTCCATAAATATGTACCTGTCTGTCTTTATTAGTCAGTTTCTCTAAGAAATGTCTCAGAAAGAGAATCGGATCATCCACAATGCAGTCCCAGATCACTTTGTATGCTACTTCAGCCACTGTTGAGAAAAATATTTTTTTTTAATGGAAAGTTAAAAAATGTACATAGTTCTGAGATTACTTAATAGAAAATAATATGTTCAGAGTGCAGACTGTTTAGCATACAATGTTCACATGTACAATCCTGAGAGTTTTTTTAAAATGAAAATGCTAAGTTTTACACATCTGAGATATTTTTGTCAAAAATCATTAACAGAGAGCACCAGAAAACAGCTGCCTTTTCTGAGTTTATGATAGCACCCATTTCTGCACACCAGTGAGTCACTTTGTCTACAGCTGCCTGTAGCTCTTAGGCTATCCGTTACCTATTACTCCCCTATCTATATCATCAGCAAATGTCAATATCCTTCTAACATCTGGTGCTTCAAGTTCTGCAATCTTGCTTGAATACACATTAAAGAGCACTGGTGAAATTGCAGAACACTGGGGTAGTCTCACGGCGATATTACATAGTTCTGAGGTCCATGTACCAGACGAAGGACAACCATATGTGAATGCAGAACAGCTGCTATCCAGTTCACGAGCCAGGGACCAAATCCCTGAGGTTTGTTGACAGTGACATGTCTAAAACCCATGCAGGAAACATTTCCAGCATAGGCCTAATCCCAAATTCTTTAGTTTATAAATTTTTTTATCAATAGCGAACAAAATTCTTTCTAATTAGCCAATCTGAAATCTGACTGCATTGACTTAACATTAAACATATCTATTTAACAATCCTAAAGTAGTAGGTAAATGAAGCTCTAATTAGCCAACCTGAAACCCCATCAGCATTGACATCATGATCATCAAGCAAGTGCAGAACAGGAAGAACAGCAGCACAGATGCATGATGGGAACACAGACTGAGCCATCTGCAGGTGGTGGCCATGTTCTGGTCTATCCTCATCACCTGTTGAAAATGCCAGCCCATCATAATTAGAAATGCCAGGAACAGTTGTCAGAGCCATAAACAGGGACTTCATATATAAGAATGCTTGTTGAATGTGTCTCATTAGTATAGATTACACACTGATCAATATTAATAGGTGAAATAATCATGGACAAACCAATTTAACTAACTGATTCATGTTTTAATCAAAATAAAACAAGATTTTTACTATTTTTTTTAAATCAAAGTGGAGATGGTTCTCAAGGCTTTCGGACAGTGACATGGGAGTCCAGGAGGCAATGAGGCCTCAGCATGTTGACTGTTAAATGCTGGACTGAGAATCAACATCATAGCGTTGGGAACACTGCCATAAGTGCCTCAGCATGTCATTTTCTCAAAGAATGTAGTGACATTCATACCCACCACAGCCAGCCTCCACTGTGGAGATGACACACAATTTATTCATGAATTTCTTCAGCACCCCAAACAACGCATCGTGTGTGACTGGATTTAATAATCATTTGTACCGGTCAAAATATTATCAGTCTTGTACACTTCAAGTTTGGTCAGGGCAACAGTCTAACACCCAAAAGCACACCAGTCTCCTACAAGAGTTGTGTATTTAGTTCCTGTATATGTAGTATATCCATGATTGCGCGGTTGTCCTTACTACCTCATTTGGGATTCAGCTATGGCCATCTAGGCTGAAGGAGTTCAACCAGAACAACAGTAATTCAAGTCCACACGCTATCCACTAAACAGTCTATCATTAAACAGAATACAGCAGACTACCTTAGTTGTAATCTCTGCATACAGAAAATAAATAACATGCTACAGATGTTCATTCTATTATATACAGAGAAACTAAAGTGTTTGCAGGTAACCATGCAACCACTGTGTCATACTGCAAGGTTATCTGGCTGTATTATTGTTATAAATAGTGCCAGTACATGAGAAAACTAGTGCAGGTCATGCTTTGTGTGTTACTAAAATGTATGAATAAAACACTGAAAACATTTGTTCACTCCATTCACACTGGCTTACCAAACTAATTTAAAACTCACAAATTATTTTTAAATGGCAAGAAATAGTGTGTCTGATAAACTGATAATGTAATTAATTAAACTGACCCCTGCCATACTTTTGTAATAAAATAATACATGCATAAATAATATTAACACATCCTTAAAAATACATGATTTTGTCTCTGAATAGTTAGTCATATCAGCTTATGGAATCATTAATCAAATGCCAAGCATGAAGAAAATAAAAATCTGACTTAAATAGTGAATAATTTATATATCAAAGATGGTCCAAATAATTTCTACTGTTTACAGTTTTTTAACAACTTACATCAAACATAGATAATTGTGATTTCTTTTCCCCCCAAACTTAATGCTATTCACTGAAATGAAACTCATGTTTTGAGAACAAAAATATAAATAAGGCATGACAGAAACACCATTTTACTACCTTCAGCGGCCAGTCTGCCCCAGTGCAAACTGCCGTTTCGCCAGGACATGCTGCGGCTTTGATTATTGGCCCGATTGGTTGGGGCCAGTGACACACGTCGTGCCGCCAGTGTCAGCTCTTCTTGTACCACTGCCAGACATGTCCAAACAAGCAAACAATGGCACACACGTTACAAAAGCTGAGAGAAGCCCGCCCCGGCGAAAAGTAACAAGAAATCAGCTCACTAGGCAACCAACCCAATCAAGGACAACACAAATGTCTTCCACTTCTGCTCTCATATATTCTTAACCAACTCTACACTGAGAATTTTACAATGTCTAAAAACAGCAATTATCCACATAAAGTATGAATTAATATTTCTGAAAACATCACTAATCTTGTTATCTTGAAAAAATTTTTTTTTCAAATCTTCAATATATTTGGCAGAGAAGACAAATGTGTAACGCCCTAAAAGGGTAACCGCGCCTGTTTTAGTATGTGTTAATAATGTCACTTTGCACCGGTGCGCGCTGTGAATAATCATTCAATGGTTAATAACAGTTTCAGATATCACCACAGATAGACGGGAATCAGAATGCCACAGGGATGATGAATATCAAAACAATCATTTAAAGATCGAATGCTGTAAGGCATTTACATTTGAGATAGTTGCACAGTTTAAGTTTAATATTAGTCTCCAGTAATCTCCTCACAAATACTGCTAGCTGTTTTATACACAACATCTATCTCACACCTACTGCTGCAAAAATTCACTACTATACTGCTTCCCTGTCAAACCCTGTTTTCAGAGAATGGCACTCCATTTGCTTGATTCAGAAATATTGACCAACCATGAAGGCAACATGAAATGATGTGCATTTAAGCTTTCAATTGAAATAGTTTTAACCAAACCATGTTATAATTATAATGTCCTGACATGGGGGAGTAACAAATAAGGAGAGGTTATGGATAACATAAAAACCCCTCAAAAAGGTCGGACTAGTCAATAGGTGAACTTGACCCTTACATTCACTGACAGACACCCAGCCTTACTTACACAAAGACAGACAAAATCATCACAAATTACCAACAATCATAGAAATGACAGAACACAGAGTCATACTTGTGTATGATATTATTGCTTGCTTACAACTTTATTTCAAACTTAAAACCCCCTTGAATAACTACAGTCTGGGCAGCTTCACAGTGAAGGAACATGTCCCAAGCCTATCATTTCAAACTACACTACTTTGTCTCTCAGGCAAATTTCTGTTTGTTTTTGTTTTTGGTTGGTTTTTGTTCTTTTGAAACCTAACACTGCCACATATTCATTTAACTACCAACATTTACATCAGTATTATTAAGTTTCACATATAAGTATCCTGACTATTAAAAAAAAAAAAAAATGAAAAATGGCTTCTAGAGAATTCAGTCTGTGATGTTCATTAAACATTTGTTTACAATTACACACTAAGAAAATTTTTACAGTTTCCTATATCATTTGTTTCCTAATCTCGCACCCCCCCTCCCCCTCCCTCCCCCCTCATTTTAAACACTATATTCCTTAAGAAATTATTCAATGACACTCTATATTATAAACTTCAAGCTCTTAGTTCAATTATTGTTTGCCCAACTTTCCTAGGTATTTGTACTTTATCATTGTGCTGAGTTTTACTCCATACAGATTGGTTTGCCTGAACCGGATGTCTAGTTGCCATCAGAGAGCATTACTCAAAGCATACACTTTGTGCATTGTTGACAATCCCCAGGGTATTCTGTAAGAATTGCATGCTATCATAAAACATGCATGTCCATTGTCAGAAATGGTCTTCTTCATCATTGAAGGTCCTAGAGTTGGCAAATTAACATTTCTACCTGAGGATCATTATGTCACTGTTATCATTTAACAAGAGAGCAGCAGACTGCTCTAACTGTGTAATGTGGTCTTTAACCTAAGTTTTATTTTCCGAACACATAGTTCACACATAACATATGTAATTCAATTAACGTGCACGCTCACACACCATTCACTTCAAGCTCTGTCCGACAGATTTGAGGGGTTAGCGGTAGGAAAAGCTGTGCATAAATCACAATAGTCACAAATTACGCCAGCTGGGTACAATGTTATATCTATAGGTATATATATAAATATATATTCACTCTGAAAAATGACACCTCTCAGAAAACAAGGTAGTGTAGACAGCAGCCCTAGTTTCTGTTCCATCAGTGCCAATAGCCTGCTATAAATATTGGTTAGTAACTGGCTAGAACAGTGAAGATGATCAGTTGATGACCTGTTCACTGCTAGCTCAGTCTTGCTGAGCAGTGAGAATGTCAGCAGGCTAGAGACACTGACAGTTAGCATTATGTCTACACTGATATAGGTCAACGATACACTTAAATCAAGGAATGTTTTCATCTGGTTATAATGTTTTTCTTTTCCAAATAAGACATTCATAAACACGTCTCTGATGCTACAAATAGGGGAAGAATAAGTGTACATTATAACTACCTAGAAAGTGTAGGTTTAAAATTTATAGGGAGGGGGGATGAAGAAATGTCTCCTAAAACAAAGGAATGTTTTATGGCTACTAAAGTGTGAGTTGTACAGAAATGGAAAAGTGAAAAGCTTGCATGAAATGAAAACTTGTGATTAACAGAGTTACACGACATCCCTATTAGAACAGTGTTAACAGAGACTCATGCAGATACAGTTTTGAAGATTATCTTACAATATGTGCACATTATTATGTCTGTAAGGGTTATTTGAAACTGTAGTTTATAATAACAATTTCTTGCATATGCAGGACAGGATGCAATAACAACAAATCATAACAAGAGTCATCTCTTTATACTTTCATATGGGCACTGTACGTATTTGTTAGCATTGTTGATTATTCGTAGACTTATGATGTAGGTTTAGTTTTGTATAATTATTTACATTTACAGACATTACATTATTTACAGAACAGAGCTGACAAGATTCCTTCATGGTACGCATGCAGTCCACTCCCTTACCTTCCTCATGTTCTGCCTCTCCATGATGGAGAGCTGGCTCATACGCTGCCAGCTGTGTAATGGGCACTGTGGTCATAGGGAAATTCTCCCGTCCAACTCGTTTGCGTTCCTCCTCAGCAAGCAAGGCTTTACGTATCATTTCCTGCTGCTGCTTACGACGAGTTGTTGTTGCAGTCACCAAGGATTTCTGATACATTCAACAAATAATTTCCATCACTTCTACTGTAGTAAACATTTATGAAGAAAACAGGGCAGACAGGTAAAAAAGATCTACATGCACTTTCACAGCATACTATAGGAGCTTTCTAAGAGGAGATGAAGTGGGTCAAGATAGACTTGGATCCAAAATCTGGATGACTGGATACTCTTCAAATATGAAAAATTCAAGTATGGAGTAACTGCTGGCCAGAAATGGAAAGACCTCATTAACAGTCAACAGTAACTTGGAGATCCATTGACACTGTGTTATGGGACTATAGATTGTTTGTTTGTTGCTTGTTTTCATATCCAGAAGCCATGAGTATGGGACTATAGATACAAGCATTGAGAAGTATCAGGTTGCTGAAGTTAAACACTTTAATGGCATTACTGCTGTCACCTGTCTAAGATGACTTGGGAACTGAACAATGTTTTCTTTAAACACAAATCTCATTTGATTTCCGACTGTGCTGAATCAATGGGAACTAGGCTGTGTTTACCTCTAAAATAAGTATACATATTTGAGAATTAGCATAAAGAGAATTTACCGTAAAGATAAGAGAAGAGGTAGTCATGTTTTGCCTATACTATGAGTCAATGAGAAATTGAAAAAAAAAAAAAATGGAAATAAAAAAAGAGTTGCTGGGAAAAAAAATACTGAATATTTTGGGCACACAACACTCATATAAAAACCCGTGGGAAATAAATGATGAAGACGAGCAAGCAAGAGGTAGACAGTGGGAGGATAAAATCAATAGACAGAGAAACTATCAAAGACTACAATAAGGACTAAGGGTAGATCCTGTTGGAGACCCATCACAGCCAACCTTCAATGTGGAGACAGAACCTGACTGACTGAATGAATGAGAGAAAATTCTGTAGTCTTTTTTTTTTTCTTCACGTCAACAAAACAGGGCAGATAGGTAAAAAGATCTACATGCTCTTTCACAGCATACTATAGGGATCTAGAACTGATATATGTTGAAGACTGCAAGACACCAGCTTTTTTTATTTGCTCACACACAACTGGTTCACACAAAACCAACTTTGTAACAAATATCAAGGTGGTATTAGATTCCATATTATGCAGAGAATGCATAAGGTAAGCCATAATCATCTTAGCTAGCAGCATATTAATACAGCAATGATACAGAGGACACACTTTTAACAGAACAACTTCCTCAATAGTCATGTCTAATAAAATAGCTAATCATGTCCCTACTGTTGTGACTGTTTACATCAGAGCTATAACAATATCATAATTTGCCTTTATACTGCATACATTTCATAATTTTAGCTAGAAAACAACATACACTTAATCAACAATTACAAAATTTACGACTACACTGGATTATACAGAGAAGCTGGAATATTTTTAAATTCAGAAATGTCACAATATGAGAATTCTGATAGCTGTTGAATAAATAACCACATTCAGGGTCAAATACTGCCTACCGTTTCTTCCTGATTGACTGTGACCTCTTCTATGTTTGTTTTGAAGTGAGGCATCCACGGAGGGTCTATGACTGTCAAATTAGGCAGGCCAATGGTGGGAGACGGTAAGGTAAAATCAATGCTAGGAGGTGGAAGCTGCAAAATAAGAACATCATTTCAGATCTTGAAGCTACACATTACTCTTTGTTCCGTCTCAGAATTTTATCTACTAATGAATTATCAATTACAAAACAACAATCTTTCAAATCTTCTATCTCTTTTACCTTAAACTTGTCTCTTCATGATGACTTCAGTTCATTGCTATGTTCTTTTATGTGACCCAAGTACTCTATCTCATTTTCATGTTTTTCAAAAACACACTTTTTATGTGCAGTAGTTAAAAGACTTTTCACTCACACGTGCACACACACACACACAACTGCCACTATCTATATTGTATAAATACATGCTAGTCTTCTAAAGACACACAATTCAAAAGTTGGTAAGTTTCACGATAATCTCCCCACATTAACACTAGCTCACTTCTGATTGGTGGACCTTCACACACTGCTAGGGGATTGTTTGGCAAAGCCCTTGATATCCCGTGTTGTATATATAAGCACATCAACACTTTTAACACTACAAAAACATTTAGAAACTGGGTCTAAACCCACAACAACCCTAGAGGGTGCTGCAACCTGTGTCACAGGCATTCTCTATCTCTGAAGAAAAACGTAAATGTAAGACAAGCCAGAAAGGAAACAACATAGCCGTAACCCCCCAGACAGCAGACAAGTCTAAAAAATGTATCAATGGAAAGTGACCTAGTTCAGCTGGGGAGATTATCGTGGAACTAACTCAAGAGTTTTAATTGTATTCTCTACTTTTAATTGGCAAGGCCTAACATGTGCTGCCAAGCATGGGAGATAAAGCTCTCAGGATGACAATTAGTTTCTGAAGAATCTTTTTATCTGTCCATTTTAAACAAATAATCATGCAGAGCCTACCTTGAAAAACATGTTGGCACCATCCTCCATTCTAGGCCAAACTTGGTAACGGAACTTCCAAAGTGCACCAAATCTGATGAATAAATCAGCAGATTATTACCTAACACAAACACACTGATTAAACTAAAAAAATAATTTTTTTAAAAAAACCTGTTTTGTTTTATATTTTTGTTCTATGATAAAATCACTTATGCAGAGTTCAGAAAAAAAAAAACTAAACAAGTTGAAGTGAACTAAGAGATGAATCTAACTAGAAAATCCCTTCCTTAGAATCCACAAGGTAAAGAATCAGAAAAAGATAATCAGAGATGGAGTAGAACAATTCAGGAAGGATATGGCAAAACTGGTCCTGAAATCTCATGCTCTAATTGTGGAAAACTTCCGAATGCGAATACTGCCATCGCAATAGGTTATGATTTCCCTGCACCCCTTAAACACAATATACAGTGGGGCATCAAAGAAAACCCTAAAAAGTGTTACATAAATTAAAACAGTCATGCCACTCACTTGTAACATGTTGATATTGTTGTTACGGATGTCAAGAGTATTAAGCACCTGAAATCACACTGCAGACAAACAGACGTCATACTAACAGTTTGAAGATGGCCGTCCAACATTAAAAATGTACCAAAGAGAATTGTTCTTTTATCCATTTAAAAAAAAAATTCAGTGTCGGGGTGAAACCTATAGGAATTTACCAGCAAATGAAGTTCAAGTATGGTGATGCATGCCTGTCAGTCCAGAGGCTTTTCTGTACGAGGCCTTAAACAACTGCAATCGACCCTGGGCTCACTACTCACTACTGTATTGAAATTTCCTACTACACCACTCACACACCTGCTAGACTGTCAGGTATGCATCACCATTCCAGACCTTCCATCACTGATGAAATTCTATAGGTGTCACCCCTTCACTGAGTTGAAAAAAAATTGGGATGGCCCTCTTTAAAGTGTCATTATGACTTCACCATGTTGGCCTGTACCATAATCTCACATGCTTAACCCACTTTACATCCTTAATAATACTAACAGGTCACCAGACAATGGCATGGTTTTTGTAATTGCTTTCATACTTTTAAGGTTTTCATTTGAAGCCAGCTTGTAAAATCAATGTCAGAAAAGATGGAAAGGTGCCAACTATAAAGTGAAATGCCGTAGATAGCAAAAGATAGGACGGCTTGATGTGGGTTGGGGGGCCTATGCTCCAGTGAGGGATACAAGAAAGAAGAGATTTATATATTACCTGCACACAAACATGCATATATGTTCACTGGCAGATCAGAAGGAAACATACTCACAGATAATAATAAGAAAACAGTTAAGAAACTGGTAATAAAATGCAGAGGTTATTATAGCTAAAATGTAAAAGATTTATAAACAAAACGTGTCATGATACCTTAGCACTGCATTGATTCTCTGGCTGGTCTCTTCATGCTGTAACTCTTTGATTATCATGTTTCTGGCCTTATCAGATGATTTTGCAGAGGACAGCAAGAAGACAGATGCTGTCAAAAAGGACACATTAAAAAAATGTATCACACCTAAGATAAACAAAAGTGATAATTATAACAAGGAACTACATGACTGTTCCCTGCTTATAAAATAATGATTTCTCACATACACCAAGTTTTTTTTATTTATTTCGCATCTATTTAAATATTCCTGTTTTTACATAAATCTATTCACAAGGGGGCTTCAAAATAACAAAACATTGTTCCTCTTTGGTGCATGTTAAGAACAGGGTGGCCATCTTAAAACTGTCAGTATAACATCAGTGTTTCTCTGCGCTCTGATATTAATGTGCTTAACACTCCTGATATCTGTAACAATACTGCAGGTTACAAGATAATGGCGTGGTTATGGTAATTTCTTTCACAAGGTTTTCCTTTGAAACCTCCTTGCAGAAAAAAGCAATTCTCAACCTGCACAGTTTATGGTGACTGCACTAGCCAAGTGGCTCTAAATCCTTAGGCTGAAAAAATAACACATCACTGTTTTTTATACTCACATACTTCTCAATAATACTATTCAGATTCTCATTGAAGACTGTGATGCAATTAAAAAAAATATAAAAATTTATGATCATTCTCAATGATCTCAAAGTTGGAACATTAGAAAGGCTGGTCTTGTTTGCTAGTCTGTCACTGAAGTTTATTATGTAATGTTGACAAAAATGAATGTTTATGATGTGCTGTTTTTTAACCCCCCCCCCCCCCCCCCCAAAAAAAAAAAACCATTAGTATTCTTGCCTGTCCTGAAGCAAAGCTGAACACAATACCAACAAGAGTTTTCTGTCAACTAACCTGCTGCAGCAGCAAGTTCCTGATCACTCTCAAGCATCAGCTCCCAGGCAACAGGCATGATGTCGATGAAGTGTTCAACATTCAGGACTGGGGCTGCTTTTGTTAGAATGGCCATGGGGCACTGTGTCAGTCTCTGAGCCTGTCACAGACACAGGTTAAGGCATTCAAATATAGAGGCAAGGTACAGGAACACAGGAATTAAGATGATACAATCAAAATTACAGTTTACTTTGAGCTTTCATAAAATACTATAATCAAAACCAGAGACATCTTGGAGTGGGATTATTGTTTGCCTGGCTCATTCTTATGATTTTCTGTGTGGATTTTTGGAAAGGGGGAAGCTTCTCCCAAGAGGTCTAGGAAGCTACAGGCCAGGAAAGGACACATAGGCAAATGCGGCCACTTTTGCTTTTGACGTCTATGAAGGGTTCCAGAACAGACAGAAAACTCTTCCTGAGACTGTCTACAAGTGTTTTTAGGCTAACAACTCCCATTCTGTTCTAGTTCATGTAATAAAGGGTGGCTCCCATATAGATTTCCTTCTTGCAGCGGGCAGCGATAGCACTGGATCACGAGGATGCTTATAACAAAGATACGACATCTTGATGACTGCACTGAAGGAGATCAGTCCATGGATGGTGAATTGGATTGCAGCTGTCCTGTATTCACGTCAGGTTGCTCTTAGACTGGGCTCATGGACCTCAGAACCATACAGTTTGGCCCCAGGACTGCCACAGGGATCCGCCATCTCGCCTGTGCTCTTTAACGTGTATACGAGCAAGATTGCAAGCCTAGAAGCACCAAGAGTTGGAAGAATACAGACTTTTGCAGATGATATACTTGCATTTAGGCAGGGGGAAGAGAGGGAACAAACCGCCTGGGAGCTACAAGCAACAATAGACAAAGTGACTGAGTGGTGTACAGAAATGAGGGCTGTCATCCACCAGGAAAAGGGGTCTGTTTTGTGTTGTTCTCTGGACAACAGGATGGTTAAAGCTAATGTCCCAATTCTCACGATAGATGGTAGAAACATCAACAGAGAGAGCAAACTAAAGTATCTGGGAATTGCATTTGACAAGAGCCTGTCCTTTAAGGACCATGTAGAGAGTGCTGTGATAAGATGCCAAAAAGGACTTGGTGCACTTAAGACTATGGCTGCAATTGACATAGAGCAGAGAATGCTTTTCACACTATATCAGCACCTGATCCTGTCAGTGGTTGATTATGGCCTGGGAATACTTACCGTCTCAATAAGTCAGATGGACAAACTAGAGCGCATACAGAACGCAGCAATGCGGGTCATTCTGGGTTGCACCAGAGACACCCCAGTGGTGTGTATGCGATACACCCTTGGTTTGCCGACTGTTGTAGGTAGGCACAAGGTGCTGCAGGCAAAGTCATATCTCAGGGTAGCTGCAGACACAGACCACCCTTTGCACGAAGCTCTGGGTGCAGTTAAGGGTCAGCGGCTGATATGAGGGAAGAATGGCTCAGGCAGAAGACACAATCAGACAGGTTTGCATTCTTGAGAACATTAGGCGAGGAAAGGAGTGGGTCAAAGTGCCACCTGAACAGTCAGACTTGTGTAGGGTCATAATCACACTGAGCCAGGAATGCAGAGACTGGCCAGCATGTGCCACGGAGGTGGAAATTAAGCAATTAATTCAAGATAATGCTCGCTCAGAAGATTTGATCATTTACACAGACGGTTCAGTGTCAAGAGGCAAAAGAAGTGCTTGGGGTTTCTTAGCAAAAGTTAACGGTTAACGTTTGGCGCAGGAGAGCCTAGCATATGATACCACAACATGCAGCTTAAGAATGGAGGTGAAGGCTGTCACTGCAGCTTTCCGCTGGCTAGAGAACACGACACACAAACACATTGTGATTGTAATTGACTCAGAAAGCATGCTGAGGAAGATCAGGACAGGCATGCTTCGTGCAGAGTGGCATGCCTCGTTGCGGAAGACATGGGTGAGGAGTATTGTCTGGATTTTTTTCACCAGGGCATGTCAGTGTGTTGGGAAATGAACAGGCGGACAGACTGGCTGGCTCTGCAAAGCTTGGTCAAATACCTATCAATCTGTTAGGAAGGACTAAACATCATTCTGAGGAGGCCTGAAAGGAACTAAAATTCATATTTTTCTGAGACTGTCTCTGTGATGTTTCCTATTCTCTGTGTGATTTCCCTACCTGAGATGTCAGGTATCTAATGATTGGAGGCTCCTCCTTGGCTTCTTTAGGCTTGTCATCTTTCTTCCAGGTTGAGCTTAACTTTAGCTTTGTTAAAGAAACATCGGTTTTGATCTTCTCCAGAAGAGGTGTGCTTTCTCTTCTCCTCACTGATGGAGAAGCCACTTGAAAGATGGATTCCTAAAAGAAGGACCAAAAAAATATAGTCAGGTGCATTTCCAACTTGATGCTCCATTCTTGTGCCAGCAAAAACCACACAGAATGTCCAACACTGCCTCTTGTGAAAAAAACTGACCAGTTTTGGCAAAGCCAATAGCATACACACACATTAAATACATAAGGCAGCCATCAGAAGTGCCAACACAAACAGTCTGCCACTAGAACTACAACTAGAATTGCAGGTTCTCATCGATTGAAGCAGCAGTTACCACAGACTGATAGTTACACACACAATACCACATAAGGGACACCCAGTTCTGTGATAACACTCAACATTTTCTGAATCTGCAGTTCACAACATAAACCACATTAGGCAATCAAAAGGCATTTCAAATGAAATCCACAGCTCAGTGTAATGCATTCTTTTCTGTAGCTGGGCGATGGAACTATATATTTCCAGTCCATATTTGGGGGGGAATGCAAGCTAACTGTGGCAAGAGGCAAAAAACTTGTTAAGACTAAAAACTGTAAGCTTTCATATCTGCCATATCGGATCACAAAGTATAAAAAAAAGAAATGAAACAAAAAAGCAAGCCTTCAGATGATATACAACTACAACACTACTGAGAATGTAAATAAAAATTGAAGCAAAGCAATCTATTTACCAGAAAAAGTATTGCTCTCTCTCTCTCTCTCTCTACGTCTCCTAACATATATTTTAAGTCTTTACTGTGTGCATGTCGGCGTTTGCGGCTTAGGTGTTGCAAACGCACTTCGTAATACTGGGGTGCCGGGTTCGATCCCAGCCCCAGAGATTTGGCAGCAGACTGTCTTGTGTTGTTTTCACCTGTGATACCGAGAGCTGACCTTTCAGAAAGCAATGACAAACTACTAAACATAAAATTTGCCTAGAAAAACCACAACAGCCACAAAATGCTGGAGATGGTTCTGCAACGTCCTGTAAAAGACATGCAACTAACTTAATTGTGTGTTTTTTCAGGGTTCACATAGTGTGTTTACTGCCACATTAATTTCATACATGTATCTCCCAATGGAGTATAGGCTCTCAACCAACTCATGCCAAACATCCTATCTTTTGCTTTCATATGCAGCTCACCCCTGCCCTCTTTATCTTTTTAACTTTTCTCCAGTTCCTTTCTTCATGGTTTTCTAGGTCTATCTTTGTTCTCTGACCATGCAGGTTCCAGTGCAAAGACATTCTAGTTATATACTAGTCATACTGCTACACAGTTGCCTGATTAATTGACAGCTTTCCGTCTTTCCAGACGATAGGGTTATATTGCGCTATGAAGAGGCATGGGACTCACAGCCGATGGCGATAACGAGTGTGACGAGCAACACTTTTGTTTAGTCTGTTTCTCTACACAACACAGTCTATGGCATTTTGTTTCTATCAGTCTACCTCAATAGGAAGGACTAAACATCATTCTGATAAAATGTAAAAATGTTTCACAGCTCAATTCGTGTCCTACGTGTTCATTCATCTCTGTCCTCAATATATCTTTCATGATGGTTTTCTTGAAAGAGGGGGGGGGGGGGGGGGGGGGGGGTGGTCCATTTATTTCTTTGACCCAGAGTTCCAGGACATGGACATTCTAGTTATTCTATTATCAGGTTTTCTCAGTGTTATAAATAACAGACTATTAAAACATATACAGTATAGTTACAGTAGATGGTAAGCAAAAGGTAGACAGTGAAAGAAGGGAGAGGATAACATTAAGAGATCAATGAACAGTAGTCTGAGAAAAGGTACAACCATACGAGATATATATTGCTGGAGATCAATTGTAATCAACCTGAAGGTGGAAACAACACCTTCCCAACTAACTGATCCAAGCCATAAATTAATATAAATGTGCCAAAAACCCAAATCTAGATAAATATGCACACATATATATGGAGACAATAACAAACTGACTGGAATGTCTTCTTCTTCGCGTTCACCAGCTGTACACTCTGGTGGAAAGTTCTGGTTGCTCGTCCACTACTGAACTGCAGTCCTGCTCCAGAACCTGAGTGTTGCATGTGCATCAGTTTTACAGATCTCATTCTCTTGAATACAGACTGTTGGTTCCTTGCCTCCCCGGCAGATGCATTCCGACTTCAAAGGAAGCTCCCCAATTAGTCGACTCTTACGACATGCCTTTGGGGGGGCAGTGGGTCTATTCTTGTTTTCCCCACAATGGGGCCCCGGAACCCACACGGGGGGGGGACACTGGAATGTAATACTAGACATTATGCCAAAAATGAATGGCCAGTAAACCTAACATTTAACGTTAGATGTTGAACCAGTTAAATGTAGACTCACCCTTCTTTTGAGCTTTTCTTTCAGTAAGTCTCTCTTTCCATCTGTATGTTTACTAGTGTCTTTCTCATCCTCTTCAGTTGACTCGTAAATTTTCCGCAGTGCTGTAGTAAGTCTTGAGCATGACCGCCGTTGGCGCTCATAACAGTTCGGATGACAGTAGTTTTGGTGAGTACAGATGAAGTTTGACAGATTTGCTAACTGTACCACAACCTGAGAGAAGGAAATTGTAACAAATGTCTTTGGTACTTTATTTTTAATTTACCCCTAACAAAGGAAACCACAGAGTTCCTGTATGAGTGTAATATTCTAGGGTGTTGCAGGTTGGGCTTAGGTTTAGGGTTAAGTTAGTCAGTGTTTCTGAGGTAGTTGGGTCTGACAAAGATCCTAACCCTAACCCATAACACCTTTAGAATACTGGACTTTCCAAGAAACTTTAGGATTTCCTTTGTGTGGGGTAAATTAAAAAATAAAGTACCATTTCTTCCAGTCTCTCTCTTTCTCTCTCTCTCTCTCTTTCTCTATATATATATATATATATATATATATATATATATATATATATATATATATATATATATATATATATATATATATATATATATATATATATATATATATATATATATATATATATACACATACATACACACACACACACACCCACCCACCCACCTTTTTTACCTCATGGAAGTGTTATGGAACTGATAATTCCCTATGGAGAAAACTGTGTATGAAAGTAGTATATAGCAGCTTTTGTTGTTGGGGTGTGAAGTATTACCCCTTCACATATTATAGGTCATGACACATACAAGGCAGGATTTCTGGACTATTTCTTGTTACTTTTTCTTCCCTGAGAATAACCAGAAAATTATGAAAACTATCAGTGTATTTTTTTTTATGAGGCTGGGTGATTCTAAGGAAACAATCCTGCCTCAGCTGGAGATTAAACCAGGACCATTGTCTTGGCAGGCAAGTCCAGTACTTTGCATCTCTGAAGCCTTGATGCATGTGACATGCAATGGATTATCCAACATCTTGTTAAAGATATTATCATTAATGTTGATGGTGAGGATAACTTTACTGAATACAGATGCAATAAGATATAAAATAGAGTAACAGAAACATAAGAAACTGACCAAATGAGTTACAAAATAGAGTAAAAGAAAAATTAGACACAGACCAAATGACTTAACAAATAAGAGTAACAGAAACATTAGAAACAGACCAAATGAGTTACAAAATAAAAAATCAGAACAGTAAAACAGAAATTAATATTAACTGGAAACACATTACTGTCTGTTTTCAAAACATTGTTTATAACAGCAGTATACAATACCTGACAAAAGGTACATCAACGGTACACCAGAACTAAAGGAATACATAAACTATCATCATCAACATCATAATGAGGCAATACTTTAGATAATGTGGCTCCCATTACTAGTGCAAATTATGTCTGTGCTCAAGTGGTCTTTACTGTCCTTGTGACTACCTCTGTAACCGTCAACCTCTGCCTCTCATCTAACATCAGGTTAAAAGTATTATCGATATCTGATTTAATTTCATTGAAAACAAGCAGAACAGCTCCAAACATACTTACTTTGATCCACGGTAGATTTGTATACAAATGTTCATCTTCCAATTCATTGTCTTTATCACTGGGTGACTCCTGAGTATCATCACTCATCATGGCCATAGACTCTGTATCTTCAGTGGGCATCTCCTCTTCCATGAACTTGGCATCCGACTGTAGAGAGTGACTACTGATCTTGCGAGACTTGATGCTCCCACCATGCTTTATACCTGACATGGTCGTATTGGCAGTAGTTTGTTAGTAAGGCCACATAAAAGTGAACATCCTTGAGGAAAGGCAGTGTGATACAATAAAAGACTACCCACTCGTTTTACAAAGCAGAAAAGCCACCATTAAAAAAACAAAAACTGATGGAGTGTCTTGAGTTCTGAAGTACTCAATGCATATTGTTTGTGTAGGTTTCATATGCAGCATATAGATGACATCAACTAATCAAGCAAATGTTTCAAGCAACTATACTGAGCAAACACAATAAATTGTTTATATCCCAATTATAAAAAAATGTAACATTTCTATTTTCATTTAAGAAAGTAAACTAAAAATAAAACAGCATCAGACTACATTTATTAACGCAGTTATGTCATTACAGACATGTTACTGCATTCAATGGAAGCTGCTTAATACCTTTTACCAACTTATCATTATCATCATCAGGTGCCTTGCTGACTGGCGTGGGCGATCATGCCTCTCCATAATCTGCGATCTCCTGCAGCATGTATCAGTTCGTGTGCCAACACACCTCCATGCCATGCAACAAGACTGTCAAGCATCTTCTCTCGTTGTCTTCCACATATCTTTCCAGTGGTCAAGAATTATTTTTCTAACTCTCAATGACAAGGATATATTGCACAAGATATTTTTCATTTTATAAAATGCAGTTTTGGACTATCCTATTCTGTTTCTTATCTCAGTTATGCATCTTCCATCTGATGTTATCCATGTGCCCAGATACTTAAATTTCTGTACTTGTCCTAAAATGACACCATCAACTTTTATTACACACTTAGGAATAATTCGTTTCTTTGATACAACCATTACTTCTGTCTTCCCATTATTCAAACTGAGGCCCATTCTTCCACTTTCTAACACCACAATGTCTATCATTTCCTGTAGTTCTTTCTGACTTGTTGCTATCAAGACTGTGTCATCAGCATAACGTAAATTGTTTATATTGTGCCCACCAACCACAATTCCTGGCATACCAATTGAAGCTCTCATTATATATTCACTGTATATTGAAAACAAATCAGGTGACAGTACACATCCTTGTTGTATGCCCCTCTTTATGCTTTGAAATGTACCTAAACAGTTGTTATTTCTTATAGCTGCTGTTTGCTGCCAATACATATTCTATATTATTCGTAGATCTTTCCCATCAATGTTTAATTTTTCTAACAGTTAAAACTTTACCAACTACACAAATTAAATCACAACTTCAAAAGCAAAATGTAAACAGGTTGAGGAAAATGTTCCCTATCCTTTGGAGGACTTCACAAACCAAACCCAGTCTTTGTTGGCTGCTTGTGATTTCACAAGACAACTACTCAGAGAGTTTGCATTACTTTCTGAGTGGTCAACACCCTACCGTTGTCAACATCAAGGCAGAGCTGTCTGCTGTCAAATCACCTGTAGCTAAATTGACCCAATATGTTAGAACTTTGTGGGTTCGCTCCCTGCGGAGCCAGACTTTTTTCAAAAATGACCTTGGCTCCCAGATCGACCTAGCCTTGAGTGGGTACCAGGTACAGTCCTGGGAAGTAAAGGCAGCTGGCGTGATGCTGACCACATCACCCATCTTGTGCCGCTGGTCTATAAAATATAGGTCTAGCCCTATATACCCAATACGCCAAGGAAAGGAGAGGAAATAGGTATTTACTTTTTTGTTTGTTTGTTTGTTTAAACTTATGTTAAAATTATGAAATTCTATTCATAATTCCTAAGCCAAAGATGCTTTTTCTTCTTCTGCCTTTCTAATCGCCAATGGAGCAACGCTTAATCAACTCATGCAAGTCGTTCTAACCTTCGCTATTGCATGTAGCCCACTTAAGTCCTTCCCAACTTTTTTTCAACTTCACATTCTAACTTCATTTTCCATTTTTTTAACATCTTCCTTTATTTCTATGCCACTGTGTATTCCAGTGCAGAGACATTCTAGTTATACTGTTCTCAGGTTTTCTCAACATGTGTCCTATCCAACGCCAGTGTCTTTTCTTCACCTCTGGTTCCACTGGAACTTGTTTTGTTCTCTCCCAAAGCTCTACATTAGTGATTCTATCATGCAAGTTTACTCCCTCCATTCTGCGCAGGCATAGTTAATGAATGTTTGAAGTTTATTTGTAACTGCCTTAGTTGTTCTCCTTGTTTCCGCTCCATGCAACAGTACTGACTTGTCATAAGAATTAAATATTTTAAATTTAGTATTATTTTTAATTTGTTTTGACCTCCACAGATTCCCTAGTGCTATGAAAGCGTCTCTTGCCTTTTGTGTTTGTATTTTAATATCTTTATCAGTTCCCCCATCTTTATCTACATTACTGCCCAATTAGGTGTATGACTCCAGGATAGCCAGGGATGCATACAGGTATAAAAAACAGAGAAAAAAACAGTGCATAACAGATAACGAAGTTCTAATGAATATAAATAAAGCACATGGACAAGAATTGAAAGCAATTTTTTTTTCCACAAAAAACAAAAGAGAACAAAAAAAGCCCTGCATGTGCAGATGGAAGGACAGGGGAAAAGGTCAACAAAATTAGAAATGGTGTCTTACACAGGACTATGAAGCTTTGTAATGGGTTATCAAAGGTCTAATTTCTACTGGTTATATAATGACAAAAAAAAGCACATACAATGTAAGACTATAAACAATATTTAAAAAAATGGAAAAAAAAGCCTTTATACAGGAAATTGTTACAGGTCTGCCTAAGTCTAGGTGGTGCATGGTATATACAGTGTCTTTATGTAGCTATCTACCTCTTGCAATGTGTATTAATAAAAAGTACTTCTCTACCTGGTATATCCATATCCAAATCCTCAAAGGAAACTATAATCAATGAAATCAAAGTATTAACAGGCATGCAATTCATATGTTTTGTTGTATTTGTTTTTTGTTTTACAAGTTCTGTTTTATTGCAAGCTATGAAAAATTATGAGAATGCATCCTTTTTTATCTATAAGTTTATTTCAGTTAATGACAGCTAATGAAACACAGAAAGAATGAATAATATAATGATAAATAAAAAAAAATTAATACTGGAAATGAATGTATCTTGTAATTTTTATAGATAACTTGTAAATGAACAACCAAACAATTTTAATATAACACAAGAATACAAGTTGTGTGAACATTTTTTTAATTTATTTAGTATGGTATCTGATTTACAATTTAACTACTGCTGAGGATGGTCATATTTACTGAATACCGAATATCATACGTTAAAATTACAGTTTATATTTCTCCTAAAGTTACAAAATGATGCATTTTGTGACTCTTTATATATATGTATTTTTTTTTTTCGGTTTACCTTCATACAGTACAGCTCATTTTCATTTTAATAATTTAATTAAAATATTTTTTAATTATACACATATGAAACTAAGAATATGTGATGAAAATATAAATTAATATAATTATGAGAAAATGTTAAATTATGGAAAAATCCAAATGACACAATAAACGAGCTGACAGTACTGTTAAAGAAAAGATGATGTTCCAGCCTGTGTTATGTGAGAAATCTTTGCCACTGTTTAACTGCATGCACACCTGCCTCCGTCCTCTATGAACAACAAACGTGACTTACTTCCTCCTTCAGATCTCATCAGCTTAAAGCTGCGACGAAAGCTGAGGTTGTGGCCTGATCCGCGACGGAAATGACGCAACAGTTTTTGTCTGCCTTGTGCCAAGCGACGCCCTAAGTACAAATAAAAAAGATGTATACAAATGGTTGGGAAAGGTCCAAAAAAGAAACAATTTAATGGTAGAGATCACATGCCAACATATAATTGTTTTTAATACTAGGATCTAATGATTTTAAATTTACAAAATGCTTAATTCTTAGACAGACAGATGTTTATAAAATGTCCTTGGCTCAACCTAAAATGGGTACCAGGAAATGTCCAGGTAAGCAAAGGTGGCCAGCGCGATGTTGACATCACCCACTGAGTGTCGACTGGTCTATACCAATATGGAGTTAATCATATGCCCAATACACCAATGGCATGGAAAGGCCCTTTCTAAACAAATGAGATTAGAAAAATAAAAATCCATCATTAAAAGGGTAACTTCTTTCTTGCTAGCATTCGCTAGCTGTAAACTTTGGCGGAGAGTTAAGGTTTTCCGCCCATGTGTGCCATTATAATAGGAAAATTTAAGAAGCTTAAAGTATCATCTTTATATGAGTTTATTAATCACTATTAATTAAGACAATAATCAATGAGATTACAATTCAGAAGAGCTAAATAACTGCAGTTACTAAGCAGAATTTTTCATTTACAATTTTCAACTTCATGTCCGGTAGGTAGAAATACAACTTTGACAGGAGAGCTTTTTATTGTTTATTTTAATTTTTGTTTTCCAAGTTTGAAAATAGACTGTGAAACTGTTTTATCTTCTTCTTCTTCTTAGCATTCATCAGTTGTAAAACTCTGGCAGAAAGTTCTGGTTGTTCATCCACTTCTGGACTTTGGTCTTTTTCTAGAACTAGAGTTTTGTGTGCACATTCTTTCTGCAGATCTGGTTTATCTGTGTGCAGACTGTTGGTTGCTTGCCTCTCAGGCATATGCACTTGACTTCCAAGTTACCACCTCGCGCCCTGCAACCATCAGTGCTTAGGAACCACATTGAGTTGTGCTGCTGGTGTTGGAATCAGCATCTGCTATGTATGACTGTAAACTTCAATGCAGGAGTGGCAGTCTCTGCCCCCTCATTCATTCATTCATTCAGTAGCATGTCCCTCACGGAACCTCGCTGCCATAACAACCCTCCGGAAAACCTTCCTATCCTGAGCAAGATGTCCTGCGTCTGATACACCCATCTGGAGATCATCTGCCACATCCTGCACCCATCTTCTCCTTGGCCTTCCTCTTCCTCTCTTCCCAGGCATATACCCCTCCATTATTGTTCTCTCTAGACTTCTATGACGTTTCAAGTGACCAAAATATTTCAATTTTCTTTGTTTTATTGTCTTTACTAGCCAACCCTATTCAATATTCAGCTCTTGAAGTATGGATGCATTTGTTCTTTTCTTTACCCAAGATATTCTTAGAACCTGTCTGTAACATTTATATTCAAATGCATTTATGCACTGTTCCGCTTGTTTAGTAAGTGTCCAGGTCTCACAGGCGTATGTTGCAATGGGAAAGATGCATGCTCTTAAAAATCTGACCTTTGTAATTCTATCTGTACAATTCCATAATTTATTCAGTTGTTTTAGTCTTTGAAGAGCAATTGATAGTCGCCGTTTAATTTCTTTCATTGTGTCACCATTGTTGGTAACCAGTGACCCAAGATATTCGAAATTTTCCACCACTTCCAATCTTTCCTCATTAACATATATTTCCTTCTCCATGGCAGTTTTGTTTGTATGCATTATCTTTGTTTTTGCTATGTTAAGAAATAAGTTATGATTTTCACTATTTCTTTGGAGTGAGGTTAATAAGTTTTCTAAACCATTTTGTGATGTTGATAGTAATACTGTCTCATCAGCATAACGAATTTCTGGTATTTCATGACCACCGATGTTTAGGGCATCATATTGTTCCTTGTTTATATCATCTCTTACATTTCTCATTATATTTTCGGCGTACAGGTTGAACAAATGCGGTGACAGCACACATCCCTGACCGACTCCTTGCTTGATGCCAAACCAGTCTGATGTCTCTCCATCTATTCTGACTGCTGCTTGTTGGTCTTGATAGAGCATTTTAATGAGCTGCACTATATGTGATGGAAAGCCCATATTCCTCATGATTTCCCAAAGCTTCTGATGTTGTACACAGTCAAATGCTTTTGAATAATCCACAAAACATAAGAACAGATTTACATTAAATTCTCTACACTTCTCTATTATTAAACGCATGTTGAATGTATTATCTCTTGTTCCTCTTCCCTGTCTAAATCCAGCCTGAGCTACATTAATCTCTTCTTCCATTTTCTTATGCAGTCTTCTCAATATAATTTTTAGTAGAATTTTACTTGCATGACTGATCAGGGCAATAGTTCGATAGTTTGTACATAATTTCAGGTCACCTTTTTTTGGTATTGGAATGAAGATAGTTCTCTTCCAGTCTTTTGGCCAAATACCATATTTCCATATCTTTTCACACAATGCATGATAGATTTTTATGCTTTCTTCTCCTCCCACTTTAATCAATTCAGCTGGTATCTCATCACATCCAGGTGATTTACCATTTTTCAGGCTCCTTATTGCCCATGAAATTTCATCTAATGAAGGTTCAGTTTCTGCCTCTACTGTTACTGGTTCATGTATATCATTCATATCCTCACTGTCATTCATATCATCCATTCCGCTGCAGTATTCCTGCCATTTTCCTAGAATTTGTCTAGATTCTGTTAAAGTATTTCCCAACCTGTCACAAATAACATTTAACTGAGGTTGAAAATTTCTTGTCAATAACTTCATTTCCTTGAACATTTCGTAATCTCTTCCATTTTTATGATGCTGCTCTATTTTAATACAGCAATCTTGTACATACTGATTTTTATCCTTTCTTGTGTACTTTCTTATTTCTCATGTTAAAAATTTATACTTCATCCTACTGTCATTGGTTTCTCCTTTCTTTTTCAGTTCCCTTCGTTGTTTTATTAGTTCTAACGTGTATGGTGTGATCCATGGTTTATGTTGCTTAGTCCTGGTGGGTATTAAGTCTTTAGCTGCTGTTATCAAGATATCCCTAGCTTGTACCGCCAGTTCATCAGGTGTCATTTCCTCTTGTACAGACATCAAGACCTCAAAACGGTTCTTCACTTCTACGTTGTATGCATCTGGTATTTTTGTGAGATCAAATCGAAATGGCCTTGGTCCTCGGGTAAGTTTTTTGAGTTTTAATTTCAGATCTGCCCCCTAGTCCACATAAAACCACTGACACTATGCGACGCTTGCTGGTGGATGTAATGTCCTAAATCCCCTCCCCATCTAATAGTAGGGTACTGCTGGGGTGACATTTTATTAACCCTCACATAATGCTTCAGGTCCAAATGAACACTAGGCACTGCCACTGTTTTGAGCCGAGGCAAAATTTTTTTGCTTCTGCCAGACTGTAGCTGTTGCTTTTTGCTCCATTTGTAGACGAAGTATATAGTTTCGTTACCCAGCTTCTGAGTTGAGTGCATGGCATGACTCTGTGAGCTGCGGATTTCATTTTGAATGTTTTTCGACTGACCAATGTGGTGGTGTAATTTGTAGATTCAGAAAATGGTGCGATGCCGGTTGTCGCAATATTGGTGGGGCCATTATTTGACTAAAATTGACCGCGTGTGCAACTGCTGATCTTTTGGTGACTTCTGCTACCATCAATGATAAACTGCATTTCTAACGTCAGACTGTTTGTGTTAGCACTTCGGATGGCTACCATATGCTTTTAATGCGAGTGTATGCTAGATTTGCTGAGACAGCAGTTTGTCAGTCTTTCCTCAAGGGACTGTGAAAAACATTCTGTGTGTTTTTTGTTGGCACAGGAGCGGAGCAAAGATGGGGTGACCCGTTTGCTATGAAGCTGAAATTAAAATTACCAGATTACCAGATTACTGACACTATGTTATACGGGGGCTCATTTTCTCTCATATGTCTTCTCTGTATAGCTTGCTGTGTTTGGCCTCTAGAAAAATGTGTCCTCCATTGCTTGAATAGGAGACGGGCAGCAGCTGATCTTTCTGAAGTATCTGTGACAATGTTGATATCTTTTAGGTTGCATTTGCCTTCTCATAGCACAGCCTTGGCTTTCTGCAGATCTACTCCCTGTTTCCAGTTCACCATACAGGGGATATTTTTGTGCAACCATCCTCCATGCGAGAAACATGTCCCAACCAGCACAAATGTCGTTGCCTCAGTAGAAAGTACACTGTTGACATTCTTGATCTTTTAAGTACACATTCATTGGGGACAAAGTCAAGCCATGGTAAACTAAGAATGCACCTCAAGCGCATGTGGAAAGTATTCAGTTTTTTTTTTTCTGGACGATCATAGTACAGGTTTTACTGCCATAAAGCAGTGTGCTCAAGATGCAAGCTTCATAAACTTTAATTCGGGTCCTATATGTCAGCTTTTTCCTTCCAACATACTTTCATCGTGAGTTTGGAAACCATTGCAGAAGCCTTTCCTATTCACATCTTTAATTCTATGACAAAAAAAAACAAGGATAAATATCCAAGGTTAGTTGCGTATCCTTTACAGGATGTTGCAGAACCAACAGCCAATGGCTGTTGCATGGTTTTTCAAGGCAAATTTACGCCCAGTAGTTTGCCATTGCTTTCTGGATGGTCGGCTTTCTTGATACCACTGTCGAAACCAACGCAAGACGCATGGCCTGCAGCTGGGATCAAACCCGGCATCCTGGCATTACGAAGCGTTCGCATCGACTTAGCCACAGAGCCGACTGGATAAATATATAGTCAACAATTTGTTCAACAAATGTAAAGTTTACAGTTCTGCCCAGCTTTTATTTCTGACTTTGCAATCCAACGTACCGCAATCGAAACCTGCGTGGGCTGCGTGGATTTTTATCGTGGTATGGGACGTCGCAGGTCGACCCAGCCTCAAATGGGTACCAGGATGGGCTGTCCTGGGAAAGTAAAGACATCCGGCGTAATGCTGACCACATTACCCACCGAGTGCCGATTGGTCTGTAAAAATATGGGTGTTCTTCCCATGTGCCCGATGCGCCTAAAGGTGTGTAATGGGATCTTTACTTTTTACTTTTTTATAATACCATAAAGATGAGGTTATAAAGAGCTTGTGGATAGAATCTTTGTGTGGGCTTTGTATTAGGTGCATTAATTACTTGTGTGGAGAAACTTTTTTTTTCTTTAACACCAGTATTGGGCATAAGATGCTAGATTCATATATTTATAGACCAACTGGCAATTGATGGGAGATGTGAGCCTTTACTTCCCAGGACTATTTCTGGAACCCACTTTAGGCTGGATCGACCTGGCAGCCCAGGTAACGTTTAAACAAATCAGATTCAATGTGGATCAAATCCAAGACCTTCAGACCAGAGGCAAGCATCAAGCAACTAAGCCCCTGTTCTCCAAATTTCGTGCGTTGTTATGTTAATCAACAACTTGCAGAGCTGTGATATAAATACAAGGTTACTGTTATAGGAGAACAGAAAAGTGAGGAGATATGTTTATGAACTAAACAACAAACTTGTCTACCTCTTTCTCTCTTTTCCTCTTGGGAAGCTGGATCAGCCTGAGACAAGGAAGTTGTACTACTGTGCAAGGAATCTGATCGCTCTGTCAGAACAGCAAAGCTGATTTTCCTGTCTCCAGGACTGCCAATGTTACCTAGTTAGAAAAAAAAAAAAGCAAAATGCATCCAAACTCATCAACAGTTTCTCCCCGTGTTGGTTTTTAAGCCCTGTTCTAGAGGAAAAAGAAGACCCACTGCCTCATGTAGGCATTAAGGTGACTAATTACCAATATTTCCATTAAGTCTGAATACATCTGCTTGAGAAGCAAGGAACCAACAGTGTCATACACTTTGCCAAGATCTGTTAAGCAGATGTTCATGCAAAACTCAAGTTCTGGAACAAGATCAACGTCCAGAAGTGGATGAACAACCAGAATTTTCCACCAGAGTTTACAGCCGGTGAATACTGAGAAAAAGAGTAAGATACATGGTCTGACAAGTCTTCTTTCACACTAGAAAAATTAAAATAAAGAATAAAGAGCTCTGCTGTTAGTTAGTTGTATTTCTACATAACTGTCATGAAGTTGACACATGTCAATGATAAACGTTCGCTAAGCGACTACAGTTATAACTCTTCTCAATGTATTGCAATTTCATTGATTATTGCCTTATTTAATACTGATTACCAAACTCATATAAGATAATACTTTTAGCTTCTTAAATTTTTTTAGATAATGATACATAATATCCACTGTCTTGACTTATGATCCATCTGTTTAATTCACAGTATCGCATAAAATCTACCAATCTACCAATTGCTGCCTTTATTGTACCACTTTTGTGGTGTAGGCAGGGGAGTCTTTGACACTGAAGATTTACAGTCGCATAGTTAGTGCAGTCGCCACGACTGTGCAGGTGAGGATTTATTTTTGCTCCCGACAAAAAAATCCCCAACCTTACTGAGGATTTGAACCCAGGTCTTCCTCATGAGAGTCCAGCGTTCTAACCATTCAGCCAGCTGCTCCTCATTGTAAAAAATACTGATAGAAATGATGACAAAATTTTGCAATGATAAATGCAGATGACCCATGATAGAAATTAATGACAACATCAGGAACTGAGATTTTTAAAATTTAACACAGTAATAGAAATAATGTTACCTTGCTAATAATTCTAAAACTAACTTGAAGAACTATATCAAGTGATTAATTACTAATGAGAACTTATCACAAACATCAGAAACAGTCATCATTTTTTGGGTTATGTTATGAGAATAAGATAACTGGAAGATGGTGTGACTACTGGAAAGATCTGTGGAAAGAGAGACAGTGAAAGAAAAAGCAAGAAGATTCTTCACAGCCTTTTGTTATGGCATGGAGGGGTGTCAACGCATGAATTGATTCTTCAGATTGCATTAAGCCACTTGATGATGACTAATGCTCTGGTACAACTGAATATCTGCAAGGACCCATAGCAATCTTTTTTCTTTTTTCCTTTATAAAGAAAAGAAATTATAGCTTTAATAAAAATCAGACCAGGAAAGCTTATGTTACACACACACACAAAATAAGAATGTGACAGACTAAATACAAAAACACTGCACATGCAAGAACACTGGAATAAGATAACTGATTCAGAAGACTCAAGGATTCACACAGTAATTGTGAAAACTGACTTACAAGATAGACCAGTCTTCTGAAAGAAATATACTACTCACTGATGCCAGAAGGCAGCTCTGCCAAGTTGGACTCTGAACTTTTATCAGAGTGACCAGGGCTGCTGACAATGCTACTGTAGCGACGACTAGTCACATTCTTTTCCCACAGGTGCTCCCGTTTCTGACTGCGAGATCGTGGCAGATACTGGAAAGTTTCTCTCAAGAAAGTGGTGATTTCCACTAAAACAAGGCAGGCCAGCATTTTCAAAGCATACGGGCATTCCCTGCCCTTCTGGTTCACAGAAGCTGAGGAAGGAAGGAACATGGGTAAATATGATCAATTATGCAGGAGACTGCTACATCTACCATGATTTTTCAGTAGGCTTTCAAATGATCTACTGACCCCATGTCATGAGGTGCCTTATCTGTGTGCAGATTGTTGGTTCCTTGCCTCTCAGGCCTATGCACTATGACTTTCAAGAAGACTATGTCTCCTTCTCTAGTTAACAGGTACCTATAATGTAGCGCTATCAAGACAAATTAAATATAATGTACAAATATTGTGATAGATAACAAGCGCACAGAAGAGCTTGCAAACAGAAAAATTTGCCGGGAGGTAAGTTTCCGGTAGAGATTTTCTTATCCTTTCTTCGACTGGCACAGATCAGAGCTGGATGTGTGTAAACTGTTCACACCAGAAACTGTATCTTCAGTATGTGTCAAACTGTGATTTGACCTACTGAATCCTTGCAAGGGGTAAGTGAACTACTACCAACTAACTTAATCTGTTTACTGACACTATAGTTATTCTCCTACCATCCAGGCCATTCATTCTGTCTATGGATTCTTTAGGAAAAACGGTTTGATCTCATATGGGATCTAGCTATCATTGCCGACTCCTGTGGTTCTATCACTAACACCATGCTCATGTATAGTATATGCATGTAAACATATTATCTAATTGCTTACTGGATTCCATTTGGTTGATTAATGATGTATATATGAGTGTATGAAATCTCCCACGAGCACAATTCTCAGCGGGGAGATAGAAAATATGTTATAAACATTATGGGATGGAACAAGTGGTATTTCCCAGTACTCTGGGCACATCCATAGGTGCTCAGATTCCCCTCTCAACATATTCATCAGTGTCGTGTGGTTAACAGTGCCGGCCCTATGTTGGTTAACAAGACTTCGTGTACGTCCAGTGTGCTTCTCGTGCTTGGCTGTGCTGATCTTGACTCCCAACTCTTGTTTTATTAGCAGTGATATGGACACGTTGCTTCATAAATCCTCAGAACGTCCTATCTCTCTAAGGGCAATGACAATGTCTGCATATCCATAGGCCGGCCATCTTCAGTTAATGCAGCACGTGCTAGTCTATCAGCTCTTTCATTACCAACAATGCCTGCATATCCTTGGTTGAATATGAAGGTAAATGCACACACAGGAGAGATTTGCAGTGACACAAAGCACTGTCTGCGTAACCAGCCCATGTATAGTATGTATACACACACAGTTTCAGCTGGAATGACAGTGAATATTTCAGAATACAACTAGTATGTGAGTGTTTGCGGAAGTGTATGTTATGTCAACTACCCCAAATTATATATAATTAGATATATCTGTTCTGTCTTAATCTTAACAGTGATGTAGAGATATGAGTGGTATATGACTGTTATGATAACTACAGTACCCAGGGATATGGATGAGGCCCATCCTAGCTTCTAGTGTATGAGTGTAAGTCATTGTATAAACTCATCCCCAGTATTCACATTAACTTGTAATGTAAACAAGAAATAAATATGAATAAGAAATCAACGTGGAACTGGTGTTGTGAGCTGTTGCAGGACTAACTAAGGAGGGGATCTGAGCGCTTTTTGAGTGAATGGTTTGTTCTATGTACAATGAGGATAATCTGTCGACTAACTAGATCCGAGCACTTTTGGAGTGAATGATTCTATGTGCAATGAGGATAATCTGTCGACTAACTAGATCCCAGCACTTTTGGAGTGAATGATTCTATGTGCAATGAAGATAATCTGTCGACTAACTAGACCCGAGCACTTTTGGAGTGAATGATTCTATGTGCAATGAGGATAATCTGTCGACTAACTAGATCCGAGCTCTTTTGGAGTGAATGATTCTATGTGCAATGAAGATAATCTGTCGACTAACTAGATCCGAGCACTTTTGGAGTGAATGATTCTATGTGCAATGAGGATAATCTGTCGACTAACTAACTAACTAACTAGGCTTGTCAGGTACAGGCCAATGCAGGAAAGCCAATTCAGCTTTCCCAGGAATTTATAATACAGGGTGATGCTGGATTAGCAGAATCTCAGGGTTAAACTAGAACTTCTTTGGGGGGGGGGGGGGAGAGATTGAGTAGTTACAGGCTATTATTGAAAGATCATAGTTTCTTTGATGCTGCTGCTTTTTCTAGAATCTAAACTGTACAACACACAGATTCTTAATTTTTCTGTCCCTTCTAATTTGTGTTAACCTGGTATGTAAGCTATAGGTTCTGTAATATTTACAATCACAATCTCTGATTTATTGGACAGTTTTATGAAGTTAGATGTTTCCAGTCCTTGGTTATGAATCCAGTGTGATACATTTCATTACTTATTTCTGTGACATTATCAAATGCCAAAGTTAGATACTGATTTTTATAATTTCCCTTGTTATGTTGTCAAGTGAAGCAGCATTTCTCATCATTATACTTGAGTTGGAACTACTATTAGTACAGTTTATGAAGAAACATCAAAACTAATGAAATTTCTTATTATAACTTACCTTCATCCAGAAAATCTTCCTCCTCATCCTCTGCTCTCAGAATCTTTTTCCTGTTCTCATCTTTAACTTCATCAATGACAGCTAACCTGTCTGCATGTTCTTTAGCCAAAATATATTCCATCTGCAGGCCAAGATTCTGTTCAGTGTAAACAAAACAAAAATTTTACTTCCATTACAGATGCCAAGTAGATGCAGTGTAGGGAAAGAAGATGTTACCTGCTCACAGAACACAAATCCAATGATGATATGACACCAGAATATATTTAGCATTTGCATTTAAAAAAAAAAAAAAAAAATCACACATCAACAACAGGAAGATCTAGAGAATGTACCAAAATATGAATATAAAACTGGCAAGAATATTGGAGATAGGTGGAAGCAGTAAAAGAGATACTACAGAAAAACAATGACATTAACACAAGCTACACAACTAGAAAAAAAAAAAAAAAAACAGGAATCTACACATAAATCCTCACTGCAACATTTTGCAGCATAAGCATTAGGACAAAAGACAGAAGAATACTTCAACCATTTCCTCAATGTTCCACTTAAAGATAGTGAAGACTCACAGTTTATTAATATAAATACAATGAATGTTACAACTGGGTTGGAACCATGAATGTTGGAACCACTAAAGACACATTGGAACTAAAGTCAAATGCACTTGAAATCAAATGCTTAAGGAAACTGAACATTAAATATGAATGCATTTAAGAAAAGTGAAGAAATCAGAGAAACACCTGGACAGCCACTGGTATTAATAGTTATAAAAGAAAGCAGATGGTGATATATCTGACATATTCTGAGAGAAAAAAAACAATCACAAAGCAGGCACTAAAATGAGATAGAAATGAATTATGAAAAAACTGCACGATTGGTGCGATGTTTTTGTTATAATGATGATTTACATTCTAGACATAAAACTTAATGAATTTAGCAATTATTGTCTGTATTTCTGATAACACACAATAAAGAGACCGAAAGAGCAATGGCTTACTTCAGCCCACGTATAGAACATACGGCCAGCTGCACGTTGCAACATGAGGTTTCTTCTGTACCCAGAAGGTTGACCTCGATTCTGTAAAGCTGCTACAGTATGTCGGAAACTTGGTAGATTGAGTCGCATCCAGTTAGGCCAGTCACCGCGGTTACACCGATGGATGAACTGAGCACACTCCAGGAGAAGAGCAGCTCTTGCTGATACTGGAGCTTCCTGTAATGACATCAGAATCTCAGTTCAGCACCAATTCAAACTGCAAGTGAATAGCCTGTGAAGTTGTTGGTTTTAAATAATCTCCAAAACAGTCACAATTCTTCAACAGTCAACCAAATTGATTTGTGTTTCAGTCAATGCGTTGGCTCTAGTTTAGATATCTAATGCTAGATGTTATGTCATAAGTGTGTTGAAATGTCAGCTCTGTGTTTAGAGGCAGAAGAAATGCACTGAAGTTCAATGCAAAAGGGAATGAATGACCTTTTATTCAACAATATGATGCAAATGATATCACAACAGCTAGTTTGAGAATGAAGGTGTAGGAAATCACTGCAGCTTTCCACTGGATTAAGAATCATACACATGTCATGAATGTAAATGACTCCTCACAAAGCACAATAAGAAAGATGGAGACATGTATGTCCAGTGCAGAGTGGTAGCATTGCTTCAGAGGTCCAGGGCATTTAATGTCATTTAGATATTCTCAACTGAAACTGCCTCATAAAGAATTCTGAGAAAAGTGGAGACAAGTATACTTCATGGACACGGCAAGTACATCTTCAGAAGTCATGGGTAGTTAATGTTCCTTGCACAGCAAGCACATCTTCAGAAGTCATGGGTAGTTAATGTTCTTTGCACGGCAAGCACATCTTCAGAAGTCATGGGTAGTTAATGTTCTTTGCACGGCAAGTACATCTTCAGAAGTCATAGGTAGTTATTGTTCTTTGCACAGCAAGCACATCTTCAGAAGTCATGGGTAATTATTGTTCTTTGCACAGCAAGCACATCTTCAGAAGTCATGGGTAGTTCTAATGTTCTTTGCACGGCAAGCACATCTTCAGAAGTCATGGGTAGTTCTAATGTTCTTTGCACGGCAAGCACATCTTCAGAAGTCATAGGTAGTTAATGTTCTTTGCACGGCAAGCACATCTTCAGAAGTCATAGGTAGTTAATGTTCTTTGCACGGCAAGCACATCTTCAGAAGTCATAGGTAGTTAATGTTCTTTGCACGGCAAGTACATCTTCAGAAGTCATAGGTAGTTAATGTTCTTTGCACGGCAAGCACATCTTCAGAAGTCATGGGTAGTTAATGTTCTTTGCACGGCAAGCACATCTTCAGAAGTCATGGGTAGTTAATGTTCTTTGCATATTTTCATTAGGGGTTGAAGGTGTTTTGGGAAATGAACAGAGAGACTAACTGGCTGGTTTTGCACAACTTAGTTTACTGCATTACAAGCTAGATGTTGTCCAGGCCATTTGGGAGCGAGTGAACAGTTTGGAAGCACAGATAAATCATCTGAAGAGAAAGAAACCAATGGAGAGTGACCAGAGGATTTGACAAACAGTCAACACTTAGGGAAAAGGCAAAACAAACAATTAGACTGCTACTAGTACTACTGGAATGTAATTCTTGCTAGCTGCTAAAATGGGGACGGGGCGGTTACAGAAAAGTCCCAGGGTTAATCAACTGATCAATCCTCAATTAGTCACATGTAGTCAATGTGACCCTCGTCTACTGAACAGCAGTTAGTTCCCTCTGCCAGGGACTCTACCACATGACCTTCAGCTGCTCAGTATGTATCATCAACATGCTGAAGAGTCATCTTCAGTTGTGGGGACGCACATGACGTTGACCGATTTATTGTCTTTATACTCAATTTAAAAACTTTAAAAACTGAACCCCCAAGCGACTGGGTAAATAATGAAAATGTAATTGTTGTGCTTTACAATATTACTTTGGTGTTCTGAAAATGCTCTGTCAGTTTTCACATATATGTGCTAAAAATTGTTCTTATAGATGTGTTTCCTTGATGTTTGTAAATTCTTCTGCAAACTGATACTGTAAACTGATTTTCTGTGTACTGTGAAATTCTGATCAATTATATTTACTCAAAGGGCTTTCTTTTTATTTTAGCCTGAATCCTATCCAAAACTGAAAACAAAAAGAGGAATGCCACCTGAAGAAATATTTTCTTTGCTTTTCTAATTGAATATAATTAAATAGATCCATGGAGTTCTTTACCCCATCAACTATTTGAATTATTATTTCCCTATGAGACTAATTGAGGGTTGAGCCTAGGGAGTTGTCACTGCAGCAAAGACTCTGTGCCTTGTGCAATGATCTCAAAAGTGACAGTCATTCTGTCTGAGCCACATGGTATAAAATCTGATGCAACAAAGTTGATCCTGTTTTACCCTAATATTAAACAGCAATCAATTTCTCATGATCTAACAAGACATAGTGAGTGTGGACTAATTATCATTTTCAAACAATCTAGCAATTAATTATGTGACACTTGTAAAACTATTGAACTGTCATGGCTACTCACAAGGTCCAGCATAGATGCAATCAACTGTGGATCAGGTAGAGAACCAGGGTGGCAGCACTCCAAAAGGAAAGAGAATCTCAACATTCCAGACTTAATCAGGAACTTGTCCACCATTTTCTTCTCCCGGACCATAGAAAGATCCACACCATCATTCTTCAGCCCAGATTTTTGCTTGAAAAAATCTGAGTAAAAAAATTAAACAGAACAAGCATTCTAGTATTCAGTTACTGCACATCTGTTTGTATATGTGTGTGTGTGTAAGTGAGGTCGTAGTTACTCCAAGGTGACAAAAAATATATACTACACCACTCCTCCTCCTCGTCTCAGGTTCTTAAGTTTATATTTTCACTTCTGCAATCTACTTTACCTCTCACTTCAAATTTTTTACTACCCCCATATTTCCCCACTAGGAGTGCACTCTGAAAAAAAAAAAGTGACCATTTTTACCTGGACATTTTCAGGGACAACCAATAAAGTAACATGAGCTCCTAATATTTACCTGGATATTTTCAGGAATCATTAATAAGCTCTTAAAAATAATCCAGAACGTAAGATAGGATTAAGATTGTCCCCGAAAATTAGGGGCAAATGTTCACCATGCTCAAAGAGTCACTTCAGGGATGCAAATCCAATAGACACCCTGTTCAACCAAATGTAACAGCTGTATTGGAGCATCCTATGGCTTTAAAGTTACCTGCTGTCCTGTGCTGCTAGGGTCAAAATCTGATTTCAGTTTGTAAGCTTCGAGTTCATTTATATTTCCTATTCATTTTTACTGTTTTTTTCTTCCATATGGTATATTTATCACTTAGAGGTCATATTTGTTTTGCTAATGTCCACTGGTGAACATTTCATTAGTGTCTTGCATACACTTTCTCTCTTCATCTTCTAGTAACTAGGAGCCTACAAACACATCTACATAATGAAAAAACAATTATTTGTAAAGTAATAAGAAAAATAAATTATAAATAAATAAGAAAAGAATCACATACAACACTGAAACTGATAAGATGAACCTATAAAAAGAGTAGGATTAAATAAAGGAAAAACAAATTACGCCAAATCAACTTGATGATTACTATTTCAACTTGTCTCCATCCTCCATTCAACACCAAATCCACTACTAAAAAATGGATGCACAAAGTTTACAGAAATCAAATGAGTGCTACTGCTACAGAATCGGTGTCCAAAATAAATGTAGTTACAAAAGCCAGGACTAAAAGAAAGATTTTCTCAGTACTGAAAACTGCACGATTTGCTATAGCTGACAGTGCTTTTTACCATTATTTTTCTGAAACCCCAGTAATTCAGCGGTACACCTACACAGTTCTGGATATCTTCACTGAAAATGATTGTTGTTAATATTGAAAAATATCACTCTTAAAAAACAGGAAAAAATATGTTAGTAGTTTCATATGAGTCATTCTCAAGAAGATAATATTAGTTTCTTGTAAACATTTATGATATTTTATGAGGACAAATCAAATGATTATGTCTCATAAAAAAATTAACTTCATTTTCTGAGATGGTTTTATCTCCAAAGTCAAACTGGTGTACTGTGTATAAAAGTCTTGTGAATCAACAGCACTTCTGACATTAGTTAAGGCTGCTCCAAATCCATTTGGTAATCCATAATACCTTAGTACAGCATGCAGTTAGTCACAAAAGCAATGCTACATGGCAATACTGTAGCAGAATGAATAAACACAGATGTACACACATATATCCACATACATTAATGAGACGGTGTAGATATGTTCATTAATATAACAGGTCTTTCATACAGACTTTGAAACCGTTACTAATCTAAGTGTAATGTAACCAACAGATATCAAGAGTTGCTCAACAGACAAAAGCTGCCAGCTAACTTGCATTGGACAATGAAAATATGCTTCTGGCAGAATATTTATCTGCCGTTTTAACTTAGTACGCCTAGACCTCTAATGCATTCACCTTGCTCATCCATTGTTTTTTGGCCTAACAAATTTTTATTTATATAGATTTATCTTTTCCTACTTCACAGTGGGTTATATATGTCCATTTATCTATCAATCAGTCCTTCTTATTTTTCCAACCTTTCTATGAAATATGTTGGTTCAGTGTCTATTATTAAATGAGAGATAATATCAACATGCATTGATTTTCCATATTTTGTTAAACTATTTGTCAACATTTTATGTTAATTTCATTTATTGAAAATTTTACATGTTCAGTTCTATCAACTTTAGATGTATCTGTTTCAATGCCCTTATGAAGCAGCCAGAGCAAGTTACATTCTTCAAATAAACATGTTTCAAAGCATATTTTCCTTAACAAAAGACTACACAATTTTCTCCTACATTATTCCAAAATATTTGAACTATGCATTTGCTGTGTCCCCCCCCCCCCCCCCCTCCCCCAACCAAACCATTTCCCAGTCTACTGTTTGGTCTGGGTACTCAGATTGAGTAAGGGTCCCTTCAGACCCCAAGGACTATGGGATCAACTTCAACTTGTTAAACTGGCACCAGCATTTTCTCACAAGTGAAAAAATTGCATGAAATGGAACTGATAATTCTATCTCATATTACCTAGTGAGTATTCATGGAATGATCTTTCATATGGTATTTATCATGTTCTTACATTTATCTGTAATTTCAGTTTTGAAGTTCTTATATTTAAAACAATTATTTTTTTTTTTTAAATTTAATTCAAAATGTTAAATTATAAATTCTTTTTCTCCATCTTCTGCCATTTACCCATATGGAGCATAGGTCGTCAAGTCCCAACAAGTCATTCTATCCTTTGCCATCATGTTCTTTCTTTTTTCTGTGAATGTGTGTGCGTTCGCGTTTTGTTGTTGTTGTTGTTGGTTTTTGTTTTGTTTTACTACAGACATTTATTTCGATCAATTATTAAATAATTTACTTTCAAAATTACAAACACACTCCTCATATGCCATAATACTCACCAAGCAGGAGAAAGTTATACCAAGCCCAATAGAAAAAAAAAAAAAGATACCACCTGGCTGTAAGCGCAATCAAGCTAGCTGGATACAAGAGCAGCAAACATTACACAGATATTACAGATTTCCTCCAACAAAATATCTGTCATCATAATAGCAAAACAACAATAAAAAAAATAATAAAAACATGCCAGAAATATTTCCTAGCAGTTTCAAAGAAAGAATGAACCTACACTAGAATTAAAAACAACCAGAAGAAAGATGCAGTTTGTGGACAATATTTTACTCTCAACTGCCAAAAGCCATACAAAGCAGCATTCAAGCAAAGGTGGAAGAGAAAATTAATTTTATTGGTTTTGGTTTCAGGGGACACCCACAGGACACACAGTTCCTTTAACTGCAGCAAAGGACACTAACCCTGAAGCACCAGCAAGGATCACAATCTGTATACACAAGAACCACGCATTTTAGGAGTGCTTTTTGAATTGGATATGGTTTCTAATGTTTGAAGACATTTTACCAGTACAATGATTATGTACAACTTCCTGCTGAGGAATTGTAATGTGTTAAACATGTACAAGCAACCTTATATTTTTTGTTCTTATCTACCTACCAAGACCAGGGATCTCACTAACCAAGAGGTCAAGAGTACATGGTAGCATCTGAAGCCATTGGTCTGAAACAAAATGATGTCTTATTTTCCAGCCGTGGAAAACTATTGAGTATAAGTGCTCAGTCCCGATACTGGCAACTATGTGCTGACGACATTTCTGAATAGCTATCAAAAAAGATCGTATGTACGCATCTCTTCTTTCTCATTTCTCTAAGTGTGTTCAGACATCCATGGTTAATAGTTGATATGGCAAAGACATAGACTAAGTGTCCACTAATTATTTTGCAAGCAAGATTTTAGTTTTGCATTCATTCAAATAGATACTAAGGTGTTTAAGTTTGTCTTATCCAAAACAATTTTGATTACTTTTTTTTTTTTTTTTTTTTAAAGGTTTTCCTCTGCAAGGTATTTGAAAGTTTTAAAAGCTTTTTTTTTTTTAAAACACAAAAACAACTTAAAATAGTGAAAGTATAATAATATAGCCAATATTTCAACACGTACTGTCATGAAACTACATTCCTGGAAAAAGAAATAATGTGGTTGTTATGGCTTTTTGTGTGTGTGTGTCATTGTTCATTTAAAGATCATCTTCACCGCACATCGGACATGACCATAAATACTCCAATCTCCATTCCAAGTGTTTTTAGGCTAACAACTCCATTCTGTTCTGGTTGATGTAATGACGGGTGGCTTCCGCATGGTTTTCCTGTCTCAGAGCTTTAATTGGTACACCCATGGTGTGCAGTCTATTCAGTGACAAATTATTTTCCACGAAACTGAAAGCCTCACAACGTTTAGTCTCTCGTATGGCATTGATGATGTCTTTCCTGTCCACAGATGGTTCATTCCTGATAGTCACACTGCCAGCCAGGGTGTCTGCTCTCTCATTACCTTTTATACTAGCCTGCCCTGGGACAAAAATGAAGATTTTGCAAAAGGCTGCATGCTGTATTAGATGCAGCCACTGTGTGTGTGTGTCAATGAGAGAATAATGGAATTGACCTGAAGGTAATCATTTGATAAACAATCTAAAGTTGAGAGAGAAAAACAGCAACTTTACAGGCTGTAATAAAAGCTAGGCCAGGATCTGACAAATTAGTTTAAACAACCAAGATTATGAGAAATATGTCTAACTGATGAGCATTTCTCCAGGAACACAAAGCCAGCAACATAGAGCATATAAAAACCAGAGCAGTTTCAATAACTGTCAAGAGCTGAATGGCTTCAAACCTTGAGTATGTTACTGCTATTGTATCATTACAGATATCACAAAGAAGAGCCTAACTGGCAGAAGCAAGAGTTTATGAAGTGTGCAACAATTCAATAATTCAATTGAAAACTATACCAGCTGGCTTAACTGCTGGAAGAATGAACAGATAGATAATCAAAACCGATAACCAGTATTATTCTGTAAGTGTGCAATAAGTAATTCAGTGACATGTGGCAAAGTGGAAGGTGATAGAAAGAACAAAAATTAATCTTACCGCTTCACATATTCTCCTTCACAAATCTAAGAACATTGACAAATTCACTTAAACCATATAGCTGCTATATCTTATTTTTGTAAAATAAACCTGAAAATACATTTATCTATAGAAAGATAGCTGGTTAATACAGTGTGCTGAAAGATGAAAAAAATCTATACATAAATATGTTCTGAGAATGACTCATATATTTAAAACCTGCCTGCTTTCACAGACATATCTACAAAAATTGTGTTACCCTTCAAAAAATGTCTCTGATAAAAGCCCTACCATCACAACTCCCTTTCCGCGTCATCTTTTTCCCTAGTGTCTTTATTCCATCCTCTATCCGTTTACGAGCACTGAGAAATGTTAGAGTTGCCTGGCTAGCAGCTCGGAAGGACATGCGACCACGACCAGCACCTGTTGCGGGAACTGTTCTGTGCACTTGCATCTCACTACGACTCTCTCGCTTGTCCAACGGGGGTGGGTCCGAGTTCTGATCATCTTCATGGTCACTTTTTGTTCCACGTCTCCATCCTGTGCAAGCAAATTTTATTCTTAAAGTATACATAAAATATGCAGGGAAATTATTCTTTAATGGAAATATATTTATTCTCATCCCTTGGTTCTGCAAGTGAAGGCATATGTGCACATGTATATTTTTACATAGTGTTTAAAAGTGAAAGGATAAGATTAATTGCACTGAGGTATATCCCACAAGGCTTGGTCTTTTTCCACAGAGAAGCTGCTCACCTACTACAAGACTGTCAAAGTACCAAGTTCACTGCTCCAGTGTCGCCCTTCATGTATCTCCAAAATGCCTGCACTAGTGAACCAAACAAGAGTCTGAAACCGAACCCACAACCTTGAGCTTAACCACTTTGATAACAGAGACCCCCAACACATATATGTATCATTATAAAATAACAACCAGTCTATAAACAATCCAATGTTGTAAGGAAAAGCACTGACAGATGAATCAATAATGTACCTATGAAAATTATAAGTACATAAACCGGCCATCAACATTAATGTTTATGAACAGCGTGAACAAAAACAATTTCATGCCCAAGTAAAAAAAGGTAAACAAATTACTTGCTTTAAAAATATAATGAAACATATACTCTTAAAAAAAATAAAGTAATCCAGCAATTACTATTCTAATTTAACAGCTCAACTTTCATGGATCTAGATTGTGTGTTTCTATATATGTGTGTATATATTTAACAATAGCTGAACCTGGTTACATATGACTTTTTTAGTTCTTGTGAAATAGGGATCAGATTTTCCTTGTTTGGGAATAGGAACTTTTTACATGAGCTAATGTTCTGGTTTTTTATAACTGATTATAGTAGCTAAATTACTTCAGAGGATGGTTAATTTTTTAATATGGAATGAAAGAGGAATGTTTACATGTTTGACTGTCAACACTGTTCCATGTAATATGAGTTGCATAGTAAAGAATGAATCAAGAAAGAAAATATGCTATACATGCAAAGATGAGGAAAGAGGATGCAAGGAATTAGGTGATCAGTACCTCATGCCAAAACAAGAAAGAAAAAAAAATCCCAGAAACATTGTGACTAAGAAAACAGAAGAAAAAATACCAATGTTAAACTTGCTAAATCGTCGTCGGGGTGTTGTACTGGAGGATGGTGACTCTTCCTCAGCTGCTGATATGCTTGTCCTGGGGCTTTTACCTGGTCCTTCGTCTAGGATCTCTGAGTCGCTGGCTGCATACTGAAACATCAGTGACTAAACGGAATTCAGAAATAGGCACTTTTCATCTTTAGAGTGCAGCCATGAAAGCTCACTAGTACTAACTGCAATGTTAAGAACACAATCATAAACATAAACTCTTATTTTTTATATTATTTTTAAATTGTTATCAATATATCAATTAATTTCACCATTTTCCACTTCTGCTGTTAAGCATTGTGGGGAGGAACAGTCTGCAATCCATTGCTTGATGGGTAGCAATGGCTGTTTTGATTCTGTGTGTCGATGCAGAAGCTCTTTAATGTCATCAATCCATTTTCTCTTAGGGCAGCCTCCTGATTTCACATCATATTTTTTCATGTGAAGTGCCTGGCTTGATAGTTGTACAGGCTGCATTCTTACTAAATGACCAAACCATCTGATCTTCTATTTCTCAATGAATTTTCTGCATGGTGTTATTCCTACAGTATGTCTGATTATATCTTTTCCAACTTTGTGTCGGACGGTAAAGTTGAGGGCTTTTTTCAGGCAGCTCATTTCACATTAATTTTACATTGATTAGCCTTTGATAATGACAAAGTCTGGCACTGGTAGCACAGTTATACTGTTTATAATCTGTTTCTTGGTGCTCATATTTATTTAGGTTTGAATGTCTTAATAACGGTGTCAGTTGGTATATAAGTGCAATAGCTAGTTGGCATCTTGTTTCTATTCCCAGTCTATTCTCCCGTCCTCCGAGAATATATTACCTTGATATTTAAATTCTTCAACTTGCTTCAGAAAAGTACCATTCAACCTGATATGTAGCAGAGTAGGAATTTTGCTGACCTGCATTACTTCAGTTTCAGCAGTATTTATTTTCATGTTATATCTTCTGCATATTGAACTTAGCCTGTTCAAATGTTCTTGCAGTCTATCAATATCAGTTACGGAAAACAGTGACGATATTTCATTTCAGATACCATCACAAGGTGAAAGGCTTCACATAGACTAGGCCATCACATTTTAAAGTAACGTAACTAGTTTTCTTACAAAATGTTTATTTTCTTCCGATTTTACAAAGCTGAACTGATCCCAAGCAACATATGCAGTTGGCACCCAAAAAAATCCCCCCTCAAATGAGGACGAATTATGGAAAGTGTTGACAAGTAGGATGACACAGATATCTTTATAGGTAAAAATATGGAGAAATGACAATTGTTTGTAGGCAGATATACAAACACTTGGGGTCACTAAACAGAAAGAGCAAACAAATCACACACACAAATGGAAATGGGTGACAGCTGCAACACTGAACATCACGGACACGGAATACTGAAGAAGAAGTGAAGCGTTGTGGTCATGGGCTTCAGAACCAACTAATATTTATTGCAGTCTACCACAGCAGTCACCCTGTCACTGATTCTTTTCAGTGTATACACTACTGGCATAACATGGCAGTAAATAACTGACAGAAGTAGGACATAGCACAATGTTTATGCTTCTTTGAATACCATCAACTATAGAATACGGATATGACAGTTAATGATCTGGAGACAAAGCCGGATTACATACATGAAGGGTGTGATGCTTTTGGCACACTTCTCAAGCTAAATACAGCATGTGACATAATTGTTGTCTAAATAGTCATATTTTCAATATGTCTTGAACAGTTATGGTTGCACAGTGATATCAATGAGAGTGTTCACTCACTATGGTTCTTATGACAAATGACACAAATACACTGCATCCTGAAAAATAAAAAGGTGTGCACCTATTGGTGAGGTATGTGTACAGACTTTTTTTTTCTTCCAACCTGGGATCCAAGTATCTTTTTCTGGGACGCTCCTTTCCCCTCAGAAACTAGAGGAGTGCAAGATCAGTTCTGGAATTCACATGTGTGGAGAGGTATAATAGGATATGACCAATCATGATTCAGCACAGCTCATAAAACTGGCCAGGATTTCACCTTAGGTGGTCATGTTGTTTCCTCCACAAGTTTGAAGTATTTCAGTGTTAACAGACTTGAAATCATGAGAAGGAATGATTCTGTATAACATTTGACACTTTGAAGATTTCAATGCAATGTTGTTTTGCTATTATGCTTGCTTTTTATTAGGCTATATTTGTTATGAAATCAAACAAGTCTAATTCATAAATTTATTTCTAAAAGGTAAAAAAAATTATAATATTTAATTACAAAGTTTTCATTAATCAATTAAAATACTAGTGAGAAGTGCAAACTACAAAGATAATAATTCTACAATCAGAAAACAAATAACTATGTTAAGTTAGTAGGTAAACAGGAAAAAAACAACCTTATCTGACCTTTGTAATTTTACTGCGGAAGAGAGACTTCTTGGATTTTCGTCGATTCATGGGGTCTTCAGAGCTCTGCAAACCAATATTTTTAGAAAGCGGGGTGGTTTCTTTTTCATCTCCACTCTCAGAGGTGACTGATGTTGTCCTTCTGGAAGATGTGGAGATACAATTATGCTCATTCCACATAACAGGAACAGGTCATCATTAAGCAGATAAGGACTGAAACGGGTCATCATACAGGTCATCATTAAGCAGAAGAGGACAGAAACGGGTCATCATTAAGCAGAATAGGACACAAACGGGTCATCATACAGGTCATCATTAAGCAGATAAGGACTGAAACGTGTCATCATACAGGTCATCATTAAGCAGATAAGGACAGAAACGGGTCATCATACAGGTCATCATTAAGCAGAAGAGGACAGAAACGGGTCATCATACAGGTCATCGTTAAGCAGAAGAGGACAGAAACGGGTCATCATTCAGGTCATCATTAAGCAAATAAGGACAGAAACGGGTCATCATACAGGTCATCATTAGGCAGATAAGGACAGAAACGGGTCATCATACAGGTCATCATTAAGCAGAAGAGGACAGAAACGGGTCATCATTAAGCAGAATAGGACACAAACGGGTCATCATCCAGGTCATCATTAAGCAGATAAGGACTGAAACGTGTCATCATACAGGTCATCATTAAGCAGATAAGGACAGAAACGGGTCATCATACAGGTCATCATTAAGCAGAAGAGGACAGAAACGGGTCATCATACAGGTCATCATTAAGCAGATAAGGACAGAAACGGGTCGTCATACAGGTCATCGTTAAGCAGAAGAGGACAGAAACGGGTCATCATTCAGGTCATCATTAAGCAAATAAGGACAGAAACGGGTCATCATACAGGTCATCATTAAGCAGATAAGGACAGAAACGGGTCATCATACAGGTCATCATTAAGCAGATAAGGACAGAAACAGGTCACCATACAGGTCATCATTAAGCAGATAAGGACAGAAACGGGTCATCATACAGGTCATCATTAAGCAGATAAGGACAGAAACGGGTCATCATACAGGTCATCATTAAGCAGAAGAGGACAGAAACGGGTCATCATTAAGCAGAATAGGACACAAACGGGTCATCATACAGGTCATCATTAAGCAGATAAGGACTGAAACGTGTCATCATACAGGTCATCATTAAGCAGATAAGGACAGAAACGGGTCATCATACAGGTCATCATTAAGCAGAAGAGGACAGAAACGGGTCATCATACAGGTCATCATTAAGCAGATAAGGACAGAAACGGGTCGTCATACAGGTCATCGTTAAGCAGAAGAGGACAGAAACGGGTCATCATTCAGGTCATCATTAAGCAAATAAGGACAGAAACGGGTCATCATACAGGTCATCATTAAGCAGATAAGGACAGAAACGGGTCATCATACAGGTCATCATTAAGCAGATAAGGACAGAAACAGGTCACCATACAGGTCATCATTAAGCAGATAAGGACAGAAACGGGTCATCATACAGGTCATCATTAAGCAGAAGAGGACAGAAACGGGTCATCATACAGGTCATCGTTAAGCAGATAAGGACAGAAACGGGTCATCATACAGGTCATCATTAAGCAGATAAGGACAGAAACTGGTCATCATACAGGTATTCCATAAGCAGAAGAAGACAGAAACGGGTCATCATACAGGTATTCCTTGAGCAGAAGAGGACAGAAACGGGTCATCATACAGGTCATCATTAAGCAGATAAGGACAGAAACGGGTCATCATACAGGTCATCATTAAGCAGATAAGGACAGAAATGGGTCATCATACAAGTCATCATTAAGCAGATAAGGACTGAAACGGGTCATCATACAGGTCATCATTAAGCAGATAAGGACAGAAACTGGTCATCATACAGGTCATCATTAAGCAGATAAGGACTGAAACGGGTCATCATACAGGTCATCATTAAGCAGATAAGGACAGAAACAGGTCATCATACAGGTCATCATTAAGCAGATAAGGACAGAAACGGGTCATCATACAAGTCATCATTAAGCAGATAAGGACAGAAACAGGTCATCATACAGGTCATCATTAAGCAGATAAGGACTGAAACGGGTCATCACACAGGTCATCATTAAGCAGATAAGGACAGAAACAGGTCATCATACAGGTCATCATTAAGCAGATAAGGTCAGAAACGGGTCATCATACAGGTCATCATTAAGCAGATAAGGACAGAAACGGGTCATCATACAGGTCATCATTAAGCAGATAAGGACAGAAACAGGTCATCAAACAGGTCATCATTAAGCAGATAAGGACAGAAACGGGTCATCATACAGGTCATCATTAAGCAGATAAGGACAGAAACAGGTCATCATTAAGCAGATAAGGACAGAAACAGGTCATCATACAGGTCATCATTAAGCAGATAAGGACAGAAACGGGTCATCATACAGGTCATCATTAAGCAGAAGAGGTCAAACTTTTTTGTTTGTTTTTGCATTTAACCAAAGATGTAAATGCGTTGTGCCCATTTACAAGACGGCTGCAATATTCCCATCTTTGGCCAACAAATTTGACTTCTGCCAGGGTTAACACTCCCAGTTAGTTTTGTGGGACACTGCAGTTTCATTGTTGTGTGGTCATCTTTGTTTCCTTGATCACAGGTGGTGTCTATTATCAGGCTGATATTATCAGCCCTCAACAGAAGGTATGGCAGAACATGAGCATTCCCCGCCACCCAAGGAGGCATCCATAAATGGAGAGCCAATACACACTGCTCTGATACTGGGCTCACCAGAAAAATCGACACTTACTGCTAGCCATTATGGAATACAGCCCTTTTCAATCCGGAAGTTAGCCAGCGACGTCAATGGTGAGCTGCTTGGCAGTGAATAAGTTAATATCCCTCTACACTGTTCATTGTTCATTTAACTCTTTGAGTCCCAGGGGGTTTAGCATTACAGGACCAGAGGGTAGTAAACAGAGTTATAAAATCGGCGCATCAAGCGTTCATTGGGCTTCTAGGTAAGAACATTTGAACGTATGATGCGTTCCTTGGGACTCAATGAGTTAAAGATCATCTTTATCATACAACAGAGATGACCAGAAGTGCTCAGATCTCCTACTGAGTAAATCTCTAAGAGTTTTAATGCTCCCATTCTGTTCTGGTTGATGTAACGACGGGTGGCTCACTGCTCCAACTGGTACATCTAGGGTATGCAGTCTATTCAGTGAAGAATTATTTTCTATGAAATTGAAAGCCTCACAGGATTTACTCTCTCTAATGGCATCGATGATATCTCTCCTGTCCAGAGATGGCCTATTTTTGATAATCGCAACACTAGCCAGGGCACCAGCTCTCTTACTGCCTCTCCCACCAGCATGTCCTGGGACAAAAATGAAGGTGATTTTCCAAATAGCTGAGTGCTGTATCAGATGGATCCACTGTTCACTTATATACCCCGACTTGATCTTCTGAGCAAACATTCAGTGGTGAATTCCTGAGTCTTCAGCTATTTTACATCCTTTGTAGCAGCCATGACCTCCAAATTTATGCTGCTGGTGGGAGAAGCAGAGGCTCCACTGTCCTTTCTACATCAGAGTATACGCAAGGACAGTCCACCAATAATTAGATCAGTGTTTTCCAAACCTTTCTTAGTCACAGCACTTTTTTTCAATTAAAATTTTTCCACGGCACCCTAACCTATGTTAAAGTATGACTTTTCGTATGTAAGAAATGAAAAAAAATAAAACTCATTATCTCTTCGAATATTTCGAGGCACCCTTGTGAAGAGGTCGCGGCTCCCCGCGGCGCACAGTTTGGGAATCACTGAACTAGATCATTATTTTAAAATACTGTGTTCGATTATGCAGACATATTACTGACCCCAACTCTAATAAACCTAGTTTTACAAGTCCGCACTCATTTCTTATAAAGACAAATATTATCACTTACTTGACTGGAGATGACTGCTTCTTCAGCATTATTTCTCGCTTTCTTTCTGCATGCTCCATTCTGATTTTCTGCAAGGAGTCTAGTAAACCACTCAAAGCCACTCTTCGGAAAGTTCCTCCATGAATTTCCTTGACATAGGCCATCATTTGCCGGACATCACAGAACAAGCTCTGATGTTTTAGATCATATATGTGTTGTATATTTGTAACATGTTTTTATTAAATCTAAATTATCATTTAATTTTCAAGAGAACATTTAAAAAACCAAAACATACATACCTTTTTCATTACACCACATTTAGATATTTTCTCCAGGTGATGCTGGTGTGTTGGGAAACGAGCAGCCAGATGGACTGGCAGGTTCTGCACCACTTAGTGGTGAACTAATGTATGACAAGCTAGATGTTGTGAGGACCCTTTGGGAGTGAGTGAACAGTGTGGAGGCACAAACAGATCATTGTGGTCTGAGGAGAATGGCGCAGAGGGTTACCAGGGGATCTGGCCTACGCTCAACACTCAAGGAAAAGAAAAGGTGGATGTACAATCAGACAGTTACTGGTACCACTTGAATTTGAACGGCTTGCCTGCTGCTGAAGTTGGGGATGGAGTGCTTATGGCAGTGTCCCGAGTGCCATGATGTCAATTCTTAATTCAACATTTATTTGACTATTCTTAGTCTGTCTATTCTACACTAGTAAAAGCTGTTGCCCTACAGTTTTATTTTCACATTCTCTCTCTCACAATATACTCATCCCCATTTAGGATGCAATTTTGTTTGTTATTTGAAGACCCACTCTAGCTTTTGCCGGGGGCCCTGAATAAAGCTGGGCCATTAATATGGCCTAACATATGTAAAGGGTTTCTGAGACCTCTACACGGGTGATCCTCATCCGCCTGGTGGCACTTCGGGTGTTTATCGCTTGTGTGATGTCCTGGTGGAATACAATTCCCTCCCTCTCTCCCTCTCTCTCTCTCTCTCTCTCTCTCTCTCTCTCTCTCTCTCTCTCTCTCTCTCTCTCTCTCTCTCTCTCTCTCTCTCTCTCTCTCTCTCTCTCTCTCTGTCTTGATAAGACTTGTAAGTGTGCTATCATGAAATGGATGATTACAATTTTTTTTAATACTAACAGTATTAAATTGTCTTATACAGACTATATTTAAAAGCAAATGAAAGATACAGTTAAAATAACATCAGGATGCATCTTTCATGAAAACAAAAGATGGCTATTTATGTTCAAACTGTAAATCCAAGTAAAGGACAATAGGTTTCATTAAACATTGGCATTATTATAAATCAGAAATCATGGCCCCATTGTGGTTGGAAAACAAGAATAGACCCACTGCCTGCCCAAAAGCATGTCGTAAGAGTCGACTAATTGGAAGCTTCCTTTGAAGTCTGGGTACATCTGTCTGAGGGGCAGGGAATTGCATGCAAATGAGTCAGACCTGTGAAACAGATGTACACCCAACAGTCAGGTTCTGGAACAGGGCTGGAGTCCAGAAGTGGATGAACAACCACAAGTTTCCGCCTGATTTTGAGGCCGGTGAATGCGAAGATGATGATGAAGAAGAAGAAAATAAATCAGAACTTTCTAAATTGTGTGTTGTAACACATCAGTGTGTCTGAACAGTGTGAAGGTGTGTTACATGATGGTGTGTCTGTACCTCTTATAAGAGGTTAGTTTAACTTTTGGTTTGCTAGCAGATAGAATTTTTGTGTCGCAAAATTATTTATATCTCAAATGTGTGTCACCAACATTAAAGGTCCAGAAGGCTCTGTTTCAAATGTTTAGTCTTTCAAATTAAGTTCTTCCCTTAGGTTATAGAATACCATGTACCTGAGCTGGTGATTGAGTGAGATGGGGAATGTTCTAATACTTCTAACCATTATTACAGCCAGCTGCGCTGTCTTCTAATGAATAATTCTGGAACTTACTGTTGATATTTTCCAGCATTTGCAACGCATCTCATGAAAACATTAGATCTACTTTATGTTCCATTGCTAGCTTCAGAAGTGTTAGTGATTTCTTCTTCTCCTGCATTCATTAAGGATTTTTTTTTTTTTTAGATTGGACGACACAGGAATTGTCTGTGGGGAGATGAGCGACAGAGAAGTTGCAACATCTGCTCTGGCTTGTGCAGACCTGGTTCAATTCACGACCTTGTTCAATTTTAACAATTGCAGGCTCAACAGATTGCTGCCAACTCACAAAATCAAAATACCTATTACAATAAAACAACTTCCGGTTAAAATGGACGCTAGACAGCAGCGCCGTTCGGAACAGAGGCAAATTTTTTGCTTCTGCCGGACGGTGGCCGATGCATTTTTGCTCCATTTGTAGACTGGATATAGTTTCGTCGCCCAGCTTCTGAGTTGAATGCATGGCGTGACCCTGTGAGCTGCGGATCGCATTTGGAATGTTTTTTTTCGACTGTGACCAACGTGGTGGTGTGAATTGTAGATTCAGAAAATGGCGCGATGCCTGTCGTGCAATGCTTGCGGGACCCGTATTAAAATTGATCACGCGGACAACTGCTGATCTGTTGACGACAAGTTCTGCTATCATCAATGATGAACTGCATTTCTAATGTTGGACTGTTTGTGTTAGCACTTCGGATGGCTACCATATGCTTTAATGCGAGTGTATGCTAGATATGCTGAGACAGCAGTCTGTCAATCTTTCCACAAGGGACTGTGATAGACATTCTGAGTGTTTTTCGCTGGCACAGGAGCGGAGCAAAGATGGGGCAACCCATTTGCTATGAAGCTGAAACTAAGACTACCAGACTACCAGACTACTAGACTACCAGACTACCTATTACAAAATAAAAAATACTTTCAGACAAAAAGAGAAAAAAACATGCAGATGCATCCTTAACTGTACAACAATGTTTATGCACTGTTCTGATGCACCTGTTTCTGGGAGGAGACTGCAGAACTTTTAGTTTTCCTTTACTAAAACCAATCAAAACCTATTATATTGCTTCCTTTAACAGTGCTGTTGCAATATTTGCAACTTTCTGCTAAACAGTGTTTTTCTTACACTGCAAATGTAAATCAGGCTAGCCTTTGTTGATTGCGATTGTTTGTTATCATTCATTCTGAAATTCTGTAGACATTTTTCCTTTACTCCTAACAAATAGCAGGTCATAGATAACACATGTAAAATTTATTAAACTCTTTATTTATGAGATTTTAAAAATTCAGTATTGAGAAGGGTGCAAAGAAATATCAGTGAACTTAACTTAGTGTTTATGTTAATAAAAGGTTTCTATTTGCAAAGACCCCCCCCCCCACCACCCCCTCCCTCCCCCCCCCCACCACCACCCCCCCTCCCCCCAAAATTGTGCAATTTGCAGTGATTCCTAAAATAAATTGTGCTATGGGCAGTCATTCATAACATAAATAATGTGATCTTCATAAAGAGACTGAAATGTGCATATAAAGGTGTTTTATTATGTGGTAAAGCCCAACTCTCATTGACTGTGGATCTCTCATCCACAAGATACAAGAGCGGCCTTTTTCTCAACCTGCCACCATAGAAATCAAATCCAGGGAAACAAAGATTTAAGAAAAGAGTGATTCGTAATTGCAGCATAAATCAAAACATTTTATCTGCAACACATAACAAATAAGCACTGAACTGAAATAAAACACTTTACTTGGTAGGAACTTCTTACTGCATAATAGAATATTATATATATATATATATATATATATATATATATATATATATATATATATATATATATATATATATATATATATATATATATATATATATATATATATATATATATATATATATATATATATATATATATAAACTAAAATGTGGGTATGCAGAAGAAAAGGGCATACTTCATGGAAATAAAAACGGTCCAATACAGAGGTTCTGGAAAGATTACAAATGAAAAGAGAATTACTGAAAGAAATAAACAAGAGACAATTGAAACACTTTGGCCCCATTAAAGACATAACATGCTTTAAAAAACAATACTGAAGGGAAAGGTCGAGGGCAAGAAAGCAAAATGTGGCAGCGATACAAGTGGGAGGACAACATCAAGATGTGGACGGGCAGCAGTCTGAGAGAGTGTACAACCAGGACAAGAGACAGGGCGTGTTGGAGATTCATTGCAGCCAACCTTCACTATGGAGATGGCACCCTGATTAATTGTTACATAAATTAAGGGATAAATGTTTACTACAACTAATCATTGCTCAAATATAGTCCATAGATTTGTGTCAACTTCACAGTTTAAATACCTGGCTCATAAAGGTAATATATAATGAGTTTTATATTTTTTAAAGGAAAAAAATCAACACAAGTAAATTATCACCGTTTAAAGGACGTTCAAGTGATGGTAACAGATGTCTTAGTGTGTCAAATTTTCAAAATAAATGGATTCACAAATCATACTCACACATAGGAGACTGCACAAGTGTTGTGGGGTCAAAACAAAAGCCCAAGAAAGCATGCAGAAAATCAATAGTTTCTTGCAGAGGTCGCTTTTTCACGGTGTCTCTCAAGAATTTGTGAAACATGAAAGGATTGATCTTGTGCAAGCGCTGCAGGCAGTTCTGACCCTTCATTCGCAAGTGATCCCCCTGTACGCCAACAACTCCATCTCCACAACCATGGGGACATCCCAAGGCCTTGTATATTCTGTGTATATGGAATATAAATACATGTAATAACATTACTTAATTACTGTGTATATACAAATACAGCTTATACTGACAGCTGACTCATGGATCATACATGTATTGGTTTTTTTTTTTTTGTAGCGCTTTAAAATGAGCCAGGGTAAAGGGGATAACAAATGTTCTATTCATACTGTTGATATGATAACAATAAGATCTTATTGTTCTGTTGATAAGTGATGAAGAAAGGGTTGTTTGGGCGCTAGAAGGTAACTAGCTTGTGTCTGGATGTGATAAGTGAGAGTGATGGTGATAACAGCTTTCACCAGATCGTTGCATGCCGTCAACAGCAAATGACAGTGGGATGTAGTAGGTATCAGCTGATAGCTATGTTCTGCTGACATTGCTGGGATCTAGTGGTGGCACTAGGTAGAGGAAATAAATTCAATTCTCAGATACTGCTTTCAACCTAACCACACCCCTGAAATTTGTAATTTTCCAGGAAATCTTTGAACAATTATAACTCGATGCTGATTTGAAGAAATTACCTTCAGGTCTGTGTCTAGCCACACTAATCTCTCTCATCTCTCTCTCTCTCTCTCATATGTGCATGCACTGCCATATATTATTCCATACTGTAAGTAACTTTAAGTAAGTTCTATTACCGACTTTGGGAATTAAAGTCTTGGATTTGCTAATGGCAATCAATTAGAATTTCTAAAAACTGGTGCCAAACACACAATTTCTCGGAAGTTACGGGTTCCAGGTTTTTTTGTGTGTGAATCTCCCATGGCTAAAGGGTTAAACGACCCAAACTAGAGCCAGAGACAGGCAGTGTGACATCATCAACAAAGACAACAGTCTAATTTTTCTAGATGCTAGATGCAAAAGCCAATTTACTGAATCAACTAAACAAAAAAACTGCACCCACATATCAATATTGTTATCTATTAAAAATACTGAATTATCCTTTTGTCAAAGGGGTCAAGACTGTAGAAGTTCAAAGTAGTTATGCTGGATACTGTCGTTGGGTAGTAAGCATCAGACTTATGCCTATTCTAGGTAACAAAATAAGGCGGGGATAGCCAGAACACTTCCTTACCATGTTTTTATCCTAGAAGTTTGCCAGGATATTCTGAAAATTGTCAGTTAATCAAGTAACAGAAAGTGTATTGATCGGCACTCATAGAAAGAAGTAGAAAGATAGAAGGAATGAATATTGTCAGTAGCTAACTACAAACAAACATGGACAAACCTAAATAAACTGTCCATAGCAAGACTATGTGCGGTCACTTCATCTCTTGATCGACCAGACAAACTCTCATCATGAACATGTGGCTTGGGTCCATGACTGGCTTCGTGGCCTAAAACAAATATTTGTTTACAAAAATCATTATTTCCTGAGGACAATTACTTAGTGAAAATATTATATTACCAAAAGCCTTGATTTAAATAACACAAATCTGACCAACTGGATGATACTTGGATGATTTATGTTATTAGTACATCAAAATTAAATAGCCAACTCATTTCATCACGATTTATCATTTACTATTTGGTGGGTCTTTGTTGCGAAGTCATCAAACCATTTGCCTCAGGTTCTGAAATGTGTGCGTTCATTTCACAGCAGCACTATTCAGTTCATGAGTGCAATTTTTATGAAGAATCCCTGGGGACGGTTGCTGGAGCTACAGAGTTTGTGTTCAGTGCAACGCCCTCAGCAGACAGCTAGCTATTCTGCGGACAGAGACAGAGCCAGATAAGAAGAAAACCTGGTGCGACGAAGTTGTTCCTCTCGACTTTAATCTTTATTAAATAGATATACGTATAAAGGCAGTCATATTGATCACGACTTGCTATATCAGCAGCTATGCTTTTGTAAAAACTACTCTGAATATAACAAATACAGCGCCCTGGAGCTGGATATTTAGACTGCTTTATTAAGATAGTCTTGATCAATAACATTCACTGAGGATGGGCAGTTACAGAACTATCTTCCTCTTCGTCACTTTATCCCCAAATAGAGCATAGGCCCTCAACCAACTTAAACCAAATTGTTCAATTCTTTGCAGTTACAGAACTTAGCCACATTATACAGACCTTGACCGATTTATGGATACTAACAGAGAAAGAAAAAAACAGAAAAGAACTAAAACAATTATGGGCTTTCCTCCGAACTTCTACCCCCGCATTATGGCCGCAGCAAATATCCGTACGGGGCTCAGTTAAAAATATACGAACTTCCGGCGACGAACGAATCGCTCAGAACTAGGATTACCTGAAAATTTCAAGAGACGCAACACTGCAGACGATAGTAGCAGATGATAAAAGCGATCGTTGACACTTTCGAGCGTTTCTGCAGACGATACTAGCAGACGATACTAGCAGACGATACTAGCGACCATGGACAATTTCAAGACACGCAACATTACTGACGATAAAAACCACATGGTGCGGAGTCGACGTATGCCGATGCAGATTAGCGTCGTCGTTGTCCTTAAACTTGTCGGCATGTGCGAAACGCGGTTACACTCACCGCCGACAGTATCCCCCACTCCGCTACCCGCGGCGCGGATGGGGGGGCTAAACTAGGTGCCAAGGACTGACGAGCAAATTAATTGGAGGAAGTTGCAGGAGATGCGGTAGCTGCTGCTCGTGAGTCCCAGCCATCTAGTTTAGTTCCCATCCACGCCCGTAGCTGCGCGGGGGATGCAGTCAGCAGTGAGGTCACAGAAACAGGTCCGCAAGTAACATATCGCTGCGACCCTGTCAGAGCATTTGTTTCGTTATACGGAGCAAGCATATTTTTAACAGAACTGAGCCCAGTGCGGATATTTGTTGCCGTCATAATGCGGGGGATGAAGTTCGGAGGAGAGCCCAATTATGAATAAATCTTTACAAAGTGAAATCAATAACTTCCTTGATGGTAATTCCATGTGTGTTAGTGGGGATATATATATATATATATATATCCCCACTAACACACATATATCAATTTTATTCACTAACGCAACACAGTTGTATAGGCACAGACAAAAACAAAAATAAAAACATCTATTATTTACCCTCTGGGGTCCCTGCCGCTGAGCTGGCTGCTGAGTGATTCAGTGGGCCCAGCTTCCCAGATGCTGTAACTGACACAGGAGTGCCTGCGGTAGATGGCGTCATGATGTCCGTCGATTCGATAATGTCCAGGTCTAGGAGACAGTTAAGCAGGTTCATCAGGACCTCACAAATCCGTGGTGCATGCTCCTTCATAGCCACAAAGTGTATGGCTCTCAAGACAACCTTGTAGTTTATATGTCCATTCTCCTGAATGTAGTATTTGGAGCCAGACACCTGAAAAATTTGGTTAATTATAGACAACATATCTGTTAAATGTTTTACAGTCAAACAATGCTCACTGAGTACAGATCAGATGTCACTGTCAAGCAGCGACTGGCTGAGTGGTTAAGAAAGAGGAACTCTCCTTTGGGAGATCCAGGTTTGAATCTTCAGTAAGGTTGTGGATTTTTTTAATGTTGGGGGCATAAATAAAATCCTAACCTGCACATTTTGTGGTGACTGCACTGGCCATGTGGCCCTAAATGCTCTTGCCCAACCTTCACCTGACTTACATCTCACTAACAAGTAGTAGCAACCTATGGTGATGTTTAGTGTTGTATTAACAATATTAATCATCTGCAATCTCCTTAATGAAGGCTGACTGCAGTGGGTCTCCAACACTTCCTGCCTCCTACTCTGGTTACATATTCTTGCAGACTGTCATTTATTAATATCTTCATATTACCCTTCCAATTGTAACTATCAATATTTTACTTGCCTGAAATCAACTTTTGCCTCCAGTATTATTTTCACAAGACCGTTATGCCTTTTAATGAGGTTGGAATATTTCATTTACTTCTTTTGTTTTCGTTATTTTTTATAATAATAAGAAAAACAAAAGAGGTAAATGAAATATTGCATGTGCATTCGGGACACAGAAATAAAATAGCAACTGTACTTGCAGAGTGTACCCTCAAAGAACAACATGCTGCTGTGAGTTTTTTTTTTTGGTTTTTTTTGGGGGGAGGGAAAAGGGGGGGGGGGGGGGGGGGTGTGTGTGTGTGTGCAAAAGGATTGCCTACAAAGGACATCATAAGGAAATGCTTCCTGTTTATGCTGACAAATGTTTATCCTGTAAAGCGGTGCATAACTGGTTTTTAAAAAAAAAAAAAGGTTTCTCAGGGACATTTTAAAATTGTTGATAAAGGCCTGTTGACTAGAGGAGTACTGTTCCTGCAAGACAACCCTAGACCACATACAGCATGGTTAACTTAGGAGAAAATTAACCATCTACAGTGGGAACTTCTGGAACATCCACCTGACAACCTCGACATGGCCCCCCAGGGATTTCCACCTTTTTGGTTCAATGAAAACCAACCATGACGGGAGACATTTCACGAATGACACAGAAGCTGAATGTGAAGTGAAAATGTGGTTTAGAAAACAGAGCACGCAGTTCTATGCAGCAAGTTTGGGAGGACTGATAAACCGATGGGACAAGCACATCAATGTTGGTGGAAATTATGTTGAAAAATAAATGGACAGTGTATGTGTAAAAATAATGGTTTTCAACTTGTTTTTTTTTTTTAAAAACCATTTGTGACCTACTTATTGACTTCCTCTCGTACTTAGGAAAATACGGTAGGTTGGCAGTGAGGGTAGATTTAGCAGGTCCTTATCATGATAGAAAAACATAGCAAGCGAACAGACACATACAAATGGAGAACTGTAATCGTAAAGAATTTTGATCACATACGCCACCTGGCAAGATACTTGATGCATAATGGCTTTTTAAAAGCACTTTCAAAAACAAATAAAACTTATAAAAATGTATTGATTTTTATAATAAATGTAACGTTCAGACCTCAGCGACTTCATTCTCCTGCTTGTAGGCTATGTTTGAATCTGTGAAGCTCCGTGGCAGAGTTGATGAACATAGAAGCTCATCTGTGGAATCACCAACATATTTACCACTTTCAGTTTTTTGGCAAATACTTTGCTCACATTGATGAACCAATTAATTACTAATAAACTACAAACATTCATTAAATAGTGCTTGATGAATAGAAGGAATTAAACGGTATGATATAATTACTGTTGAAAAAGAACTTTGGGAATGAACTTAACAAAATCCAGTGAATCAAAAGAGATTAAGAAAAGATGCAGGGGCTGGAGAGGAAACACGATGAAACAATTAACCAGAAGGGTTCTACAATGTAATAGAAATAAAGCAGACTAAAAAACACATGGACAAGGGAACTAGAGGGTGAAGTTTAAAAAAAAAAAAAGCTGAATGTGGTAGCAAAGGACAGGACGATTCAGAGTGAGTTGGTTGAGGGCCTATGCTTCACTGGGGGATAAAGGGCAAAAAAAAGAAGAAGCAGTCAACTTCTATCCTGGTTCACTGGGAATGTTTGCCAGACCTCTATAGTTATTGTAATATTTCACATTTATCTCTCTGGATTTTCCTTCTTGTGCCACCTTTAAAAAAAAAATGCATTGCAGCTAATTCTTTTCCTAATAATATTTTTTTAAACAATAGTGGAAACATATTTTAAAATCTGTTTGGGCCTAACTGGTTGTTAGAAAACCAGAGATGCAGAGCTGTATAGAATGATAAATCACTAATTACCAAGCAACTCATCATACATTTCTTGACTACTCTTATTTTTCTTTTGTTCATCTGATATAAGTTGTCTATATCAGCAATTTTATTTCTTTTATAAATGTCAGTGTCGTTTTTAGTTCATTCAATGGTCTGTAGAGTTTGCATTCCACTGTTGTCCTCTCTGGCAAAAAGGTCTGCCTCCTGGAGTATGTGTTCTGCTGTCTGGGGCAACTTTCTATATGTGCACATGGCTGATACACCTATGTTGAATTTTGTGTACATGTATTTGTGTAATCAGTTGTGCCCTGTTCTGAGGCGAACGATAATGACTTGTTTTTATCTGTTGATGATAGAATAGTCGTCTTGTGATGGGGCTGGTAGTTTTCTTATTAATTTAATGATCCTTTTTTTTTAAGGTATGCAACTGCTACATCTGGCTGCTCTTTTGTTGCACTTTCCATGCCAACTGATAAGCTCTCTTATTTCCAGGCAATCTATAATGGGATGGTATCCACTGCTTTGCAACTCTATGCTGATAGCTGAGTTGTGTCAGCAGTGTTTACAATTCTAGTAGTTTCCCAGACTGGAGTGCTTTAAGTACAGATTTGGCATCTGTCAGCATTACCACACAGACTGTGAGCTAAAGTTGGTATTGAGCAGTTTCTCCGTTGCTATCTTGGTAGCCTGGGTTTCTGCATCACATTTATGACAGTACTTCCTGGCTGGCTTACTGGACTTATCCTTAGTACTATGTACATTCCTGCACCACCATTTCTAACTGCATTTTGAACGGACCCATCTGTACAAAGTCAGATGCATTGTTCTTGTGAGTGCGTGGCGTTCAACCCCACCAGACATCACACAGAGCGAAAAACACCTGGTGACACCAAGTGCCACCATTCAGAAGAGGATCACCCAGGGACAGGTCTCAGAAATCCTGTTCAACCTATACGTTGGGTTATATTAGGATCCTCGGCAACAGCCAGGGTCCGGCTTTACAACAAAACAAAAAAACTGCATCCAACACTGGGACGCAGATTCTGTTTTATTGTTTTTATGGGTATTCTTCATCAACATTGCTGAGGGTGGCCATTCTGCATTGTATGCTATCTTGCTCTTTTTTGTCGCATATTCTTTTCACATTTGTCTGGATGTCTACTGCTAGTTTGCATTTTTTTTCTCCTTGTTCTGGAATGTGGGAGTGGGGGTGTAGACCCACTGCCTCCCTAACAAGCATGTCGTAAAAGGTGACTAATTGGTGATTTGTGCTCCGAAGTCAAAGTGCTTCTGCCTGAGAGGCAAGGATCCAACACTGCACACAAATAAGCAGATCCATAGAACAGATGTACAAACAAAATTAAGGCCCTGGAACAAGACTGATGTCTAGAAGTGGACAAAGAACCAGAAGCTTCTGCTAAAGTTTACAGCCGGTGAACGCTAAGAAGAAGAAGATGATGTTAGGCCAAAATGTGCAGATATTGCAGGTTGGCTGTAAACCCCAACACAACATACCAAGTGCCATTTCAATGGCAAACACAGAAAAAGAAGAAGAACTGAATCCAGCAATTAACAACTAACCATCATGACTAGTGGCAGCATGCAGGTTCATGTTGGATCCACTTGTTGCAGATTTGTTACTGCCTGATATGCCTTTACTGTCTGGACTGTGCTCAGTGATGCGTATGATAGGCCGTCTGATGCCTTCTCTTTCACCAGAGTAGACATTGTGACCTCTGCCATGGAGGTCGGCCTGGGAGGATGTAGATGAATCCTGACCACTGCACTGACTACTGCTGCCCATGGAGTCCTTGTCTTGCTGGCTCAAAGCTGGTAGGCTTTTTCTACATGATCCGCTGGGATGACAAGGAAAGCAAATGTTATTCTTGTATATACCAACAAATACAAACTGGAATAATGTTACCTTATAACAATAAATGTAGCAACATCGGGTCAAATGACTCAACAATAAACATAAAACACATATACAATCAGATAAAATACTGACAGAAAAACCACAATGCAGAAAATTGTCAACAGTTAATACCTGCATTATGCATTATCGTGCTATGCTGTTATGTGTCAAATAAGGCCACAATCAGTTCATCGATTATATTCTATCCTGGGCAATTTAAAAAAAAAATGTTAGGTATGGGATCTTACCTGGCACCTCAGGCTTCTTTCATCAATGTTTGTCACAAGGTTTCTCTTGGGTGTTGTTGCTTCCTCAATCCATCTGTTTCCTTGGCTGTGTTTTATAATTCTCTGCTTTGTCGCAGAAATTCCTTGATATATCACCATCTTATGACTATTGTTAACAGCATGTGCCCAGGCATTCATCTGATGAGTTTGCCTGTCTTAAATTTTGTGCCCAGGCATTCATCTGATGAGTTTGCCTGTCTTAAATTTTGTGCCCCTTCAGGCATATTGGGCATATAGTGCTAGACCTATATTTTATAGACCATTCAGCACTCAGTGGGTGATGTCAACATCCATCAGATGCCTTTACTTCCCAGGACTTTACCTGGTACCCATTTAAAGCTGGGTCAACCTGGATGCCAAGGTCATTAACAAAAACAAAAAGTCAGGCACAATCCGGATTCAAATTAAGTAAGTGCACAGTGCAACAGTAGCAGACTGAGTACTCATACCTCGAAATACTGATTCAACAGAGTGTGAGCAGAGGTTCTGGGTGATATTCAATGCTGAGGGGAAACCATAGGCAAACTTTTAATGTGGTTGCAACTGGCACTATTAGCATGGTATCAGGATTGTTGCTGTCAAACTAAAACTGTTTTTGGAAAGGAAAGAGCTCCTGCCAAAACGCTTTGGGCAGTTACCAGCCAGGGAAAGATACCTGGTCAAATGCAGCTACTTTTGATTTTGATGTTTATGAGGGGTTCCAGAATAGACAGGATACGTTTGTGGCGGCACTTGATCTTGAAGATGCCTACAACAGAGTCAGACATGATATTAGATATCTGCGCTCATGGAGAAGAGGGTATGTCCCTGGATTGTGAACAGGGTAGCAGGTGTCCTGCATTCACTTAGGGTTGCCGTTCACCTTATGGTTGTCCTTCACCTGAGAACATGGACATAAAGAACTATGTAATTTTGCCCTGGGACTACACCACGATTCTGCAATTTCACTGGTGCTCTTCCATAAGCAAGATTGCAGAACTTGAAGCATCAGGTGTTGGATGGATATTGACATTTCCAGATTATGTTTTTGCATATAGGCAGGTGAGTGATAGGCAAAGGAAAGCCCAAGAGCTACAGGCAATTATAGACAAAGTGACTGACTGGTGTGCAGAAATGGGTGCTGTCATCAGCTCAGAAAATGCAGCTGTTTTTTGTGCTCTTTGGACAATAGAACCTGTTAGATCTAATGTTCCAAGCCTCAAAATTAATAACAGTAACAACAAAATAGAAAGCAAACTGAGGTACCTGGGTATCATTTTTTATAGAAGCCTATAATTCATGGATCATGTGAAATACCAAAAAGGACTCAATGCTCTCAAGATTATGGTAGCAATGGACATGGAACAAAGAATGCAGTTCACAATGTTCCAGCATGTGATCCTGTCGGTGATAGATTATGGACTTGGAATGATTACTATAACAAACAATTAGCTGATGAAACTTAAATGCATACAGCATGAAGCCAAGCAGGTAGTTCTAGGATGCACAAAAGATACCCAGGTAGTGTGTATGCGATATATACACAGCATACTATTGCAGATAGGCTCAAAGTTCTGCAGGCAAAGTAATATCTCAGAGTAGCTGCAGACAAAAGTGCAACAAAACCTCTCATATGATATCACATCTAGTTTGAGAATGGAGGTGGAGGCAGTCACTGCTGCCTTTCACTAACTTGAGAATCAGCTATACATACATCCCGTGATTGTAACTAACTTACAGAGCATGTTGACAAAGGTGTAGACAGGCATGCTCCATGTAGAGTAGCAAGCATCACTTCAGAGGTCCTTTGTAGTTGACATCCTTTGGATAATTTTTCCAGGTCATGCAGTGTGTTGGGAAATGAGCAGGGAGATAGACTGGCTAGTTCTGCACAACCTGGTGGTGAACTGATGTATGACAAGCTAGATGTTGTAATAGCCCTTTGGCAGCAAATAAACAGTGAGGAGGTACAGACTGATCATTATGGTCTGAGGAGAATGGTGCTGCGGGGAGTAACTGGAGGATCTGGGTGACACTCAACACTCAAGGGAATGGCGAGACGGATATATATATATATATATATATTTAAAAAAAAAAAAAAAAAAAAAAAAAAAATATATATATATATATTATATATATATATATATATATATATATATATATATATATATATATATATATATATATATATATATATATATATAAAACCAGACAGTCACTGGTACCATCAGAATTGGAACTCTTCGCTTACTGCTGAAGATGGGGACGGAGTGCTTATGTGAGTGTCCATAGTGCTATGAAGTCGATTCTGAATTCAACATTTAACTATTAGCATGGGAACTCTTGTTTGTTACTAAAGAAGAAGACAGAGTATGTGTGGCAATGTTCCAAATGCAGCGGTGTAAATTCTTGGTTCATTTATTCAACAAACAGTAAGTAAGAGATTACATAAATATAAAAGTAACAAGTTTTAAAAAAAATGATTGCATGCTACATGCCTGGAGATGAACAAGCTGAACTTTTCATCATCCTTTCCCTCCTTGTATGAACTGATTGCAGAAGTTGATCGGTGTAATTCTCCTTCAGGCTCATGGCCTCCATCATCTTTGCCTAATAATTTGTAAAAGAATTCATGAAAGTAAATTGCGCAAAAAATAATTATCTTACACACAACAGAAGATTGAAAAGTTAACTCTGTGCCATAAAACATTTGAGTAAAGCTTTCACTTTCCTTTGTTCAGACCCTTACTGTGCTTTTCATGCACTCAGTATGTGACAGGTGAACTGGTTAAGCCATTTGCCCTATACTTTGAAGACTCTGGATCTAATTTTGGATTCTGTTTTTTTTTTCAGTTTGTGTGTAACAGTGTTTCAGAGATCTCTGGGGTTTTCCGTTAAAGCTAGGGAGTTTAAAATGCTTTGTTTGGCCCTCTTTTTGAGCTAAAATCTGCTCTGCTGAGAGAGGCTGAAACAGACTGAGCATATAACTTGATGCAATGAAGTTGATCCACTTATCTTTAAACAATTTTAAAAGTTCACTACATAAAATATTCCATATTAAGAGAGGTAATATTTATCATTCAACACCTGTCATTAGCAATTTCTGGGAAAAGAAAAGTATAATTAAAATGTTGTGTTTTTTCATCTCGTGGACTGCAGCCTGAAATGACACCCAGTAACTCAAAGTACCATTATTTTTATGTAAATCCACAGGAACAAATTCCCAGAAACCCTATTCACAACACCCCCCCCCCCCCTTTTTCCCCCGCCCCCAACCCAAGGGTTACATTCATCATCATCAGGTGCCTTGCCAACTGGCGTGGGCGATCATGCCTCTCTATAATCTGCGATCTCCTGCAGCATGTATCAGTTCGTGTGTCGACACACCTCCATGCCATGCAACAAGACTGTCAAGCATCTTCTCTCGTTGTCCTCCTCTATCCCTCCTTCCACAGATCTTTCCAGTGGTCACAACATGTTCTATTTACATTACCCAAACAAAAAAATAAATAATTTCTGAGTAATGATTTCTGTAAAGCTGTTGTCATATATGAACGTCAGCGAACATTAAATAATATTTTCTCGTGCAACAAATGTTGCACATGTTCAGTTATCTATATGAACATCCCTTTCAATACATTCTGAGATATCAAACAAGAGATGACCATTGTTCTCATCTATTACTATGTGGACTGTTCAGTCTGTGTTTAGTCTGTTCTAAAGCCAGACATTTACCACTTTTCAAGTAAAAAGACTGAAATTGTACTAGTAATAACCATTATTTTGATTGCTAAAAATGAAATACAACTGCAATACATGATAGACATTGTAGAAACAGAAAGTCAAAACAAGGATCTTAGATTGATCAGCAGAAAAACATAACTAATGGTAACTACAAAGAAAATAGACCCTCCAAAATGCAGCATCAAGTAAATGGGCCAATTCTCAGGCAAGATGATATGTTTAACTCTTTTGAGTCCCAAGAAACGCGACATACATTCATAGATTCCTACCTAGAAGCCCAGTGAACGCGAGATGCGCCGATTTTACGTCTTTCTTGACTACCCTTTGGGCCTGTGATGCTAAACCCCTTGGGACTAAAAGAGTTAAGTGCTTTGAAATCCTGATAACAGCAGATGGAAGATGTATTAAAGAAGTTGAATACAGAATAGCTCAAGTTAAGGCAGTATTTTACAAATTAAAGAATGATTTATGCAACCTTTCTTTGTCAATGGAGACAGGAAAGAGAATACTCAACTCTTCTGAATCCAAGGGAGGTTTAGCATCGGAGTCCCAAGGGGTAGTCAAGAGAGTGTAAAATCGATGCATCTTACAATCATTGAGCTTCTAGGCTGGAACATGTGAACGTATGATGTGTTTCTTGGGACTTAAAGAGTTAAAAGCTATATAAATCCTATCCTGATATGTAGACGTTAATCGTGGACTAGTGAAAAATTATTTGGAAGCTGTAGTTTTATAAAATGATGAGAACACCCTGGACAGATAAAAAGAGTAATGAAGATGTCTTGAAAGAAACTGACTCATGAAGAGAACTGATTGCCCAAATCAGAAAAAGACAATCTATAGTCTTCGGTCATGGGAAGAGAAGGAGAAAACTGGAGTACTTAGTGACAGTGGGACAGTTGGAGGGGAGGAGAGGCAGAGGGAGACTAAGAGAAAAGATGCTGGACAGTTTCACATCATGGCATAGAAGACATCTGTGACAGAGGTGACTGAAAGTACACAAGACAGAAGGTTGTGGATAGACATGACTATCAACACCACACAACATGGACTATAAGAAGAAGAACAACCGTATTTCATTATTCATGGACACAGTATAAAGAAAAACTTAGAAGAAAATAAACTATTAAACGCTAACAAATTTATTATTTTAATCATAAATACCATCATGGTCTCCTGCATCCCTCTTACGGAGAAATGATTTGCTTGAATCAAAAAACTGCTTGATCTCTGCCACACGGATTTTTTTGAAGGGTGGTTCCTTGCGAAGCTCTGGTATAGGAAAGGCTCCAGCTCCAGTCATGGCAGGCCTGCGCATCTCTAGTCCTGGAACATGTCTGATTGGGCTTCGAGTCTCTGGGTGGAGTCCAGTAGGGGTGGGCGGTCCAGACAATGGGTCTGCTGGGGTGCAAGGTTTGCTGGTGCCCATCAGAACATTCAGGTCAGGAATAGGTAAGGAGCAGCTACGGGTGCGTTCCTTGGAGTCCATGTTTTCAGTTTCACGACAGACTTCAAGCATTCTCTGATGCATATACCTGAATGCAAATATTTTTTTTTTAATTTAAAAAACTTGATGTGTACGTTATGCCCCAATATAAATGAATAAAAAGAGTTAACAGCCAACATCACAGCACTCAGGGTATTCCCATAAATGCTTTGTTCAAATCTTCAGCAGCCAGAACAGATTCCCAGTACTAATGGTGCCAGTTGTAGTCTGATTGTATGTTTGTCTTGCTTTCCCTCGGAGCACTGATTTCTACCCGATCCTCCGATCACTTGTATTTGCATCACTGGTATTAAAAATAATTTTAAAAATCGGAATAGAAAAAAAAAACATATTATTCCTGGTATTACTTGTCAAATAAGTTTTTCCTTTTTTTTTAAGAGAGGAAGAATTAAGTTTTGTCACTCTAGTCAGTGATATTGTTGTAGATCTAGCTTTTTTCTGATCTTTGAACCTTTGTGTACATCAATTTTTTCATCATGGTCAAACAACTTGAATCTTCTTCTTTTGTCATCTCACTGATACCAGGGTGTAGCCCAGTGTCGTAGTTTTCTGTATTTGTTTTGAGCTTCTCGGGTGGCTTGGGTGATGGATTTGTTCATCTTTTTTGGGCCACACCATTTATCAATAACTTTCTTGGTCTTTCTCTCACCTTCCTCCCGGATATTCTCTTGTAAAAAGTCTCATATGCAGTTTGGTTCTGGCTGCATTCTCACTAAATGGCTGAACCATTTCATTCTCTGTCAGCAAAATGACCGAGGCATGGTTGTATTCCAACTTTTTCTCTAATGCTGGTATTTGTAACCTTGTCTCTTCTTGTGTTGTTAGTGACCATGTGGAGACAACACATTTCACACGTAGTTATTTTCTGTTCCAGTGCCTTATTCACTGTCCATGTTTGGCACTGCTAACATAAAGTAGGGATAGAGATGCTATTAATCATTTGCTGTTTGGCTGAAAGGGAGACATTTAGGTGACTAAGCAGCGGGGCTAACTGGCAGGTGACAGCATTTACCTTTTGTACTCTGGCTTCTATCTCTCTATCCAGTCTGCCATCCTCCATAAATATGCTTCCTAGATATTTGAATTCTCGCACTTGTTTGATTTTAGTACCCTTAACATGAACGCTCATGATATTATGTTTCCTGCCTTTCCACATTACCTCAGTTTTTGCTGTGTTAATTCTAATATCATACTTTGTGCAGGTTTCATGTAAGGAGTCAATATTGGTGATGTAAATTCTGTTCTTAATGGTGTATTAGACATTGATCGTTTGCAAAAAGAAGTCCACTGATTTTTTCAGTGTCTATATTTGCCTCCTGTGTAATTCTATCCATGTAATGAATAGCAGTGGTGAGAGGACACATCCCTGCCTGACATCTGATGAAATGGGAAACCAGTCTGTCATTCCTTCTGTTCTTCTAATTGTACACTGACTATCTCGGTAAAGAGCCATGATGTTACCCAACATCAATACCATAATCTTCTAGAATTTTTCAGTTTGCATCTACTGACTCAATCAAATGCCATCTCTTGATCTATAAATAAAACCTGAAGTATGAGTGTTTACATGCTGGCATTAGCTATGTGGAAGATACTGGCTTATTCTGCTCTAGATGTGGGGGGGGGGGGGGGGGGGGGGGGGGGTGAAAAGGGGTTGTTATAATAAATGTGGTGCTAGTATAGTACCTGAGAGCCCAGTAAATGCCATCCTCTGACCAGCTCAAACAGAACAGACACCTGAAAAACAAATAGCATAAAAAAATAAATACCAATTAGAAGTACTTGTAGAGCAGCTGTGGAGGCTTAGAGGCTAGTATGGCTGCCTGCTGACCCAGTAGTCAACATCATGTAGTAAGTCCTTTGCTGGACGTCACTCTCATCATGATCTGCCTTTTAAAAAAAACCTCGAACTCTTGCCAGCTCTCCTTGTGCACTTTCGTACTCAAGGAGTCACTTATATCATATGCCCATCTTTGTGTTGGTCAGACCCTACCACTACTTCATGGTACCATGCCTTCTGCTATTATTTTTTTTCCAATTCGCTGTGCCACCTGATATGGCCAGAATATTTCAACTTCTCATACAACATGATGTTTATTAGTCCTCGATGTTCAGAACTTTTAGAGTGTCAGTATGTTTTTGCTTCTCTGTCATTAATATTCTGAGAATATTTCCTTAGTATTTAAGCTCAAAAGCTCCTATTTTCTTCCTTAAGGACTGGAAAATAATCCACGTCTCACATCCATATGTTGCTATAGAGAAGAGGCATGAACTCACAAGTTAAGCTGTGATTTCCCTGCTGGTGCCTAACCATTGACTTTAAATGATGTTTAACCTTGCATTGCTAAAGTCATCCTCCTTTTAAGTAAGTAAGTAGATTCAACCCCACCAGGACATCCACCAAGCGATAAACACCCGGTGACACAAAGCGCCACTATACAGATGAGGATCACCTGAAGAAAGGTTCCAGAAACCCCATTTAACCATTGGGTTATATTACGGTCCCCGACTACAGCTGGGGTGGGGCTTTAAAATAACAAACAATTGCGTCCCGTATCGAGAGGGTAGTTATTAATCCTCCTTTTGCTAATTATTATGGAGCCTAGACATTCAACGCTTGTGACATTTTCAATTTCAGCATATACCCAATGTGCTTATATAGTTGTGGAAAACAACAGATAGTACCTGTAGCTAAAGAACCTGGCAAGCTTACTAGAGATTCAAATCATCCCTAATTATTTACTGGCATCATGGAGGCTAAGAGACTGCAGTTGTTAAGCAATACAGAGAAAACGCAGATAACAGAGAGAGAGAGGGGAACTGCATACACAAATCAGGTGAATGGGAGTAGATCACAGAGCAGACCAAGAAGATGGTGGATAGATAATATACAGGCAGACGAGCAAACACTTGGTCACCAACTGGAAAGAGAAGGAAATCACAGAGATGAATGGAGGCAGGTGATATCAGCATCAAAGAACCACTAGATCTCTGAATGCTAAAGAAGAATAAGACATACTAACCTCAGCACAGCCACATCCAAGTAGCTAGCACTAAGAATGTCGACTGTGCCAGGACCCCTTGTACCGCTGGTGACAGCCGAGGCTAGCTTTTGCTTGACGTAATCTTTGTCTACAGATGAGGCCAGCTTCAAGAAGGCATAATTGTTGGAATCAGGCAGGAATGCCACCAGCGTGTCTCTGCGGCCACAGCGGCATGTCAGTCCACCTTCTGTACCCTGGGGGGTATGTACAGTAGAGATTGTAAGCAAATGCAGATTTAAAACAAAAAAACAATGTATCAAACAGCTGCATTATAAAGTAAAAAAATGTTTGTATATTTTGATGATTTAAATCTTTAAAAAGTTAAACATAAGTACAACTATTTTCCTTCTTCCACATTTGTTTATATTAAAGTGCTACAAGTCTATACAGAAGGAAGTAATACAAATACACAAGAGAAACAGCTATTCCACACACAAAAACAATACTATATCAAGGCACCAGTATTTTAAGAATTGGAAGACTAAGCCAAGTGGCATAACTCATCACTAAGGCAGTCATCACTTTCAAATTCATGTACCATGCCAGTGAAAGTAGGCAGCCATAGTTTGTCATCTCATGTATTCACATTTCAAACCAGGCTGTGATCGTGTTTTAATTAAGCCATGTGGCAAAGCCCTCCAGGAATGTATTTCTTTGTATTAACCTTGCTATTTTCTACCAAATTTGCCACTTGTCACAAAGTTTTCAAATGTATTACTCCTGAAAATGTGCCCCAAATTTGAAGCTTTGATGTCGACTTTCTGTAATAAATGTATGGTTTTTAAAGCTTGGTGAAAGATCATCTCATTCATTTTTCTATCTGTCCACTGTAATTGCTACACACTCCTTAGAATCTACATTTCTTCTGCCATTCAAAATGCCCTTACTCCTGTATTTATCATTTTTACAGTATAAGCAGTCGGTCTTTGAGACTTAAGATTTAGGGCTGCAGAGCTAGTGCTATTGCCATAGACTGTGCAAGTTAGGATTTTATGTATGTGTCCCCGACTGAAAAACCCATAACTTTACCAAAGATTTGAATCTGGGTGTCCTGCATATCAGCCCAGTATTCTAAATTGTTCAGACAACTGCACCTCTAAATTTCCACTGCCATCTGACATTTCTCTGCAAATCTGCTAACTGTCTGTGCTACTTTTGCATACAACTGTTTAAAACTTTTTTTAACTGGTAAATTTTCTATATTGCACACACACAAAAAGGCTCAAGCAAACTAAGTCTTATAATACAAAGAAATGTTTGCAAGGAAACAAAGGCCTTCACATGAACAAGAACATCATTATAAATTAAAAGACAGGTTCAGTTTAATGCAGACTTTAACAGTGTTGTATTCATGAAAATCTTGGAGTCAAAACACCCAATCTAAATGGTGTGAAAAAGGATAAAATACAAAGATAATTTATGACAAATACCAGAAAGAGGCAGTCATTATTTTTTGGGCTACCAAATGAGAGGTAGTCATGTGACAACTACAAAAATTATGGAAATACATGTGAGAACAAAAACTAATGATGATATTTGACATTCTTTTGTCACGGCATGGAGAGGTATGTCTTTACATGAACTGATACATGTTGAAGATTACAAGATGTGGAGAAGCATGACTGCCTACATGAGTCAGATTATACATAAGGGGTATCTATCTTTAATTAAAATGTTTCTTCACATAGTGGCAAAGGTCCCTGAATATGTTTAAGAACAAGACATACATGACTTATCTTTAGCTGAATATAAGGTAAAAGAGAAACTTAGTTAGTGCTTTTAGTGCCAGAGTATAGGAATTTCTTAAAAATGACACTAACATTTTTTTTTATTTACTGTTGGTGAAAAAAAACTCCCTTGATTTGGCTCATTTTATACAGAACAGCCAAAATGTTTGAAATATTTTTATTACGAACCTCAACACCCCCATTATAAATCAAAATGTGATTTTCCACATAGAGAAAGCAGTGTGACAATACATATTCAGGGTTAAGACAGAAAAGGGCCAAGATGATGCAATTAAGACAGGCAAAACAATTTACAAAAAAATCTCAAGGACCAAAACAATTTATAACAAAATCTCAAGGACCAAAAAACAATTTACAACAAAATCTCAAGGACCTAAACAATTTACAACAAAATCTCAAGGACCTAAACAATTCACAACACAATCTCAAGGATCAAAACAATTTACAAAAAAATCTCAAGGACCAAAACAATTTATAACAAAATCTCAAGGATCAAAACAATTTGCAACAAAATCTTTTGGATCTAAACACAATTTGCAAAACAATCTCAAGGACCAAAACAGTTTGCAATAAAATCTCAAGGACCAAAACAATTTATAACAAAATCTCAAGGACCAAAACAATTTATAACAAAATCTCAAGGACCAAAACAATTTATAACAAAATCTCAAGGACCAAAACAATTTATAACAAAATCTCAAGGACCAAAACAATTTATAACAAAATCTCAAGGACCAAAACAATTTATAACAAAATCTCAAGGACCAAAAAAATTTGCAACATTTGCAAGAAAATCTCATAGATGTAAGCGCTAATTGCAAGAAAATCTCATAGATGCAAATGCCACTAGCAATGAAATCTCGAGATTGTGAATGTCATTTGCAACAAAATGTCAATGATCTGAGTAATATTAGCAACAAAATCTACAGAATCTAAGTACCACTGGCAACTAAATCTCCAGGAAGTAAGAACCACTTGCAATACAATTTTTATGAAGTAAGTGTCATTTGCAATCAAATCCCAAAAATGTAAACTCTAATTATCTATCCTGGAACTCTAGCAAACAGAAAATAATAAAAAGTATGAAAATTATATTTATAAACGTTAAAAATAGAACTAGCAGACATCATGGAACATAGCTCCAGATAGATAATAATTCTAACAAAAGCTGAAATTGGTTTCACATAAAGTTCTGTTACCTTTATTGGCATGACGGTGTTACAGTTCTCACAGATGACTTCCATGGTTGCAGTCTGTGAGTCTGCTGTAGACAGAGTGCATATGTCACTCATTCTTGCTAGAGGAGCGTTGGGAGGATTGTCCTCCTCAACACTATGCCGACTTGTTGAATCATCATAGAGAAACATCAGATTTTCTCTTGATGTACCTAATATGATAAGAGAACAGTTAAAGCATACAATAATTTGCAACATTAAGTTACTATCTGAGACAATGGCATCAGAAATTAGATGCAAATATAAAATTTCATGAAGTGATCCACACAGTTGAGCCAAAAAACCAACATCAGAGTACTCAGAACTTTCTCATAAGCGCTCAGCCCAATCATCAGCAGCCAGCACAGACGCGCATTACCAATAGTGCTATTTATAGTATGGTTTTTTTATATATATATATGAGTCTTGACTTGCTTCAGAGTATTGTGTACTGCCCCCCCCCCCCCATCATTTTATCCATACCATGATAATAAATTCATATAATATATTTTTACATTTGTGTGTTCTGTTTAAAAAAAAAAAAAAAAGCAGCAGGTCAGTTTGAAAACATACCTTTTCCAACATAGATATTGGCAGCGTTTGTATTAACCTTGAGCTGTGACCTCTGAGCACGCAGCATGCATCTCTGTGGTTTCACAGGAGTGGAAAAGCAAGGTATATCTGGCTGCTGGTACTCCCATAAGGGCTGCCACAGGCGAAGACCATTTTCCAGCTTCAAGGATTCAAAGTCAGAATCCTAGGAAAATGTAGAAAATTGTGAACATAAATGTGTATTATTTCCAACCATAGCTTGTTACAGACATAGGTAACAACAGTTGTATTCCTCAACCCTTACATCATGTAGTTTTAAAATTACCCCTTGATCTTCTACAAGCTGTAAGATAACCATCACATAAATCGACCATTAATAGCAGCCATTAACATGAACAAATGTTTAATACTGGTTGCAAGACAGAGGTAGACAAACTCTCTGAACTTTATTACAGAAGCAAACTGTGGGGTAATATTTAAAAAAAATGTTTATGTTAGTATGTTGTGAACCAACCTGGTCATTTCTGGCTGTTTGTGATTTTAATTAGAAATTTTAATTTGCTTGGCATTCTAAAAAGTATGATGATCAAAACATTGTCGAAATCATCTTAAAACTGCTTGCAGCTGATTTAGAACCCTAGTGTGTCGGAACTGTGAAACTGTGCTCATAATTTCTCAGCCGCAGAATACAAAGTAATAAGTACATGCCTGAACAGAACTTTCCACACAAAAAAATTAACTGTGATATTCCTGACGTCTTTGTGCAGTATAGTTATATCAGTTTGTAATTTGTTTCTTCATAAGATGTCAACACACATTTCTTATTTAGACCCTAAAGTCACAAACAGCTGCAGATTAATCTTTACATCACGTCTATGTCAATGGTTCCCAATCAGATAAGTCCCGTGGACCCCTCTTATTGTTAAAGGTCTGTTACAGACCCCAGACCCCGTACCTTTTCATACATTTTTTAAATATCCCCCCCCCCCCCCCCAAAGGTAGAGGCTTTTTTTGTGTAAATGAAATCCCGGACCCATACATTTGTTTGTCCTCCAGGGTCTGTAGACCACCAATTTGGAAGCACTGGTCTAATTGTTTAAGGCCTTCTTCTTCTTTTTCTCCAGCTCTTTCTTCTTCTTCTTCTTTTTCTTTACCACCTTCTTCTTCTTCGGAGTTTGCCATTAAAAGGGCTGACATTCTGTGTTGTGGTTTACAGTTAGACTGTTATATATGTGCATTTTGGTCCAACTCATCCAATTTCAGCAAACTTTCAGTTAGTTAACGTTAAGTGCTAACCTCTATTTATATATGTATAAATAATAAGGCACAATAAAAAGTTAAAGTAAATACTAAATACCACTTTGTAGGGGATTCATAACAGAACAGAGAACTTACCTTCATTAAATGAACCAGAGGAGCAAACAAATAGACAAAGAGTTGTATAGTGCTCAAAGAGTGCAAATGAAGTATGCTTCCTTTCGTGTCCCTAGCGGCCAAAAACTCTGCATCAGCATCCTCACATTCTGAAGCAGCATCAAGGATGATCCAGTGAAGGGTGTAGAGTAGTTTGGTCTCACTAGGGCCAAAACGGTTGTCTTGCTTTCCCTGACAGATTCATTTATAATTATTTATTTTTAAAAGTCAAATAAGTAAAATACTTTCAAGTAAATATTGAAGAGAAACTTAAAATTCTCTGAACTAAGCAGAAAGACGGAACAGACATACTACAAAATCTAATCAGTGAAGCAAGCTTTTTCTTCTTCTTCTGTCCTTTATATCCATCATCATCATCAGTTCTCGTTATGACTAGTGGTACATGAGGCTTCAGATAGGACTTTCCATGCTTTCCTGTCCTGTGCAATTTTCAGTGCAGTTTTCCATGTCAAAGATGCCGCACTCAGGTCACTTTCCATCATTCGTCTCCGTGTTGTTTTTGGGTGCCCCCGTTTTCTCTTTCCCTCTGGTGTCCATGTGAGAGCTGTTTTGGCGGGTAAATCAGGATTCATTCTCATAACGTGGCCAAGCCATTTCCATCTTCTCTTGGTTATCATACTGTCTAAAGTTTCTTGGTTTGTGACTTGAAGTAGTTTAGTGTTTGAGATTGTATCTGGCCAGAAAATTTTGATAATTCTACGTAGACATGTGTGGTGAAAGGTGGACAGCTTGTGTGTATCCTTTTTGGTCATTCTCCAGCATTCTGCTCCATAAAGAAGAACTGGCAAAATGATGCTCTTGTGGAGTCGCAGTTTCGTTCCTCTGCAGTAATTGTTGGATTTCCAGATTTGCCTCATCCTTCCAAAAGCATCTCTAGCTTTGTTCAGACGTGACTGTATGTCCTCTTTGGTCCCTCCAGGCAGGGACACCACACTGCCAAGATATGTAAAATGTTCTACATTTTCAAGAGTTTGGTTATTTAATATCACTGGTTGTTGGTTTCGACTGCTTGTCATGATCTTAGTTTTCTTTGTATTTATTCTCAGTCCCACCATTTCTGCTGTGCTGTGTAGTCCTTCATAACCAATGACGGATAAACTCTCTAGCAAGCAGTGTGAAGTTGACTGTCCTTTGCTTTTGTGTGCATCTCAAGCAATGTTTTCTCCATCTTTCACCTCTTTCTTTAATTCACAGTGTGTGTTTATAGTCTTGTCTTCATTCCTTTGAACTCTATGGGTTTTACTGAAAAAAAAAAAATGTAATTGTAACTGACTCACAGAGTATGCTGAGAAAGGTGGAGATAGGCATGCTCTGTGCAGAGTGGCAAGCATCACTTCAGAGGTTCCAGGTAGTTTGCATCCTTTTGGATATTTTCCCTTAAGTCATGCCATTGTTTTGAGAAAATATCTTTTCATATGGTATTTGTCACTTTTGCCCTAAATTTTCTCAAAATGACTACAAAGTCAAATTAAGCCAAATATATAACTTGTATTTCACTCCAGCATTTTTAGGTAATTTATGTTAAAATATTTTTAACATGACATAGAATCTCATGCTATAAACTTATCTAATGAAATATGTTTTAACTCACTGTTGCATACCATTCTTCTTCTTCTTTTCCATTTATTCCCTAGTGGAGCAAGTCTGCAATCATATGCAGCTGACTTCATGTCCACCGTGGTTTGTGTGTGTGTTTGGTGACCGCTGTCTGTAATTCACATATTTTTGGGGCTCCCTTTTTTCTTTTGCTCAATGCAAGGACAAGATTTTATAATTCTACTAGTATCAAGTTTATCTTAATGTGTGTCCTAAACAGTAGCATCCTCTTTACCTCACCTGATAAAAATGAGAAACCAAAGATAGGAATTAAGACCTATAGTAAAACCAAAACTCTAAAAATATTTAACTGATCATGGTCCAAACATGAAGTAACCAAAGAAGAAGCAATCTATACCCCACAGCTGGATAGAAAAGTTGAAAAAAACTATGTCTAGCATGAAGTAGTAGTATAGTAACATGCTCCATGTCTTGGTTGGCTACTAGGTATTTGGTGCTAGTCCCCATAACAGCTGGCAACCGATGGGTGATGTAGTCAACATCACACAGGCTGCCGATACTTCCTAGAGCATCTGATAGTACATTTGTTAACGTCACTGCAATGGGTTTTACTGTTTCTAGCTAAATCTCAGTATTTCCAGCGATGATCCCCGGGGATCTCTGGAGGGTACAGTCGTTGTATTCACAATCCTTTAACCTTTTTGGTAACAGAGGACAATTAAATTAGTCATAAATCATCACATAATACATTCCTTGGTACCAAAAGAGTTAAATCTCTCTTTTGACAGGGTATCAGATGACAAGACCAATAGGCAATTATGCCAGCCTTTACCTATCTGCAGCTTCCCATTTAAAGCAAAATGCCTTTATTCCACATATTTGTAGTTAGATGTTGGTTTTCATATTATGTTTAGTCAACAAGTCACAATACCTTTTTGCAAGCAGCCACAAGAGAAGCACAGGCATGCATCAAGTGTGGAAAGGCAGCCTGGACAACTTTCCACCTGGATACACTCTGTACAGCCTCACACAAACTTGGTGACAGGCCATGCAAAATATTCTGAACCACCACACGTTCAAAGGACTGAAATATGCAATATAGAAACCACAGGCAGAGATATTATATTGCAGATAATTAAGTAAATGTTTTACATAATTAATTACTGATCATAGAAAATTAACTATTTTAGCTGCAGATGCCAAGGAGGGGAAAACAACTATCAAAATCACAAGTGTATTACTTTCAAAGAGGCAAAATACAGAGAAGCCAGATTTCTTTTGTACGTTCTGACCAAATCTGAAAGTTAAACACTATATGATGGTTGGGAAATATGGAGAAGAGCCATGCACACATGGGACTGAAGGAGTTAACAATTTCTGATTCCAGGAAGCAAACCCCAGAAACACAAGTATTCAACTGAATCTGATTTAGAAAATATAAATGCAGATAATTATCAAGCTAACTTATTGTAGAAGTCCTGACAATTTTAATATAAGCATACAATATACTAAGTTAACACAATATGTAAAAAGTAAACAGGACCTTTTCCAGCCAGTGGCACATCGGGCATATAGACTCATATTTTTTATAGATCAATTGGCACTCGATGGGGGATGTGGTCAATATCACACCTGCTGCTTTTACTTTCCAGGATATTACCTGGTGCCCATTTTAAGCTGGGTCGAACTGGGAGGCAAGAAATTTTGACAGGAATCCAGTGTCACGTGGTTCTGAATCCTGCACCTTTGGGCCGGCAGGTGAGTGTCCAGCCACTATTCCGCAGTTTCTCCTTTAACTGTCTTTACTGCCCTTAGTACCATTTTTAACTCTTTGAGTCCCATGCAACACATGATGTGGCAATGGCTCTTTTCATACAACTTCAACTATCACATATTGTTTTCTTTCACTGTTCATATTTGGTCAGAGGGTGCTAGAAAGATCTGGCTTCTGGTATAGTTGCTTCCAATCACTGAGCACTTTGCCCAATAAAAGGTATACACTTGTGATTGTTCGTAGTAGTTACTGCACCCCTTGAAAATGTAAGCACAACTTTCTGGGACTCAAAGAGTTAAGGAAGGTGTAGGACCAGGGAAGGGGAAGGAGGGAATGTGAGAACTGAGCCTGGGAATTCATAGCTAGCCACATGGCCAGCACGGTCCCAATGAACTGTGCAAGTTAGGATGTTTACTTTCACTCCCAACAGAAAACAAAAATCCACCACTTTACAGAGGATTCAAACTCGGCTCTCTGACACGAGAGCCCAGTGTTCTAACTGTCTGGCAAGCAGCTTCCTAAATACAGTATAATAATATATAAATAGAAGAAATATAGCTGCACGTCATTTATAACATTTGAAAAATATTATTAAATATGTTCTAAGTGTTCATCAGTACATACAGTAGAGAAAAGAAGAAAATGAGTGCTCCAGGCATACTAGAAATGTGAATCATTGCCAGAATTATCTATCTTCTTCAATTTCAAATATTCATTAGAGTAATAGTCAAATTTACATTCATTAACATAAGTTTCTTCACTGAATGTTTCCCTTGGGAAGTAAAGTAAGTGCCTTTCTTATTTAGGGGAAAGCAACTATTCTTAACGTGTGGTGTTGAAGCAAGGCTTCACAGAAAAACATTTCTACTATCACACCCAAGTGGGTCTAGACAACCCTAGATTCAGTAACCTATGCAACAGACTTAGATGTTATTCCTCTGCATTTTTCCTTCAAGAAAAATCATTGTATTGTGATTTACAACTATCTCTCCTTTCAGCCCAACACATTGGATTTTAGCAAATTCTTAATTAGACACCTAAGCTTCCCTTCTAAACAGGCTGCCAACCAATGCTAAGGGACTGGTCCGTCCTGCTACAACAATAAAATTTCCAAGTAGTATTTCCTTATCCTAGAATAAAGCTAGCAACCTCTCTAATACACTCTTCTACCTAAAGCTGCTGGCACAAGTTGGATGTGGGTTTACTGATTAGTGATTAGCTAGGACTATCGTCACAAAACTCTGGACAGATCTATAGGTGTCCTGATCTCCTCCTTAATATCTTCCCCAGAGTAAAATAAGTGATTATGCCAGTTCTATGTTTATTAATGAGACGTCTTGTGCTCTTGGTGAAATGTTCACATCTGGCTGTTCCAGGCTGCACTCCCATGTCCACCAAGCCAGACCAAGGATAGTGAGTTCTGCTAGGTGTCGTGATCTTCTTTGCAATATGCATCTCATATGGCATTAATGATATCACTCCTGTCCAGTGCCAGGCCAGTTGTCGCAACTGCCTTGTCTGTCAGATAATCTGCACGCTAACTGCCTTGAACACCAGCATCATGAAGAGAAAAGTTAAGCAAGTTATATATAACCAAGATGTCTGGCTGCAACATCCATTGATTATCTCTCAGTGTGCCTCCACCACACACAAAATATTATCAGATCAATAATAAGGCATACACAAGCCTTGTTATTTGCATTTATTGAATATTCTGCACAATCCACAACATATTATAAATAATGATCAGAGATTAATCATCTTACCACACAAGAGGCCTCACAGAGTTTTCCTTGTTTTGGTCTGATGAAGGGACTGAGGATAACACACAAATAATAAAAACAATTTTTAAAACTCTTGTATAAGAAAAAAAAGTAAAGATCCCTTTCACGCTTTAGGCGCATCGTGCATATTGGAAGAGCGTCCTATATTTTTACAGACCAATAGGCACTGGGTGGGTAATGTGGTCAGCATTACCCCGGCCACCTTTACTTCCCAAGGACAACCATCCCGGTACCCATTTTAGGCTGTGACGCCCCATACCATGATAAAAATCCATGCAGCTAGCAGTGGGTTTCGATCGTGGTACGTTGGAATTATGAGTCGGACTCGCAACGCCTAAGCCCTGAACACTGCTTCTCTTGTATATACTATGCTAAATAATTAACTTTTACCAACCATTCTTCTTCTTTTGGGCTTTATCCCCCAATAAGTCATAGCCAGGTCTTCTTATCCTTTAAAATCCCATATAGCTCACTTCATGTGCCCCTCATATATTTTATTTTTTAATTTAAATAAACCTCTTATTTCAGATTTTAATTCAATTTGATTTGATTCAAGAACTGATAGTACAAGATTTAGGGCATTCCCATAAGCGCTCTGTTCCCATCTTCAGTAACCAGCGCAGTGTTTCAATCAATACCAATGGTGCCAGTGACAGCTGACCATTTTACCTAGCTGGGATCTAAAGTGAATAACAAACCAAGAAATCAAATTCAGGCTAGGTAAGGCAGCAACAATGAAAAGATTAACAAAAGGAGTTTGGGAGATCAGAACACTGATAAGTGAAACAAAATCTCCTGTTTATCAGGCTTGTGTTCTCAGCACTTTGCTTTATTACGATGAAACCTGGTCAACTTATCCCCACCAGGAGAAATGGCTAAAGAACTTTTGCAAGCAATGCTTAAGAAGAATACTTGGCATTAAGTGGCAAGACATCATCTTAAACCCTGAAATACTGGAAACAACAGGTATTACAATCAACATCTCAATTCTCAGTACATGAAGGCTCACATGGCTGGGTCACACCTGTAGAATGGTAAAGTTCCTAAGAACAGCCTCCTTAGTGAATTATGAATGGGTAGAAGACATCAAGGCTGACCTTTACTATGATATAAACATCTGTGCAAGTGTGACATGAATTTTCAGGAATTGAAGTGGATTCATGGGAACAAAATACAAGAAAAGCTAAGAGACCTTTAGAGTCCTGTATTGTGCACCATTGCTCCCTTTGTAACGCTTCATCATTAAGTATTTTACTGAAGTATTTGTCCACTTTCTTTTGTCAGTTTGCCAGATTAATTATCAATTATGTCACAATGAATGAATGAATCAATCAATCGATCAATAAATTAATCAATCAATTATTTTGCAGCTGATCGGAGTCTATGGGATTTGTAATTGCTTGATTATCCCCCTTCATGTGAGTGTTTGTTTCTTTGCCTTCACCAGAGGTAAACCTCAGCAGAAAGACTCAGTTGTTTATCCATTTCTGGATTTTGGCTTTGTTTCAGGACCTGAGTTTTGCATGTGCATCCATTTTACACATCTTGCTATGTGTATGCAGTCTGCTGATTCCTTGTCTTTCAGTTAGATACACTCCGACTTTGAAGAAAGCTCCCTGACTCTTGCGATATGCTTGTTGGGGAGGCAGTGGGTTTATTCTTGTTTTCTCCACAATGGGACCCCGAAACCTGCCCTAACCACCAGGAAGAAATTATTGGCAGACCACTCTATTAATACAGGAAATGAGCTGAATAATACTGTTCTAAAGAAAACGCTTTTTTTTTAAATGAAGTCCAGCCCAACTACACACTGGTCGCCCTTTCATTAATGCTTGTTCAGGCTAGTCTACATTACCGGAGGGTCACATTGTACTATGTCCTGTGGTATCACCGGCGATGATGCATATACTATATTGGACCGCTTTTAACGAAACTATATCTAGAACTGGTCCTAACCCCAACTCCCCTACCCCACAGCCTCAGCCTATGTTCCACAAAAGAGTGCAGCGTACAACCCACAGAAGCAACCCAACGTCAACGTCATCATAGGCAGAGTCGGCAGGGCAGCCAGCATAGGGGTCCCCACAGTGGCAGGCCAAAGTCGACATCTTGCCTGAACACATCTGTGTCTTTCAGACTGTTGGTGTTTCATATCTTGGCAGAGTTATTATAAATGGATGTGAGCAGTTTTGCTTTTCCTTGCAATCACTTCGGCCAAATATTCACACTGCTAGCTTTCACGAGCTTCACACCATAAGGTTGATGAAATGGGATTTAGGCACAACCACATGCGCCTATCAAAAATACAAAGCATTTCAATTCTGATCAAATATAAGTGCAAGCTGACTCATCTGTTTATGTTTTGTTTTAATAAGAATAAGTACAACTTGAAGTCCTTTTGAGAAAAAAAAGAAAAGCTCGACCACAATAAGAATAAATCAAAAGTTTCTTTATATAATATATATTATTTACAAGTTAATGAATATTTCTAGTTTAGTAGGCATTTTTTTTTTGTTGAGTTGCACTCCATGTTTCAGCTCAAAAAAAAAAAACAGTACTGACTTTAGCTTAATACTGTTGTCCCCATGTGGAATGCAATTTTTCTTTATTCTGAAGCCCCACCCTGGCTTTTGCCAGGGGCCCTAAATATAACCCGGCCATAAATACGGCCTATCGGTTGAACAGGGTTTCCGGGGCCTCTCCATGGGTGATCCTCATCCGCATGGTGGCACCTTGTGTCACCAGGTGTTTGTGTGGGTGATGTCCTGGTGGGGTACAACTTACCTACCTACTTAGTACTGACTTGACATCAGATCAAAATACTTTTAAGTTTTTTTCATATTTCCTTGACTACCACAGATTTCCTAGTGATACAAAACCCCTCTTGCCAATTGTATTCAGATTTTTAATTGGCTATCTTTCTAATGTATTAGAAAGATGCCATTCATACTCATATTGTGTGAGTGAATGGGGCTAGGTTTCTGATGCATTTAACTTACTCCAGGAAACACAATGGGTATTCAGCTCATTATTATCTAACATCTTAGAGTTCCGAAGCCAGTTGGTTTGTGTTTTAGCTGCTTGGTAATCAGCTGCTGATCTGATTATGATGTAGTCCATCTGAGATATACTATGTACATCTTAGTTATGCTTTGAATGTTTTTAATAAGCTCACAAACCTAAAATAGCAATGCTAACTTGATAAGTTTGCAAGTCACTGGTTATATTATTACAGGAAGAGTAACTTCATGCCATTTATATTATTAGAAATAAACAAAGAATGGAATGAAAGTAAACACATTTGAAAATAAACGTCTGAATAAAATCATGAAAATAAAATGAGAAGAATTTTAAAAAAGAGTAAGGTGATCAGAGAAATATCTGGACAAATACCTGTACTGCAATAAGACAAAGAAGGCAGATTTATATTGGGCACACTCTGAGATGAAACGAATAAAGAATTGTGAAACAGGCAAATAAATGGGAAACAAATGATCTGAGATGGGGGAAAAGGGGACTTCCAAGGGAAACATTCAGAAGAACATTATAACTAGAGGCCAAAAATGCTGGACTGATGTCAAAAAAAGAGAAAGCTGTATGCAATAGAGCAGAGTGAAGGAATCAAATGCTAGCCCTATGTGACGTCTAACAGCATACAAAGGGTGATGATGATGATGAACCTCGTGACATGTATATTTCACAAGCATAGGATACTCCATTGTTCTTTAAGTACGTGGCATGGATCAGATATTGGTAACCGGGAACCTCTAAATCTCAGTCTTCTGATATGTTAATGACACTGATTTTACTTATACTTAAACTGTAGCTAAACGAAAAACGGACAGATTAAAGAAGGACAAATTAAAGAAAGGCATTCTATATTACACTTAATTTTTGTCTGACTGCTGTTCATGAGGAATATTCTTTGTGTTTCCTGGAGGGAGCTGAGAGGATTAGAAACCTTGCCCCATTCACTCACACAATATGTGTGGACCAAATGGTCTCTATTTTGTAACCATACTCACAAAACTATGAAGTGATGGAAAAAGGTTTTTATATTGATCACAGAAATGACACGGGTCAATGCTGACATCTTGTATGTGTCATCCCATCCTGCTGCATCCAAGCGAATGAGTCCTGCAGTTAAAAGATTAGCTCATCCAGCAACTAACTGCTCTCTCAGGTCATGTAGTTTCAACAGACATGGCCACTGCACTGGCTCACAGACAAGGCAGAAAGACAGCCTTGTCAATGTCTGACAGTCTTGCTGGGGCAGCAAATTTAGTTGGTTTGATGGTGCAGACCAGGAATGTGTTCAGCCCAGCAAGACAATGTTTTAAAAAAGTTTTTTTTTTTAACTGTGTGGGATGTGCTGACAAACCTCACCTGTGCCTCAGTGAATGTTTTAGGGCATATCACATCCAGTAAGGTTGCTGTATTCAGTATTATCTTTACTGTTATTGTTGGATAAATGAAAGACTGAATTCTCACTGGAATTGACTTCATATATTATATAAATAGGTTTTTTTTAAATTCCGTTGTTCTGAAATGTGACATGTCAAACAAAAATTGTCATAAAATCCTAAGTATTTAGCTTAATTGTCTTAAATATAAACTAGCTGATGCACAATTGAACACAGAAGGCGTATGCATTATTAGAAATGGATAGCAGTGTTGCTGATCAAGTAAAAAAGTAAGATAAGTACAAAACTTCATAAGTCAAAAAGTCAAAAAAAAAAAAAAAAAAAAACTTCAAGTGTGCTCAATATCCTTGAATGTGGTGTCATCTATATTGTTAAAAATGTTAATTTTCTGATGATGTAAGCTAAAAACTCGGAAACTACTGAACCGATTGCTTTCAAATTTGCATACAACGTTGCCTTTGTCTCCAAGTGTGATTTTTTGTCAGAAAATTGCACAAACCACGAACGACGTAGCTCCAGCAACGGTCAAATTATTATTTGTTTCGTTGCTAGCCCGGATTTGTTTTTATGTGATCGGCCATATGTGACTGCTAAGCTCTTATTGAACTTTGCATTATTATATAAATTTTTTTCCTCTATTTGCATGAGTGTTTGGTAGCGTAGTTGTTAACTATTCTGCCTATCATGCAGGTAACCCGCGTTCGATTTCCCACTAGGTGATACAATTTTTTTTTAGCCCTTAACTGGGCGGCTGGCACGTTGTGTTGTGGTTGATGGCTAGGCTGCGATATCTACGCCTTTTTTTTTCGGTTTTGGGGTTTACAGCTAGCCTGCAACAGCGGCGACGTGATACTCAATGGTCATGTCTCGGGTAATCTTCGTTCGCCCTCGAGAGGGCTATTGGCACATTATATTGTGGTTTACAGCTAGTCTGTGATATTTGACCTAAACTCTTCAGTCGACGGTAGTAAAGTTGTAAGTATGTCATCCTTCACTCGGGTGACCGGTGTTCGATTCCCTGCTGGGTGATAATTGTTCTTTTTCCCCTAAAAGGGTGGTTGCCACGTTGTGTTGTGGTTTACAGCTAGGCTGCGATATCTGCGCCTTTCGCCCAAAGACATCCGATTTCAGTTAAGTCCTAATTAGCCTCCCCGCGACGCTTCTCGATCAAAAACTATTCGGTGATGACAGAAACTGATAACTAAGACGCTTACAGTCCAGTTTAGTTTGGGTGGACACGGATGCCAAGGTCAGTTAAAAGTCTTTCTTCGGAGAGGGAGAGATGACGGGTGCAGGGTATTTTTCTCCGTTATTTGTTAGTAAAGTGTACTTTTTATTGTGGGTTCCATCACTGGTTACGTGATGAAGTTTTTTTTCCCTATGTCCGGGGCAAAATCAAACTAAATAGTCCGTGGCAGCAGCATGCGGCGCTAACTCCTCTTTTCTACACCGACCTACACAGACTTTAGTGACAGTTTTTGTTGTTGTTGTTGTGATGGTGGTAGTGGTTGTGGTTGCAGTAGTACTGGTTCTGGATGGGTGATGTGGTAGCTGTTACACTGGCTACATTTACTTCTCTGTACAAGCTAATGCTACATATTTAAATCTGGGTAGACACGGATGGGAAGCTCAATTTAGTTACAATATTTCGTTACACTGTGACTTTCCCATCCTTCAGAGAAGATATGATTGGGGGGGGGGGGGGGGGGGGGAGGTTATGCCGGACACAGTTAGCTGAGAGAGCTTAAAATATTATTTTTAAGTTCTAATTTCTTAACTTTTTCTATTTTAATAATTTCGCCATGGATGATTTCTCAGTCCTTCGAAGAGGGACATATGGCTTCATCAGGTGATGATTTTTCAATCCTAAGGAGAGGGAAATATGATTAGTGGAAAGGGGGGGGGGGGGGGGGGGGGGGATGGGTGAGGGGCGGGGGTTATGCCAAAAAGAGTTAGCTGAGAGAGCTTAAAGTATTATTTTAAAGTTCTTATTTCTTAACTATTTCTATTTTAATAATTTCACCATGGATGATTTTTCAATCCTTCGGAGAGGGAAATATGACTGCATCGAGGGGAGAGAAGGGGGGGGGGGGGGTATGACAGACACTGTTAGCTGAAAGCTATTTTCTTTCCTCTCCATTTCACCAATCTGGGCCACAGCAACGTGTGGCCGGGTACAGCTAGTTTTAATATATTTTTGTTGGTTGCAATACTGATCCTCAAATAGTTTAGATGCATTATGCATTCATTTCTCTTTATTTTGATACATTAAGGTTTTAATTGTGTCATGTTGCAGTAATAAAATTCATCTCAAAATTAATTCTGTCCAAACCTCACACAAAAAAAGCAGTTATAAAAGAGTTTTAAAAAATAACCACATCTTCAACAGGAAATAAATGTAAATAAATAAATTTTTCTGACAAATGTCAATCACAAACTGGGATCTCACGCACGCGCGCGCGCACGCACACACACACGCACGCACGCACGCACACACACACACAAACCACACATAATCCAAATATTCACAACACAAAATTACCTAGTCTGCCTCCAAAAGAATGTTTGGATTGGCAGAGGGACTGATTGATCTCCCTCAAGATCATCTCCACTTTGTGTCTTTCTCTTCACCATTTCTGTCTTGTCATGGTGAATATTTGATTAAGTGGACATCGCTTTTGATAAAGCCTGTCAAAAAAAAAAAAAAAAAGAGTTGTAAAATAGCATTAATCTATAAAAATTCTCAATTTGTAACTTTCTAGTGAAATCTCACAACAGAAATCTCTTGTACTGACCCTCCTGGCTGCTTCTTAGCATATGATTCCTGGTCTTTTGTTCCCTGATAGATACATTTCAAATCTGCTGAAAACCGCCTATAACTGCCTGTATTTATCACTTTTTGCAGCACAGGCAGGGGGTCTAAGCCTGGGGAATTAAGGAATTGTACAAAGTAAAAAGTTTGTGTGTGTAAAGGCCCATTTTTCTCTGAAGTTTTGCTCAGCACTCTGTAGAACTAAGAGCACCTGAGTGCTAAACTAATAAAACTCATAACTTTGGAATTTGTTAGGAAATTCAACAAATTTTAAAGTTTTGTTCTCAAATTTAAATATTCACTACTCTTGTGGCTGCAAAACCATGGTAAGCCAAGAAGTTGTTTGTAAAATGTTGTTGCTGTGAAATTAACAGCTGCTGAATTCTTCTTTCCTACTAACTAAAAAAAAAAATAAACATACACTTATCATCAGATTCAAAATGTACATTCATTTTTTTTTCTTAAAAAAAAAAATAAATAATTTTATAGGGATTAGAAGTATATTACATTCTCTATTGCCTTTCTTGAAAATCACCCTCTCTGCCATTTTTGTAAAGGGAAATTAATGTGGGCCAAGTCTGTCAAAACTCATGGGCCTGAAAGAGTTCATCTGTCTGACACATCTTCCATCTGATGCTATCAGTGTGACATAGCCACTGCATTCTTTACATAAATTAAATCACATTTGAGAAAAATTATATATATATATATATATATATATATATATATATATATATATATATATATATATATAGGTATAATACGCCACTGCGACTGACAAAAACAGCCCGAATTGACCGTTTTTGAGAAATTATTTTTTCCGTGCTCTTTAGGTGAAAGATCAAATCGGAACAATAAATAGGAGTTATTGGAGAGATGCTAGGCTTCGACCTGACATGGTTTTGACGTGCATACAATAAATCGATTTTTTTGCAGCATGCAGTGAATTAACGTTAAGTAAGTTCGTAAATATCTTCTTAATTAGCCAGATTAAGGCAATTTGTGGTGTATTTTTGAATTCTGCTGTAATTTTTATATAAATGTGGGAAATTTCACAAAGAATGGCTGAGCGCAAATGTTTAAAAAAAATTTTAGTGGCATCACTGTTTTTGTTTTAAATCTAATATGTTTGCACTAGAAGACTGTTTGTCCCGCTTTATAATTAACTTAAAATAATTATTAAATTACCTAAGGTTATTTTAATCATTTTTTTTTTCAATCCACAACTATTGTAGCATTTTTTTATGCAACTGTCATTATTTAGAGCTTTTCGTATTTTCTGTTGCAGATATTTTTTCCTGATCACTCCCCAAATGTCAATAATTAATTTCGGCCATCAGTGCGCATTTTCTAGATGATTCTTTAGTAATTAACTTCAGATACTTAGTAAATTAATAATGTTAAGTGAGCTACTTTTTAAACATCTACAATTCTTGTAGCATATTTTTTTTAATGCGTCTGTAATTATTTGGAATCCACAGAATTTTCTGTCGGATTGGTAAATCTAAGTGGTCGAGAAACAACAGCAGCGCTGACTGCGTTCCCTTCCATAAGGCCTGCCAGTATTTGGGCTTTCCCCCAAGAACCGGGTTTTTATACGACACCTTGAGTTAAGATTTTGGAATCTTTTTTTTTTTAAAATATATATATCCTTATATAAAAGCGGGTAAGTGTTTCATTTCCTAACTATAAAATATGTACTTTTGATCAATTTTGGGTTGTTGTTTTTTTTTCGCTTATATATTGCTAGGGTTTTTTGTCAGCTTAGCTTCGGATTTGACAAAAATCCCATTGGCAACCCTCCCATGCTTGGCTGTCCACGTGTGCTGCTATAGATCCATTTCTTAATTCAATGCTGGGTGGACATGGGAGCCAAGGTCATTTTTGAAAGAAAAGAAAATCCATCCTGACCTGATTCCCAGAAATAAACACACCTGCTGTGTTTGCCCTGTTGTTAACACTGTCACTGCCCCATTATGAAAACAGGCCATGTACTATCAGTGGGCTCATGTTTTCTTCTACCCTGCAGGGGGAGGGGGGAGTAGCAGATTGAGAAAAAGCTGAGAAAGAGGGGGAGCAGGAGAAGGAGAGAGGAAGAAAAAAAGAGACTAAGAAAAGTAAGTCAGCACTGAGACTTGGGGATAAAGAAAGGAAAGGAAAAAGAAAGAAAAAAGAGGAGAGATACAGGAGGAAGAAGGTAGCAGAAAGGGGGTGCGGCCACCCCGGGTGACATCGCTGTTGCGGGGGGGGGGGGGGGGGGGGATGCAGTAAATGTATTAGGTCACGTCAACTTATATGAACTTAATGTTCGCACAATATGATGTGCATCTTGCCAGGCTCACTGGTAGACAACCGTAAATATATAAGGTTTTTGCTGAAAAAAAGGCAGTTGGCAGCTGTTTTTATATGTTAATTAGGTCACGTCAACTGACATTGGCACATTTATATGATCTTTATGTTCGCCTTGCCAGGACACACAGTATGATATGTATTAAGCCAGGCTCTGTAAATGTATAAGGTTTGGTACTTAATTTATAACTTACCCCTGACGTCACGACAACGTCACGGTAGGCATTCCCAATAAATTCTAGGGTGTTCAGGTTGTAGTTTCTCGCGATTTCTCTACAGTAAAGTTTAGGGTTAGGGTTAGGTTTAGGATTAGAAGACACTAGATAAACACTAAAAAAAAAAAAAAAAAAAAAAAAAAAAAAAAAAAAAAAAAAAAAAAAAACACACACACACACACACACAACATCACACTTCCACCCCTTTAAATAATGGACTGTCAGGTCAGCTGTGGATTTCCCACGGGGGTTTCGTGTTTGGGGTACGTTATAAATTAAGAACCTAAGGTTTTTGATGAAAAATAATCAGAAGGCAGCCATTTTCATATGTTCAATAGGCGCATATTGTAGTATATGTATTTGAGACATGCATAAACAGTTAGGTTTCACTGTCCCGATTCCAGCAATATATGGTTGCTAAGGGATTTGTTCAGAAACAAAAAAGTTATGGCCGTAAAATGCAAACACTTGAGTCATTTCATCTTACTGGGTCGCAGCCGGGAATCCATGTTTTGTCCATTTCCACTATAATTTGTCTGTGGTGGTATCCACCACTAAAATGTTAATATCTCCGCTTAGAATCGACCTACAGGCTTAAATAAGGTACCACTGGTTTTGTAATTGTAATCTATATCTAGCAGTCATGGTTTCGTAAGTAAAAACCCAAAATATAAAACTTCACTAGCATCCTTTATATATATATATACACACACACAGACAAGCAGATAAAGCATTCTATTCAAATAGTAAGAAAGAAAGAAGTTTTACACATATAATATGATGTAGCAATGTGTACGTCAACAAGCATTTATATTACATGTTTTGCCCAGAAAATTTCAGGCAAAATAAAATCTTTACCTGTTATAACATTACTGTTTGATTCTTGCCTTTTTGGTCTTTTTGTCCCATCACGTTTTTTAACTAAAACTAAAACACGATGTATCTGCTAACTTAAATCAGAAGAGTAATTAATAATGAACATTAGGTACTACTCATTACACTAATTACAGCGTTGCTCAATTCTAGAAAGAGGTTGGTACCTATATGCCCTACGCAGCCAAAGTTCAGCTCGTCGCTCGGCGGCCATTTACTCGGTAGTACTAGTAATAGTTGAAAACAACATTGACACAATAGTTAAACTGTAATGTTTTCTCAGTCCAAGAAATAATTCTTCTTTTAACTTTCAAAACTAGATACTAGCTGCTTACGGCGTATTAACTTCATCATATTTTTAAATACTCAATACCTACCCTGTAATACTATTTGTGAACAAACGCTGCAGACGAGTACTAAACACTGCTCACTCACACAGTCAGGACTTGAGAAAAACACAAACTGCCCTCTGAAAGCTTGCAGTAGTATAAACTCACTACAAGGCACATATAATCATTCAAACTAACGCCCACACAATCTGACATGTAAAGATAAGATGTTGTTTACCTAGATGTCGACATTTATCCCTTCTGTCTCTAATTAGTTACAACATTTCAACATTCAACAGGAGAATTTTCACGTCTGCAAAATTCTCACATCCAGCCTCTTTTTTGCTAAAACTGACCTTTAACCCTTTCTCGTGCATAATGCATTATTTCCGGAATGGAAAGTTGTTGCGTAGCAGCAATTGTTTATTGCTTATGCATCGTTCACAGTGCGCGTTCCAAGACGGCAATTTTGGTGAGGGAAAAATAATTGACTGACTGCTTCCCCATTGAGCATGTTGAATCGTAACAGGCCACTAACTAGTGTTAGCGGAAATCAGATGTTTTGAGCTGTGTTGGGAAATGAGAAAAGGGGTCTGTTTTATGGTGTTCTATGGACACCATAGAAGGTGTTCTAGAGGTTTTAAAAGAGGCGGGAGCCCGAAGACAACTTATCACTGACATCAGAAGGAGACAGTCATCATTTTTCGGCCATGTTATGAGAAGAGGGAAAATAGAACATGTTGTGACCACTGGAAAGATCTGTGGAAGGAGGGATTGAGGAAGACAACGAGAGAAGATGCTTGACGGTCTTGTTGCATGGCATGGAGGTGTGTCGGCACACGAACTGATACATGCTGCAGGAGATCGCGGATTATGGAGAGGCATGATCGCCCACGCCAGTCGGCAAGGCACCTGATGATGATGATGATGGACAACATGATCGTTAAAGCTAATGTCGCAAGTCTCACGATAGATGGTAGAAGCATCAACAGAGAGAGCAAACTGAAGTATCTGGGAATTACATTTGACAAGAGCCATGTGGAGAGTGCTGTGACA